AGAAACAGAATGTCTCAAGGCCACTCGTGCTCACTCCGAAATCTGCCAGTCGCTCAGCCTTGAACATTGACATTATTTCATCTGAAATCTATTTTCTTCACTTGATCAAAGTTGATCTGCGTCATACATCTTACAACGGATGTCTCGAATTATTGGTAATGTTCAGCACTTAGCATTAACATTTGCATTACAAATGATAAGTAACTTTGATTCAACGTTCCATCCAAGCTTCTTCATTGCTGGAGCTATATCACTTTCAACTTAAATTGCTTGAACTAAGACATTCTTGAATTACACTCGGGATGAGCTTAGTTTGAAAGCACACAACATAATTTTTTAATTATTTTGATAACCCACAGGATATCTAGAAGCTACACGCACTGGCTACAAAGCCCACAAGTCTTGAACATTCAAATATGAATAGGAACAGCTTTGTTTCGCACAGATTTCGCACATGGCGGGATGGCGCCATTCCGTCCAACTCATACAGCCTCAGAAATTACAACAACACACTCAACTTACGGAATATACGTCAAACAAATCTTATTTACGACGACACGAGCCAATGCTAACAACGCTTGCCAGTTGCGCTAGAGATATTGGAGTGGAGACGTCAGAGAAAAAAAGTCTTTAGATTTCTCCCATTTCCCCACGTAACGTTGAACGGCCGTTGCGGCCTTATCTGGTATGCGACGGCCTTATCTGGCATAAAAAATATCTCTAGAAGTCTCTAGCTAGTGTTAAGCCTATGGACTTATAGGGAAATGTATCCGAGTACTTGGTACTGCCTCCTCCAGGTACTGGCTGGCAGACGGATCAACTTTGGAGGCCCACCATTTGGAAATTAGGCAATTTTGAGACGAATGACTTCGGATTGGGGCCTCAGCCACCTTCTTCTACACGTTTCACTGAGTAACTCCGAAATTTCGGAAAAAAACCCTGATAATACCTTTAAAGAGGACCATGTTACGCCCGCCGACCGGCCGGTGTCAATAAGGGCGAGAATTCGACGCTGCACGGCGGCGGCAGCGCCTTATCGGCACCGCGCGCCACGACATCTGCCGGGCGGCCGGCTGGGCGGTGGGAAGTTATAAGTGCGTGGTCTATTGCACACGATCGGGGTGAACTATCCCATGTTTTCGGGGCGGAAAGTTTCAGTGCAGCATCGATGCGTCTGCCACGGTGGTCTTTGTCGATGGCATAGAAAATAACTCAAGCAGAGCTCAGAAAAGACTGAATGATTCCGGGTAGTTGCCTCGAAACAATCCGTTTCAAGAATACAGCTGCCTTCTTAACGTACTGTATCACTTGTTAATTCTTCAAAAAAACAAGCTCTGAGCAATAACAGACTTCTTTGCATTGCTGTTGACAATTTAAGTTGCTTTTGGACGGTGGCTCGCAGCCCCAATATGCTGCCGCGTAACTCTATTCCAACGACGAAACGGCAACGTAGCGAGAATCGAAAATTTAACGAAGTAGGTACAACAGGAGCTGGCAAGGCTCCTGCATTGGTCTATCCGTCATGAGTGACTCACCGGGGTAATGTGTCACGTCAGGGCAGAGCTGTGTTCTATGCCGGGTCTGGATTCGGGTCTTGATCGGCATCGGTGGGCACGGCCGCCCTGGCCGGACTGCCGGCGTCGCTTATGCTCGAAGGATTGGATAAACGGCGCTTGATTTATATGAGTAGGTACTCCGGCGAATGTCTCTACTCATGTCTCACTTCGTCACACTGTCAGGGTGGCCACCCTGTCATTCCCAGACATGTTATGTTTTCTTTCGACCCGCTAATCTAAGCTACACCTGGCGTCGATTCTGTTGCCCCAGCATCTGCCATCAACGTATCTGAATAATGACATTGGTGACGCCTATGCTCGTCAAAGCCACCCCAAAACTTGGGCCGATGACTGTCGGGTCTCCTCCATATTCTGTCCCTGTGCATACTGCATTGCCAGCCCCTGCTGTACGTATATCGTGAATTTTCGATTCTCGCGAAGTTGCCGTTTCGCCGTTGGAATAAAGTTGCGCGGCAGCATATTAGGGGTGCGAGCCACCGTCAAAAACTAACGTAAATTGTCAACAGCAATGCAAAGAGGTGTGTTATTGCTCAGAGTTTGTTTTTTGAAGAATTAACAAGTGATGCGGTACGTTAAGAAGGCAGCTGTATTCTTGAAACGGATTGTTTTGAGGCAACTACCCGGAATCATTCAGTCTTTTCTGAGCTCTGCTTGAGTTATTTTCTATACCATCGACACAGACCACCGTGGCAGACGCACCGATGCTGCACTGAAACTTTCCGCCCCGAAAACATGGGATAGCTCACCCCGATCGTGTGCAATAAGACCACGCACTTATAACTTCCTACCGCCCAGCCGGCCGCCCGGCAGATGTCGTGGCGCGCGGTGCCGATAAGGCGCTGCCGCCGGCGCGCGGCGTCGAGTTCTCGCCCTTATTGACACCGGCCGGTCGGCGGGCGTAGCATGGTCCTCTTTAAGCCGTTTGAGGAGCCCCTAACAGTTAATACTTTTCAGAAAAAAGGGCATTATTGGTCTCAGAAAAGAATACCGCACCACATGAGCCATGAGCCCATATACTTTTCCAAAATTCGGTTTTTTTGAACAACCCTACTATACATGAAGCCGAGTGGTGATGTTGTATGTTCCCTGGTATGTTTCCCTATGTACTTGTTGGAAGTTCTGTCATTGCGGCGCGCTTCCAACGTCTGAACACATCTTCCAGTAGGTACCTGTTACCAGGCTGGTGAGAATACTGCCATCTGAAGCACACATTCTCCTCCAAAGTACGTCCCTTAATTCCATAATATCCGCCTGGCGCAAACAATGGCACATTTTTTCGCCGACTGATGCCATAATATTGCCAGTTCAGAGATCAACTCGGACTCATCAGCGCGCTTGATAAACTGAAGAGCCCGCACCAAAATGAGTCCTCTCATAATCTTCGGAATTAAAAGCATCAGGCGCCATCAAGACTGGCTCAAAACAAAGCAGTCCTGACGAGCCCCGATGAATACGGTCCCGGCCAAGTTTCCCAGACGGCTCTTCGAATGCTGCACTGCGGATGGGAATATTACCCTTCATCCCCGCCAAGTTACGTCATTATCATTACGTTCGCCGGCCGGGCTGAAATATTGGACTGTTCGCATTTGCATCTGCTTCCGTCTCCATCGGGCGCCTTCGAGCTCTGCCTTAATCCCCATAGACAAAGGAAACATCCCATCTCGCGATAAATTACACTCGTATCGATTACACATTATGGCCAGGATTAAACAGATACATTAGAATATGCAAATCAAAGGGGGAACAGCTCGCCCGGTTATGCCGAGTTTTTATGATTTTTCGAATGGTTAACACTGAGATGTTTTCATTAAATGGCACATAAATTCCGGTTGGCCAGGAGACGGGCATTTGCCGATTACCCCGTGCGGATGATACATGGCGGAAGGGGTGTGCGAATCGCTCCTCTGCATACGATCTCTCATCAGCTTTGTTCTGTGGGTGCCGACAGCTTCCGGGTGCAGCCAGAGCTGGCAGTGTCCTGTGCTTGGGTTTGGTTTGGTTTGGGTTGGATCTCTTCAGTGCACTGGGCTGGATATGTGTGTGTTTGGGGAGGGGGTGCTGAGAGGCATTGGCTTCATCAGGGATCACCAAAATCTGTGCTGACAAATTCAGGCGGTCGGTCTACTTTTTTGTTGTTGTTGAACAGGGCCACAATGTAATTCTCCTTAGACTGCCTAAGTGTCGAGCAGCTGGAAGGAGCTGATTGGAAACCGTGAATCGAAAGAAAATATATGATTCATTTTCAGTTTTCACACAATCGTGTATGTCCATAGTATGTCCATAGTATCTATCGCCCGCAGCAAAATTCATCACGCATGTGCCAAATAAAAAGATCAGTGAATCCTGCGAGCCAGGGCTGGTCAAGCCGAAAATAACTGCAAAAAAAAACTTTTTCCGTATTTTACTACGACACCAATATTTTGATTTTTTCAGTACCTATATTTTGATTTTCGAACCGGTTACAATCAGTGACCAATGGCAAACAAATCAGCGCATGCCAGGAACAAATGAAGCATAAGAACCATCAATCCGTATACACAATCAGCTGGTAGGTATTCCAAACTGTTCAGCTATTTGCCAACTTTTACCCGAAAACAGCGGAAGCTACCAAAATCTCCGTCCCTATCATAACTTCGGAACATACTGACACGGTGCAAAACTAAACAGCTTCACACCTTTACGAAGCACGCTTTACAAATAATACAAACCCCCTCGGGCACCCAGTCGCCGCAGGCCCGCTGAGCCACCCGTGCCGAGCAGCGAGCCTGTTTTCCCCACTACAGCTGTCGCCTCCAAACCACCCCGGAGGCGGGCGGCAGCCGACAAAACACGCCGCTCTACACGCCGATATTTTGCATATTTAACACCTCGCGCGTATCGCGAATAATATATCAATCTTAACGGGCTGATTTTAATACGACCGACGGAAATTGGCGGCGGATTTTGGCGTGGTTTATCGGCGCGCGCCAGTAATGAAAACCGATGACGAGCTGGCGATCAACGCGCACAATTACCGCTCACGGCGCCACAAAAATATGAATATGACGGAACACGGGATTATTGATAAAGGCGCCGCCCGGGGCGGGAAATTGCCGGGACGGTGGCTGATGGAGGGGCGCAGGGGAGTGAAACGGTGGAGCGGTGGGGTGCGGCGGGGTGGGGTCTAACAGGGAGACGACAGGGCATCGAGGAGTCGGGTTAGGTTGAAATAGAGTGAAACAGAGCATACGATATACATTATACGAGCACATGACCATAGATGACCATAAGTGTCCATTGTCCATATCCGTAACCTCTTTGGCCTGTTGTGTTGCATTGTGACTGGCCTTGTCGTGCAGTGTCCAACTGTGCTGTTTCGCAGGCTGCCACCAAGTATTGTATTGAACTGTATTGTGACCAGATGTGCGGTGTGCTCTGTTTCAGCTCTCACCAGGTGGCGGAGCGGTTCTTCCTGTGCACCAAGCACGTGCAGGTGACCAAGGTTCGCTGGCACCCCGAGTCAGCCGGCGACTGTCACCTGGTGGTGCTCTGCTCAGACAACTACCTCAGGTCAGTGGTGTTATATAACTACCTCAGGTCAGTGAGGTCATACTCAGACAACTACCTCAGGTCAGTGAGGTTATATAGCTACCTCTAGTCAGTGGTGCTCTGCTGAGACAACTACCTCAGGTCAGTGGTGCTCTGCTCAGACGACTACCTCAGGTCAGTGAGGTTGTATACCTACCTCAGGTCAGTGGTGTCACACAACTACCTCAGGTCAGTGGTGCTCTGCTGAGACAACTACCTCAGGTCAGTGAGGTTATACGAGTACTTCATATACTTTATAGCTATAGCTCGTATACTTTATAGCTACCTGAGGTCAGTGGTGTTCTGCTCAGACAACTACCTCAGGTCAGTAGTGTCATACTCAGACAACTACCTCAGGTCAGTGAGGTTATATACTCACCCCTGGTCAGTGGTGTCATACTCAGACAACTACCTCAGGTGAGTGGTGTCAGACAACTACCTCAGGTCAGTAGTGTCACACAACTACCTCAGGTCAGTGAGGTCATACAACTACCTCAGGTCAGTGGTATTCTGCTCAGACAACTACATCAGGTCAGTAGTGTCACACAACTACCTCAGGTCAGTGGTGTCATACTCACACAACTACCTCAGGTCAGTGGTGCTCTGCTCAGACAACTACCTCAGGTCAGTGGTGTTCTGCTCAGACAACTACCTCAGGTCAGTGGTGTTCTGCTCAGACAACTACCTCAGGTCAGTGGTGTTCTGCTCAGACAACTACCTCAGGTCAGTGGTGTCATACTCACACAACTACCTCAGGTCAGTGGTGTCACATGACACAACTACCTCAGGTCAGTGGCGTCATACTCACACAACTACCTCAGGTCAGTGGTGTCATACTCAGACAACTACCTCAGGTCAGTGGCGTCATACTCACACAACTACCTCAGGTCAGTGGTATTCTGCTCAGACAACTACATCAGGTCAGTAGTGTCACACAACTACCTCAGGTCAGTGGTGTCATACTCACACAACTACCTCAGGTCAGTGGCGTCATACTCACACAACTACCTCAGGTCAGTGGTGTTCTGCTCAGACATGGCTACCTCAGGTCAGTGGTGTTCTGCTCAGACAACTACCTCAGGTCAGTGGTGTCATACTCACACAACTACCTCAGGTCAGTGGTGTCATACTCAGACAACTACCTCAGGTCAGTGGTGTCATACTCAGACAACTACCTCAGGTCAGTGGTGTCACACAACTACATCAGGTCAGTGTGTCACACAACTACCTCAGGTCAGTGGTGTTCTGCTCAGACAACTACCTCAGGTCAGTGGTGTCATACTCACACAACTACCTCAGGTCAGTGGCGTCATACTCACACAACTACCTCAGGTCAGTGGTGTTCTGCTCAGACATGGCTACCTCAGGTCAGTGGTGTCATACTCACACAACTACCTCAGGTCAGTGGTGTCATACTCACACAACTACCTCAGGTCAGTGGTGTCATACTCAGACAACTACCTCAGGTCAGTGGTGTCACACAACTACATCAGGTCAGTGTGTCACACAACTACCTCAGGTCAGTGTGTCACACAACTACCTCAGGTCAGTGGTGTCATACTCAGACAACTATCTCAGGTCAGTGGTGTCACACAACTACCTCGGGTCAGTGAGGTTATGGAGTTACCTCAGGTCAGTGGTGTCATACTCAGACAACTACCTCAGGTCAGTGGTGCTCTGCTCAGACAACTACCTCAGGTCAGTCGTGTTCAGTTCAGACACCTACCTCAGGTCAGTGGTGTCATGCTCAGACAAGTACCTCAGGTCAGTGAGGTCATACTCAGACAACTACCTCAGGTCAATGAGGTTATATAGCTACCTCAGGTCAGTGGTGTCACACAACTACCTCAGGTCAGTGGTGTCATACTCAGACAACTACCTCAGGTCAGTGGTGTCATACTCAGACAACTACCTCAGGTCAGTGGTGTCATACTCAGACAACTGCCTCAGGTCATTGGTGTCACACAACTACCTCAGGTCAGTTGTGTCACACAACTACCTCAGGTCAGTGGTGTCATACTCAGACAACTACCTCAGGTCACTGGTGTCATACTCACACAACTACCTCAGGTCAGTGGCGTCATACTCAGACAACTTCCTCAGGTCAGTGGTGTCATACTCACACAACTACCTCAGGTCAGTGGCGTCATACTCAGACAACTTCCTCAGGTCAGTGCACAGTGGGGATTTTTCCGATCTAGCGCCTATTAATTCAAAAAAATATTTTTGGGATTTTGTTTTTTTTTTGCGTCAGTAGGGCTAAAAAATGTCTGAATTTTTCATATATGGCATTGTTTTATCTGTATGTCCACAGCAAAACTAGGAAAAATGCGCCCAAAGTTCACACTCATGCGTGATTACTCAATGGGCTCAGCAAGGCCCGAAAGTATAGCTCAATTTCATTGTCCTGTCCTGTTGGTTTTAATCTTGCGAGGTCTTAAAGTTGCATATCGTCTGAAAGGCACCTTTATTAGGAATGGAATGGCAAACAGAAAGTATGCCACAACCTTACTAAGGTCACAAAAATGCCCTTTACAAAAACCCTTACAGACACCATATGGAAGGAATGGTATTCTAAATAAATGTAGGAAATCAACAATGTTCTCCACACTTTTCCACTCCGAAATATATCCTATCGAATTTGCCACTTTCTTCTGCACAAGACAACGCCTAGTTTGGCTGCCGAAACTTGCCTGAACACGGAATATTCACATTAGAGTATCTTAGCACCCCACTCGAGGAGCGCTAGGGCAAACAACACGATATAGGTATGTTCCGGACATAGGCGAATAATTTTACTTCGTGATTTATATGATGCATATTTTCTGAGACACATTCATTAGGAATAGGATGACAAGCGTAAATTATACATACCGTAACCTTATTAACCATCGCACTTGTGGGGAGGGGGAGGGGGAAGGGGTCGGATAAAACCCCATGGTTTTCCGCAAATTACTCGCGCAAAAAGCGGCCGATCGCGCCGAAACTTTCGGTACCCTCGAGATCATCAATTTTACATCTAACCTAAAAATTTCATGACTCTGACCCAACTGACCTTTGACCTGTGGCATATTTCTCGAGACCATGTTTGGCCGGAATCGCGATTCGGCGTATGCCAGCTCACATTATCCGCGGTTTCCAGTATTTTTGTGGTTTTAAACGCTCAAATATGTGAAATGATGTTGGTGCCATGCATAATGGTGGGTGTCAAGGTCACGTGAAGGTCAAGTCAAGGTCATTGACCTTTTGATGACCTTGGTTCACTTTTTCGAGTTTTACTTGTTTCTAGGGTAGTTTTTGGTGCTGATTTCGATTTTAGCAGCCATTTGAATATTTACGAAGTAGTTCTAGTGCCTTCGTTCCATGTTACGAAGCTATCAGTAGTAGGTGACACTTCTATGGATGGCCGGCAGGACGCCTACTAATTGATCTAACCTGACCTGACCCGACCTGGCCTAAATGCATAAAGACATCGTCTGTGATCAAAACTAACACGAAATTCGTGATCAGCACCCCAAAATACCCCGTAACACCCTAACTTTGCGAAGTTTCAAGAGGTCTCGATTTCCCAACTTTAGTTGGGTCATTAAACTGACTTGGAAAGTCAGCTTATGACCTTGGACTTTGAAATTGGATATATTCGGCCTAATTTCGTCATAGGCAGCACGCTTGACTTTTCCGCGAAGCTCTAGCTTGATCAGGGGCCAAACGGCTGAGCGGGGGGTCCAATTGAACCCCCTATACTATGTTGATTATGCACATTTACAGGTAAAATTCTCACCAGGACACACCAGCCAACATCTGTGCACAATCTGGCTACAATTCTACCTATGGTTTGCCCTCTACGAATAAATACGTGCTAGATCGGAAAAATCCCCACTGTGCAGTGGTGTCAGACATGGCTACCTCAGGTCAGTGGTGCCATACTCAGACAACTCCCCCAGGTCAGTGGTGTCACATGACACAACTACCTCAGGTCAGTGGTGTCATACTCAGACAACTACCTCAGGTCAGTGGCGTCATACTCACACAACTACCTCAGGTCAGTGGTATTCTGCTCAGACAACTACATCAGGTCAGTAGTGTCACACAACTACCTCAGGTCAGTGGTGTCATACTCACACAACTACCTCAGGTCAGTGGCGTCATACTCACACAACTACCTCAGGTCAGTGGTGTTCTGCTCAGACATGGCTACCTCAGGTCAGTGGCGTCATACTCAGACAACTACCTCAGGTCAGTGGTGTTCTGCTCAGACAACTACCTCAGCTCAGTGGTGTCAGACAACTACCTCAGGTCAGTGGTGTCACGCAACTACCTCAGGTCAGTGAGGTTATATAGCTACCTCAGGTCAGTGGTGTCACACAACGTCCAGTGGTGTCACAACTGTCCAGTGTTGTCCACTTAATAGGGTGTTCCATGTTCTTCCTTTTGAAATAGGTACTTTATCTCGAGCAGGGTGTATGCAGATGGGCCATATGTGCAGACGAAACTACTCTAACTCACTTGTTTGTGATATGTTGTGCTCGTTTGATCCGATGACTTATAAGCTATGTGTTATCTTACTTAAGTAATGACAAACCCCCTACGCTTCCCTACCATTCCCTGTACAGTGTATAATGCCCTGTCCCATCGCGTCCTTCCTTGCCCGAGTGCCCTGCCCTGCCTGCCGTTCCTTGTCTCTGCTGTTCTCTCCTGCTCTGCCCTGCCTTGACGTGCCTGCCCTTCCTTGCCCCTACTGTCTTGTCTTGACCTGTCTTGCGCTGTCCTGTCTTTTCCTGTCTGTTCTTCCCTTTCCTGTGCTGTCCTACCTGCTCTGTCTTGCTTTCCCCTCCCCTGACCTCTTTGACCTCTGACCCCTCTCTCTTCAGCGCGGCTTGCATGACGGACATGGAGGCCCCTTTCCATGAGGTCAGTGCTCCCTTCACTGGAGAGGACCAAGTGCCTCCAAAACGCGGACTCTCCCACAGCAAGCCCCTGCAGCACCTCTGACTCTCCCTCTGCTCGTCCGGCAGGGTGTACGACGTGTCTTCGGACCTGCAGACTCCCAGTCAGGCGCTGCCTCTGGGCGCCACACACTCGGCCTCTCTTGGAGGACGGCCCGGCTCGTCCTTCGTTCGCTCGCTGGGAGAGGTGGCGGTGTCGTTTGCCTTTGGAAACCGTCCACCGCCGCCACCGCCGCCGGCTGATGGGCAGGTCAGAGACATCTACTGGGAGCGGGCGAACTTGTGATTGGTGTAACTGGCGGTAGAGCTCGTCCTGGGGGTTTGGTGTGACTGCCTGACTGGCATGGTGTGATATGGATGAGTTATTGTTTGTGTAGGTTTTGGTAGATGGCTGATTTTGGTTGTGTTTACAGGATCAGCAGAAAGAGGATTTGCGGGAGCCACTTCCAGTGTACATACTGCGAGGCAACGGAGACATATACATCACCTGCATCAACTTGGCAGCTTCCAGGTAGGGTGCTTCATTGGAGCAACAAGCTGCGCGTCTCAGTCACTTGCTGCACTGACACTGCACATACACTGACATTGATTCCATTCATTCTGACTTTGATATGAGATGATGTGATGTTGATTTCACTCCTTGATTTGATCATCACCAATAAGTGCCTGCATTTTGTGGGTTTATGAACATGCGGGAACGACCTTAGGTATCCTTGCTGCCGTGGCCAATTTTCTATTTATTATTATTTTTATTATTATTGTTTGATTCTCTTCTGCCCTAGTCAAACCCGGTCGGGTTGTCCCGCCCTCAGGGATGATATCAGTCACGGTGTCCTATTACATAGGACTCGTGCATTACCACGCCCTATAAGGTCCCACCTCTATTCTCGGGGATCGTTTCCAGCAGTGTCCTATGCTACCTACCTACCATACCATACCATTTTGCAGTGCACCATGTTACCACATCCGCCGTCCTCAGGTAGCGTTTCCAGAAGTGTCCTATGTTACTATACCGCCCCTCCCCTCCCTCCGTCCTCAAAGAGCGTTTCCAGCAGTGTTACCATACCCTCCCCGCCGTTCTCAGGGAGCGTTTTCCAGCAGTGTTACCATACCCCTCCGTCGTCCTCAGGGAGCGTTTCCAGCAGAGTTACCAAACCCTCCCGACGTTCTCAGGGAGCGTTTCCAGCAGTGTTACCATACCCCTCCGCCGCCCCCAGGGAGCGTTTCCAGCAGTGTTACCATACCCCCTCCGCGCCGTTCTCAGGGAGCGTTTCCAGGTGCTGGGTCCGGTGGCGATGCACCCGGCGGCAGAGGACAACTACGGTACGGACGCCTGTGACCTACTCTGTGTCGGAGGCGGGTCGCCGGCCGTGCTCGTCGTGGCCACGCCAACCCGCCTCTACCACTGCGTCGTACTCGACAGACCCGCCGACGAGGCCGACGATGGCGTGAGTGACGAAGCGATAGGGGTGGGGAGATGTAGGGATGCATGCTTTTAACTGATCTTTCTTGATCTAAGAAACAGCAGGCTTCTTCTTGATGGAATTTCACCTATCTACATATGTTCATTGTGCCGTGAGCTGCCAGCTGCCTCTTAACCCATTTGTCTTTTTACTATTTTTGCTGTATGAATTCGGGCTTCCCCTTTTTGGTTTCGTTCTGTTTCCCTTATATTACAAAGATGGGTGTAGCGCATTTTACAAGTAACTCGCATGAGAAAAAATCGTTAAGAGACGATCGGGCATAAAAAGATAAAATGTGAAAAGTTGGCTGATGCTGTAAACCAGTGTTGCTTATGAGAGACATCCATATCCCGGCAGGCGGTGGGCCTACCAGCCACCTTCCGCGCGGTGGGGGGGGGGCACTTTTTTGCCCCCCCCCCCGTATCTCCGAAACTACTGGACGGATCCGGAAAATTCAAACGGCGTTCGATAGCCCTGTCAAAATTGTGGAGGGAAACCAAATTTCATTGACCTCGGGGTCACCGATGACGTCACAGGTCAGGTCAAAGATAAAATGTTTCACCGTTCACGGGGCTTCGAGGGAAAGCGCTATAACACCGAGTAAAACGCATTTTGTCGAAAATCAGCGATAAGGCGTCAGTTGTCTAGTACATATGTTGCTATTAGAGGTCACTGGTCATACCAGGTCAAGTCACAGGTCAGGTCACCAAAGGTCACCAAGGGTCACCACATGAGCCCAACTTTACTAAGGTTATGCGATGCATGTTTTATGGCCAGTTTTTCATTTCCAACTCAATGGTGTTGGTTATAAGACCATCAGGTACGGTTTAGGTCACTTTCTGGTGGCGGTTAGGTCAAGGTTAGGTCAAAAAAGGTCAAATTTCAAAGTTGATATTTTTGCATAAAATGGGTATCGATTCGATGCAGCTCGTCACGGGGAGTCTAATGGTGGTCTTTGTTTTGCGCTACGAGGTCTAAAATCGCTAAAAATTGAGTTTGAAAATTTGACGTCATCAATTTTGAACAGTTTTTTTCGCTATAACTTGGCCAAAAAAAAAAAGAGGTATCGATCTCAAATTTGGTATGTAGATAGAAGGCGGTAGGGGCTATCACATATATTCCGGTTTTTTCGATATTCAAAAAACTTTTTTGGTTTTTTGGCTATTATATTCAAAAATCTATTTTTTATTTTTGGGGGTCAAAATCCAAAAAATTTGAAAAACCGAAATAGCAGTTTTGTAGCCCTCTTAATTCCACACCTTTTATGTCTGAAACATTTTTCTGTATCTCTAAAGCTGTAGGCCTGACAGCTCTTCCCGCGAAACCTTTTTTTGGGTCGAAAATGGCAAAAATGACGGCACTCTGACGTCATTAGCGGCCAACCTATCATAGCCTTTGGAAAAATTTTTGGTCACCATGTGCGCTAGCTGCTACCGGGAGGGTACTGAAAGTTTGGTGACGATCGGCGCAGCGGTTCTCGAAATATATCGAAAAAACTAAGGGGGGCAAATAAATGCCCCCCCCCCCACCGCCTGGAAGGATATGTACCTTACCCCTGTCCCCTCCTCACGGATAGGGTACGAGTCTTCTCGGGAGCTAACCATCCCTCCTTGCCCCCAGGTGGCCTCTGAAGCCTCCTGGTCGCGGTACAGCTCGTGTTTGTCGCTCGAGCCGGCCGCCATATCGCTGTACGTCTACGAGAGCGTCGAGCCCGACATGGTGCTGGCGCCGGCTGACGATGACGACGCGATGACGTCACCGATCCGTCTGCACCGCGACCCGGCCTCCGACTGCAGGTCAGTGGCTGTGTGACCTGACCTAACCTGACAGCGACCCGGCCTCCGACTGCAGGTCAGTGACTGTGTGACCTGACCTAACCTGACAGCGACCCGGCCTCCGACTGCAGGTCAGTGGGTGTGTGACCTGACCTGACCTGACCTGACCTCCGACTGCAGGTCAGTGGGTGTGTGACCTAACCTGACCCGGCCTCCAACTGCAGGCATGTGATACCGATACTGAGACTGAGCCGGCCTCCAACTGCAGGCTAGTGATCTGTGACCTGACTTGACCCGGTCTCTGACTACAGGTCAGTGGGTGTGACCTGGCCTGACCCGGCCTCCGACTGCAGGTCAGTGAGTTTGACTTGGCCTGACCTGACACTGACTGGCTGGAACTTTGACTGCAGGTTAGATACACTGACTGACAATGATACTGACACTGTCACACTACCTATGATACTGAGCCGGCATCCAATCGCAGGTCAAGGATGATGACACTGACCACGTTTCCATGTGTTTCCATCACCAAATTTAAATTGTTAAACCTTCCTGGAGCTCTTCGTCACAGGCGAAAAGCCAAAGCGGATTAGCTTTAGGTGTGTAGTCACTTACTCCCTTATTTCGATTTTCATTTAGCATCTAAGTGTGCTGGATTAGCTAATCCACTTTTAATTATCCGGATCATGGGTGCCCATGGAAACCGGGTCACTGATTTTGGCACTGGCCTCCACCGGCCTTTGAATGAGGCTAATGACAACGATCCCGAAGCTGTACCTCACCTGACCGGTGACCCCCTGGCCAGGCCTCCAAAACTGACCAGTGGCTATGACACTGACGCGACAGTGACTCAGCGGTCTAGTACATGTCAGTTGACACTGATCTGAGTCTGACAGGGAGTCGGACTGAGTGTTTTACCAGACTTTTGGCTTGGGTTCTGGCTAGATGTCTGACGGGGTTACCGTACCGGCAGGTATTTCTGCAGCCACGCGGCCGGAGTCCATGCTGTCGCCATGCCGCTGATCGCTGCCTTGGAGAGGTTTGCCTCGCAGCCCGGTAAGTCAACTTTCCTTCACCGATCCTCTACAGTAGCCTTCAATACCGATACCAGTTCAATACCAGTACCAGGCTTAAGGTTACCAATAAATATCGCAGTCCGCAGGATACGTGTACGGTGCTGATTGATCTTGGATCATAGACCTCTGTATACCGAGTTATACAGAGGTCTATGCTTGGGTGCATGCACTTAACAAACCCCATTTGACGTCTGTTTTCCGTCCATTGTCGACAGAGACCAGTGACGAGCCACTGGGCGAGCACCCGTGTATCGTGGAGCACCTGGTGTCCACCCGACCCGTGAGCTCCGCCCCGGCCTGCCCCGTGATCGGCCTGTCGGTCATACCCCACCCGCTGCTGATGGTGGTTCTACTGGCCACTCACGAGGTGAGAGGGAGGGAAAGAGAGAGAGGGGGAGGGAGAGAGAGGGGGGTTATACCCCACCCGCTGCTGATGGTGGTTTTACTGGCCACTCACGAGGTGAGAGGGAGAGAGGAAGAGAGAGAGAGGGAGAGGGGGGTCATACCTCACCCTCTGCTGATGGTGGTTTTACTGGCCACACACGAGGTGAGAAGGAGGGAGGGAGAGAGAGAGAGAGAGAGAGAGAGAGAGAGAGAGAGAGAGAGAGAGAGAGAGAGAGAGAGAGAGAGGGAGAGGGGGGTCATACCTCACCCTCTGCTGATGGTGGTTTTACTGGCCACACACGAGGTGAGAAGGAGGGAGGGAGAGAGAGAGAGAGAGAGAGAAGAGAAGAGGGAGGTAGAGAGGTACGTGATGCCTCACCCTCTGGTCTCGATACTGATGGTGGTTCTTCTGGCCACACACGAGGTGAGAGGGGGGGGGATAGAGAGAGAGAGAGAGAGAGAGAGAGAGAGAGAGAGAGAGAGAGAGAGAGAGAGAGAGAGAGAGAGAGAGAGAGAGAGAGGAGGGAGGGAGGGAAGGAGGTGATACCTCACCCTCTGCTGATGGTGGTTTTACTGGCCACACACGAGGTGAGAAGGAGGGAGGAAGAGAGAGAGAGAGGGGGTCATACCCCACCCTAATAACTGCGTTATTTCGTGTAGTTATGTGTGAGATGTGAGACTGGCGCATGTGTCATCTTTAACAAAGCGCGGTCTTATCCGCATTCTTGTTTGTTTCGTAACGGCTAGTGAGTTTTTCTGTTCGATCGCCTGTTGACTCAGTCATGTCGTTTCCGGGACCTGTGTTATATCGTCGATAGTTGGACTGAGAGATGTCCAATATCCTTGTCCGGAACAGGGAGTGCCAGTTCCTTGTAAACCCTCCATGTCTCTGGTAAACCCTCCATGCCAGCCTCTGACGCTGCGCGCCGCGGGAGACTTCAAAGCTCGGTACACTTAGCACGATATGTGATAAACAGCCGCCTACGCCCGCTAAAACCTTGCTCCGGTCCCGTGGGAAAATCGCCACCGATTCTGGGCTATCTAGATATCATGGAGGGAGGAGGGGACATCAGGACCCCCGCCCACACGTCTCCGCCGACCGACCGCCGAGCTGGCCGAGCGCGCCGCTTTAGTTCGCGTGTCTGCCGCCAGGTGCTGCTGCTGCCGCTGGTGGCCAAGTTCAGGCCGCCGGCGCCGACCCTGGCTGAGGAGGATGAGAGCGCCGGCTCCGTGGGACCGGCCCAGGTGGGTCATGGGGAGCGGTACTGCGCCACATACTGAGACGCTGGGAGGCGGAACACCGGTGGACCGTCTCCCCCCCCCCCCCCCCCCCCCCGCCTCCGCCCTGCCCTGACACCGACACCGCCCACGGTGGTTCAGGAACATTCTGGACGGGAGGTCGACGCGACGATATTCGGACAGACTCTACTTCCATTTGTGTATTAAACATTTTCGCTCAGATGTTTACGATTTATACACATGAATTACTCTGTCGGATCGTATTTATGTTGCGTCTAGTGACTAATATGGTTAACTAGAAGCTTATATTCGTCCCTATGTTCCGCCTGTTCGACCGCCCAGCTCCACCCCGCCGCGCCTCTGACTTTCTCCACCAACTCTCTCCGTCTTTCCGCGGTCAGGAGAGCGAGTCTTTCTCGGCTCACATCCGCCGCCTCCTGGAGCGCGGAGACAGCGTGCCGGTCCTGCGCGCCGCCGCCGAGCCGGCCTCCAGCGCCGAGCGACTGGAGCTGGCCTCTCGCGCCGCGCACCGGCTGCGCACAGAGTACATACAGCGCCAGCAGCTGGCGCGCGCAGCTCTCCAGCAGCAGACGGACGCGCTGCGCCGGCTGCAGCAGCAGCAGCTGTCCGAGGCGCATCAGCTGGAGCAGCAGCAGCAGCGGCTGCACAGCCGGGCGCTGGAGATCGTGGACCGGTGGCGGCAGCTGGAGGAGAGCCACAGGACTCTGCTGGACCGGTGAGTAAGAGGGGAGAGCCTGGAGCAGGAATAGAGATACAGGATCCTGATGGGCTGCTGAGGGATGCTTGGGGTAGCGCCGAACGGTATAGAGGTGCAGCTTTCTGCTAGATTTGAAGCATCTCGTTAACTTGGATGTTCAACTTAATCTAAGTGCGTTTTCAGCAACTGTTTTCAACGCAATCAGTGTTTTATGTAACAACGCAAGCTACCTCTGGTTTTCGTAATCACGGCTGTATGATACGATGCGATGTTCCACGTCCCCGACGCTGCGCTCCGGACCATCCATGATGCGCCTAAATCAAAACTCCCTGTGCTCCCGCAGTGCGGAGACGGTGTTCCGCCGGTGTCAGCAGGGTGTTCCCGTGCTCTCGGACGCCGAGAGGGCCGTCTCGCGCGAGCTGAAAGAGCTCGGCGACATGTCGGAGCTACAGGCGCGGCTGGACGCCCTCCAGGCCAAGTTCGACTATCAGAAGAGACAGGTGCGGTAGAGGGCATGTTAGCGTTTGTGACGATAGCTTGGATGTGCAATTTTAAAACGTACTCAAACGTACTTTAAACGTAATCAAATGGGGTCACGCATGCCCATAATGCTGCCGTTTACATCCGTGTGGTTTTCAATAGTATGTCCCTAGCCTAGCAGCTGCTTACCATGATAATGCATCAAATTTAGTTGTTTAGTTTAGTTGCACTAATGTTTCTTGACTAGGAAGGAGTTATGCTCCTCGAAGCCTCTGTTTTCATTTCTCTCTTCATCTCTTAATCAACACCACATCGACTTTAACTCGCTATAACACCCCTCTCCGCCCACAGGTGTCCCTCCAGCAGGTCAACGAGCAGCGGCAGGACCAGCAGCTGGCGGCGCTGTCTTCCGCTCAGCGTACTCTGCTCAAAACCGAGCTGGCCGCTCAGGGTGATCAGATCGCCGCACTGGTCCAGACCGTGCTGGCCGCCCGAAAAACGCTCGGTGTGTGACCGGATCGCACGGGGATGGACGAAGGAAGGGACGGCGAGGCAGTGGGTGGGTGTGTTGGCCGTTCAGAGGGTCGTCTGGTACCTCAAGCGGCTGTTTCAGAGCGGAGGCTAGCTGGTAGCTCAAGCGGCTTTTCTTGAAGAGAGCGAAGGCTAGCTGTTATCTCAAACGGCTTTCTGAGGGGGAGAATAGGTTCGATCGTGGCCGAAAGGTGCTGGACCGAGAAGGGTGACCAATCGCCGGCCTTGACCGGTTGACCGCTGGTGGCGGAAGGTGAGCTATGTACGCATCATTCACGCCCGCATCCCATCATATCGTGGTTTCTCGTGCACCAGGACTGGACGTTGACGAATTTCTGGGACGAGTCTGAACAGACGTGGAGGTGAAACCGATGTGATGGTGTGGGTCGCTCATTGTCATAAACATTGCCATTTTGGAGCTGTTTGTTACAAATACATAGTCCTGCAGAGGATAACGTATGATGGCTCTGAATGGCCGAGTATGGCAAAAATAAGGAGTTAGTGGGACTGCATCTCGCGTACAATGTGGTTAAGGTTTGAGAAAAGGTTGCATTTTTTCCTGTCATAAAGTCGTTCGATTCAATGAATGGCATATTATGTAACAAAGTAGGTTTAATGGTTGTCTGCCAAAACGTTACCGTCATAACGCGTGTCTATTGCCAGTCCACCATCTATTTCTCCATGCGATGTTATTACATAGCTGAGCGTCATCACCAGGCGTTCATAGTCGACTCTTCTCTTCTTCGGCGCTGATCTTGTCCAGCGGAATGGGGAAGAATTCCAAAGGCTCTCTGGGAAAGAGATATGTTACATAAATCACATTACACCCATCATATTACTTGTGCTGACTGGACTGTACATTACACATACCAGCCTGCCGAAGTTCAAAGTCCCGAAATGGTAAAGGTCACTTGTAATGTGATAGAGTGGTCTGTACGGTCAAACCTCCTGTATCCAAACAAACGCAGGATGTTGAAAGACGTGGGATGATGTGCCCTTTCCAGATGTTATGGCTGGCTGAGTTGCTTGGTATGTACCCCTGGGCTGTGCAAATGGATGGCCTGACCTTTACAAGGAGTGCAAAATTGGTGCAACTCTAAACACCACAGCCGGGGTTTTGTTATGTCTATGTAGTCTTGAGTTTACAGAGAGTATAGAGGCTGCAGCCAGTAGCCGTGTCAGTTCATAAACGCGGCCGATTTCAGGACTAAGCCAACGTTTGCGGAACCTCATGCGGCTGAATATTTTAAATCATGTCATAATTTGCCGGACACGACGTTTTCAGACGACCCCACGGGTTCCACAACTGTCCCACCAAATCCCGGCTCTCCGCCCTGACGCACTTACCGTCCGGCCGGGGGATGAACGGACACGTCTGCACAGCCGTAGAACTCCTCCTGGGGCCGCAGCCCATGCCGTCTGTGCCGTTGTCGCAGTGGCCCCACGAGTTGCCGCAGTGGTAGCGCCACTGTGTACAACGAAAAAGGGCGGGGGTGAAGATAATTACGTCGTATACAGCGGCGAGTAGGGATATTTACTTTGATTTTGGTAGAAGCCTGTTAGATCGAGCTTAGAAAACGCTGGTGTCAAATGGAGAATCCAGGGGCCTAAAGAAGTTAGAAATTAATAAGCCACCCGCGATATCTTCAGATACGTTACTTCACACTTGGGGTGACCAACTGATGCAAAACTGATGAAGCATTTAGTCTCAGATTACACATTCCCATGATTAATTGCGAGAGGACAGTACCTGGAAGACGCAGTGCTCGCACTCGAGGTCGGTCGGCAGCTGTACGTCCACATAAACGGCTTCGTCTCGTCGGTGACGTAGTAGTCGGTGGAGCCGGTGCCGGCAATCTCCAGGATACCCCTGAGGGCCACACGGAGGGGCGAAGCGGTAGAATGGTAGATCTAGATATAATAAAATAAAATAGAAGAAGGTATCATGCTCGAATGGTTGATAGGATGTTAGAACGGGGCATGAGCACTGAATGTTCTATGTCCACTGAGCGCAAGCGATGGCCTCGCCGCCGAAACGCCCCTCAACCCCAACAAAATAGACTCTGGAGCGTCCAGCTGAGAGCTCAGGTGAAGTTCAGCCGCATTGAGGGCGTGAGGGGTTGCTATTAAGGGTTCCAAAGAGGGAAACATATGCTAATAGGAAGCCATAACGGTCTTCCCTCCTGCTGATTGGATGGCTTACATTCAGCTGAGTACGCCAGTCACCAAGAGTCAGAGTTCAGATTGATCACCCACAGTTCACACATATTGTTCACGTTCTTTATGGGTAAAAGAGACGCGAGTCATTCGCTATCATTTGCTCATCATTTGCTACACGGTAATTACTCATCCAAGCATTCCTGGGTGGCCTCGGTTTCGAAGCCCTCGACGGGGCAGATCTTGAACTGGAAGAAGCCCAGGTGGTTGGCCGTGAGGTTGACGGTTACCGTCACCACCTGTAGTGGCAGACAAACGGGACAAACGTCAGATGTTGGTGGACACTGAAGCTTGCTGTCGGGCATGTTTAAAGGTGCGATGGGAATTCAGACACAATTATCATGCCACTTTGAAAATGATATGTTACGTTGAGTTTCGGCCTTGGTTAGTTGAGCTCGTCTTCCCTCCCTGCATAGCTGAGCAGCATTTGTCAAACACTTTATTAGTTCATGTGTTTATTCAATGCAGGGAGGCAAGCAACTGATTCAATTTAGCACAAAACCCTCTCAGGTCCAAAACAAGCGGTTACCATGGTTACGGTCACATCTCGGTGTGACCCTTTCGATGAGTGAACCTCAGCTAGTTACCGCAACCTGTCACCACCTACGGTGACAAATGTCAGATGTTGACGGCTACAATCACCCGCACAGATGATGTCGCTGGTGGCCATTTGATATGTTATGGCGACTGGCGAGACCTATTACGGAAGTATTGCTACAAGCCAATATTCTGTCAAAGCCCTCACAACAACAGACGCATGAAAGTGAGGCGTTTGCCAAAAGCGATGTATCTGTTCGTATTTACCTCTCCGGAGGTATAGTTTTGCACCAAGTAGCCCTTGTAGTAGGGTCCTCCGATCTCGTGAGTGCGTGGCTGAGGCTCATCATACGGGTCGCCGCAGATACCGCACTTTCCGCCCATATCCTCTTCGTGCTGTCCCGAGAAGAGCCGGCAGCAGAGGATTACCGTCAGACCGGGGGGCAGGTTCACACTTGACGTACGCACTGGCGGATCCAGGGGGGGCATTTAGGGCCATGCCCCCCCCCCAAAGGCCTAAAGTGGCCTGTTTGGCCCCCTAAAACGTCAGAAAAATTGCTAAGGAAATATACCTTGATGGAGGTTTTTAGCCACTTGGTGAAGTAAAGCTTTCCACAGCATAATATGGAAGCAATATGGTAGCAGTGAGGGTCAGTCAAAAGCTGCGCGAGCGGAGTCGACCTTCAAAAAAAGACTGTTGTTGGCACGTGTTTATGGCGCGGCAGCTGGCAGTTGGCGGTGTTTCGCGTGGTGTGGCATCACTGGCGGATCCAGGGGGGGGGGGGCAGGCACGGGAGCCTGAGGTGCCGCTGACAGGCCCGTGGTGCCCTTGCTAGGCCTGTGGTGCCCCTGGACCCTGGCAGGCCTGTGGTGCCTCTGGCGGGCCTAGGGTGCCCCTGCTAGGCTGCTGATGCCCCTGGGACCTGACAGGACTGTGGTGCCCCTGACAAGCCTAAAGTGCCCCCAACAGGCCCGTGATGCCCCCGACAGGCCCAAGGTGCCCCTGCGTGATGCTGTGATGCCTGCGAGGCCGGTGGTGCCCCTGCGAGGCCGGTGGGGCCCCTGACAGGCCCATGGTGCCCCTGCGAGACCGGTGGTGCCCCTGCTAGACCGGTGGTGCCCCCTGGCAGGCCTGTGGTGCCCCTGCTAGGCCGCTGGTGCCCCTGGGTCCTGACAGGACTGTGGTGCCCCTGACAGGCTCAAGGTGCCCCTGCAAGGCCGGTGGTGCCCCTGTAAGGCCTGTGGTACCCCTGCTAGGCCTCTAGTGCCCCTGACAGACCCATGGTGCCCCTGCGAGGCCGGTAGTGCCCCTGGCAGGTCTCTGGTGTCCCTGACAGACCTGGGGTGCCCCTGAAAAGCCTGTGGGGCCCCTCACAGGCCCGTGGTGCCCTTGCTAGGCCTGTAGTGCCCCTGGCGGGCTGGTGGTGCCCCTGCTAGGCCGGTGGTGCCCCTGACAGGCCTGTGGTGCCCCCGGGCACCAAGGAGGGTCATGACCCATGTGGCCCCCCTTGGATCTGCCACTGATACATAATATATTGATTTGTAAAGGCGTTATGGCTTATGCAATATGCAATTGCAGGCACGTGGTATCCCTCACTTATCCCTCATTGGGGGCTCTGGCGGGCTCCTAAGGGCCCATGTCTATCTCTGGGAGCCCTAGACGGGCTCCTTTTGGTCCTTCAGTCCACTATAGCATAAGAGGTCTCCACGCGAGTCCTATACATCTGAGGGCGTACCCTGACGTCTGAGGTACCCAACTGCAGCTCCAATGGTCTCTTACACTGGCGGATCCAGGGAGGGGGCATTTAGGGCCATGCCCCCTTCCCAGAGGCCTAAAGTGGCCCATTTGCCCCTCCCAAAACGATAATGAAACATAGTTCAATCAGTGCGTGGCCCAGGAGCCAAGTTAGACAGGGGGTGTTTTACCACCTCCCGGCCCGCAAAGGGACCCAAGCACTGACTCGAAGCGGGTTAACTGGTCGACAAAAGTAATGGTAAGTGTTTACAAAGTAATATAAAGGCATGGGTCGGGTGGGCTACCATTTATATATTTTTCTTTTTAGTTAAAAAAAAAAATCATAGTGACAGGGCTGTGACGAAAAATAAGTGGCCTAAATCCGATGAGAAAACAGGATTTGGGGGTACCCTAGGTTTGGCTCCTGCATGAGTTGGCCCCCCAAAAACGCAAGCCTGGATCCGCCAGTGGACGTACGTACTTACATTTTAATTTCTAGATTATCAATATCAGCAATTCAGTATCGAGACATAACAAGCTTCGATAAAAAAAAACATCTGGCTGCGTAATAAGCTACCGAGCTTTCGGTATTGGGACTTGGACCTGTATGGAAATGATAAATTGTCACCTAGACCCCTAGCTGCGGGTTAGTCTTTGGCTATCGACTCACGTCCTTGCCGCCGCAGAAGAGCTGGTTGTCTGTGTAGTCGGGCAGTGTATCGTACCCGAACCTCCACATGGAGGCGCGACACGGCGGGTCCTGGAGGCGGCCGTGACCGCTGACGGCCACCAGCTGACAGGGTGAACACAGAGAGACGATCATGAAACTTCAATACTGAGAGAGACGTGAAACACAGGCACTGGGATAGACGTGAGACGGAGTGACAGATACAAACAGGCACTAGAAACTTTGACAAACGTCTTCACTATTTGCAAACTCAGGGGAGACACGAACAAAGTCGCGAAAATCCACCAAGAAAATATTCCATGACGTTCTATCTTGTCAATAAAGTCACTTGCATCGATAACGTATTTGTTCTAAAATATTCAGCACGGAGTGACCACTCACCAGACTCGCTATGCACCACACTCCCGTAAAGGTGGCTGCTCCCATCTGAAAGAGATCAGACTGAAGTCTTAGTGTCATACGGTGGAAACAAAGAGTCAAGAGAGGACTGCTTAGGGAGGCCGTCAGGTCAACCTCAGACCAGCAGTTCAGATGCGTCGGCCTTGTATAAGCAGATCGGGTGTGTCAGGTCAGTCTGTCAACATGTTAGGCATGTCAGGTCTGAGGTCAGTCAGTCATCATGCCAGATGTGCACTGTCAGCCAGCATACCCTAAACGATGTCGTAACTCGTCGATGTCCAGCGCTGTCAGTCACCGTCATATCTTCCTTTATTTTACCCAAGCTCAGGCATGCGTTCAACCGGAACGAGCTTCAGGATATAGATAAATGAACGAGAAAATAATAAATTATAGCTAATATTATATATAATAAATCTTAATAATAAATGAAAAGTTATAGTTATGAAAACTATGCTAAAACAACAAATCTGCCGAAAAGCGTAAAAACGTCGTCGTCGTATTTGATATGCTATCACAGTGTGAACCGTCAGGTGTAACTAATCAGGGACAGGTATCCGTTACAGTTCATCGAGTCCCAATAACAAAGCCATGTTTGTACAAGATTAGCTGGTGAATGGAACATACCGTGGTAAGATTACGAAAGAATCAAAAGGAGCATTTGGTATTTTTTATTTTCAGTCACTGAGCTTTAACGGAACATAATGAATCTAAGAAATTAAGAAATATTCAAAGCGCTTCGGGCGACCTGTTGATTGCGATTCGTGTTCTGTGACACGACAGACCTTCGGTTGCCGCCGGCGGCCCCACGAAGCTCAGTTGATGGTAGACGATTGGGCAGACCGGCTGCACTGAGGCTAGGATAAATCGAGCCGGCATTATATTCCCAAGGCTATCTGGGCCTATATGGGAGACGGCACCAGCTGGTCAGTTTTCCACCGTTGCACACGAGTTTTCCACCGTTGCTGACCGATTCACAGCCTTCCGGGTCCTATGAGGACTGTTGAGGGGTAGACAAGCAAAGCATGCTTATAGTGCTAGTGTACCGCAACAGCTGAGCCAGCTTTATCACAGCCGGAAGCTCGCCGGAAGCTCCCAGCTGGAAACTCGCTGGCTTGCAACATACGAGGCTTGCAACTCGTATGACTGTCATGGACGTATCTGTGAGGTTTCTGACTCAGATCTCGCCTAGGGTAGAAGACAACTGAATGATTCGCTGCTGTGATAATAAAAAAAGAAAACAGAAATGTACATACTGGGACACCATGGCCTGGCCGCCGCTGTCTCAGTGTGCGGCGGCACAGCCTATCCACCAGGCGTTCGGACGAGCCGTGCGGTGCGACCGGCTCTTCAGCTCCGCAGTCCGCATGTCATGCTGGAATGGACTCTGAACAGCGAGTGAGAGGGCGTCACAAGGGAGAGCGTAATCTCGGAGGATAATACTGGTCACTGATGATAGCAAGGAGAGGAACTCCAGACCACGAGATCCAGCTTAGTGAGTCCCTCTAACCGCGCCCACCGGCCAGATCGAGCTCATCTGGTCTGGTAACCTGTTGACCTGTCAACTCGGGTACATTCACCCTCACGTTCACGGTCTTTTAGAAGGAACACAAATCTAACAATTTTATATTAGTTCAGCTAAATTTTCAAGCATTTTTCATCAGCCCACCTAATTTAGAGTGGGTTTCATGAGACCGTTTGTGGATGGGACCTTGAATGCTTGCTACCACAAATCTCAAATATTCATTGCCACAAACAAGGATAACAAAGCTTCACTGAACTGCACCTTGTCTGAAATGCACGCGCAATTGACTGTCGTGCAAGCATGCATGTCGAGTGCTTCTCAAGTGGAGTCACCTACCAATGCAGACTGCTCTCTGTTCAGACACGTTCTGTTCTGTTCAGACTGCTCTCTGTTCAACACCGGCTGCAGACGCTCGCAGGCTTGGCCTGAAGCTGTGAGGTTTCCTATACTAAAATACCTACAAAAACAGACACTACAAAAGCTACAACGGTGTGAACTACATACAGATCGGCCGGCCGGTACAGCTTGGTGACCTCTCCTAGGTCACCCAGATCGGCCCTAATCGCGGGTGACCTGTCAAGCGCCGGCTTGGTGTTCCGTCACCGTCCAGTCCCTCCAGCTTTTGACGACGGCGATGATGGTGATGACTGATGGTTGTGAATGAGCGCACCGCAACAATAAAGCTTTACAGCGCCCATGCAGGTTATACGAGTATGGTGCCCTTACAAGTTATATAATGCCCATACAAGTTATATGGCACTCAGTCCAAGCTTACAATGGACTTCAACATTTGGGTGAGTGACTAGGCAAAGGTATGAGGCAGAGGCACTAGTCCTGTGCTACTGGAGCCACTGCTAATGGTCGTTACACGTATTGACCTCTACTTCCGATGCAGGTTTAGCTTTCAAAACTTTCGAGGTTTATTTATGTACCCAACGTAATGATCCATCGCTACAACTATGAGCTTGTCTGGTTACGATCTGGGAACATTTTAAATTGCAACTAGTAGCCGCTTTCACGACGGCCATCTGTACACATTTGGTGCAGATTAAGTGCAGATTTGGTGCAGATTGAGTCAAATTAGGCTCATTGTCTTTCTTAAAAGTTATCCGTTTGGGTCGCACAGATCCTTATACACCTCAATTTGCAAGTTATCAGACATTATTTTGGATTAAAACACTGAAATAAATTCATGACATAGCGATGTTTGTCTTAAGAGAGATTAGGTGCAGATTTGGTCAAATCAAATGCAATCACCGGATAGCGCGTCGTGAAAACGTCTATTATTTATCGTCCATCAAATTGTGTATTGACGACATGTCTTATATTTGGCATTTATGCTTTATTATGTGTCGGTCTGAAGCGCAGTCGGAACGAACCGCTGGTGCACACATATGTTAAACGGACTATGCATACCCCTCCCTCCGCGCGCGCTCTAGCCATCCAGTCAGATCGGGTGGGTGCGGCGGTAGCACCTGTATCTGAACCTTTGTGACGAATTGTCGCCTTATAGGGCGCACGGGCGACCGCCGACCACGGACCGCCGAACAGTTTAGTTTTAGTATGCCCTATTTGTGATATCAAATCAGTTCTTCCACTATTTCATTTGATTGTTCTATGAGAAAGAACTTTAACCGAGGCAAATTGGCTGACAAAACAGAATGAAAATCATAGTTGTTTCTTGCCGTAGGTATATTTATTTTTCCACACACTCGATCGCAATGTACCACCATTCTTTGACTCAGAGGACTCTGATATTCCCATCGCACCAACGCTGACGATGCCAGAGTTGAATGGAATGGATGGCATCGGACACGGCTGTTGCTCTTTTGAAGAGCAGTAGACTGAACACACTGCACCGTCGTTCCTCTTATTTCTAGATGACTGGTAGTTTGGTGAGCACAGGCCTGCAAATGCATATTGGCATGAGTTAATGCTTACAGTAAGGAGTTGAAAACGAATAGCTTAATTGGTATTGGCAATGATATACCTACTCAGATAAGCTTCGATAACAACTGCTCAAGTTAATAAATTTACACGGTTCATTAGCTGAGATCTTAGAATGATACTTTCGCGTTGTTCGTTAATATCCAAAGTCTGACTCAGACTGTGAAAAATACGCCAACACCTCTCTTGTGGGTCTGCCAACGCAAGCGAGTTGCAGCATCGTCCCTTTCATTTATTGGATGACCATGATAAATTCCTGAATTCTCTCTCTCTCTCTCTCTCTCTCTCTCTCTCTCTCTCTCTCTCTCTCTCTCTCTCTCTCTCTCTCTCTCTCTCTCTCTCTCTCTCTCTCTCTCTCTCTCTCTCTCTCTCTCTCTCTCTCTCTCTCTCTCTCCCTCTCTCTCTCTCTCTCTCTCTCTCTTTCTCTCTCTCTCTCTCTCTCTCTCTCTCTTTTCGGTCAAATAAAGCGTGGCTTTGATCACGTGACATACAGGTCACCCCTCCGAGCCGGGATGTCTCATTGTCTTACTCGATGACGCCGGGAGGCAGGACGGAGACATCGGCACAGCCGTAGAACTCCTCCTGGGGGCCGCAGCCGTCCATCCCGGTACCGTTTGGACAGAGTCCCCAGTCGTTGCCGCCGTGGTACCGCCACTGAGGACACAGCAGACGTAGCCAGTCATTGGGGAACGGCTTTCGTTGTCTCTGTCACTGCTGTGTAAAGTGTCAATGAATGACAATGAATCAGTGTCAATGAACGACACTTGTTCCGTGTGAAGGCGATTGAGGGAGTGAAGAGAAAATACTGCAAATAAATACATAAACGCATCAGAAATTGCTGCAGGTTGAGTTTGTTGAGTTTCCTTTTTCCAAGCAATGTGCGAATATTTTCATTCCTTACATTCTGCTCCCAATATCAGTTGTTCGGTCACGTAGAAACCTACCTGGAAGACGCAGTGCTCGCACTCGAGGTCCTCGGGCAGCTGCAGGTTTACCACGAAATCGCGCACCTCATCTGTGATGTAGTATTTGGTTGAGTCCGAGCCAGCCAGCTTCAGAATGTTCCTAGAATAGTGAAAGAGCGCTTCACAAGTGTCTCGATATTATGCCGCTTTATCTAGGGTGAGTGTTTCAAACATTGCTAGTATGCATAAGCAAAAACCTGCAGGTCTGGGAAGTGAGATATTGAAGGTTTTCAAAAGAAGACTGAGCTGAATGGCACGAAAGCTTGAAGGGATAAATAATAGACGCCCTCCACCTAAAAAAGAAACAACACATAAGTTTACATAGATAACAGCATCGGTCATTGACTGTATCCAAAACCTCACGGATCCTGAGTCCTGATGAGGGCTTACTTATCCAGACACTCCTGCGTGGCCTCGGTGTCAAAGCCGGGCACTTCACAAATCTTGAATTGGAAGAAGCCCAGATGGTTTGCTGTGATGGTAACGACCACCTCAATCTCCTGTAAATATGAAGACAAAACGATCGTGATGCATGGATAGATGAGCAACCATATTGAGCATTAACGCTCGACTAACTTTTCTGTTGTCTTTTACAAGATATACATTGCAAACCAGAAATGCAAAATTACTTCCGAAATATGTGGGGCGGAGACGCAAAAATAGCAGGGTTTTCACAGAATTCGAGAGGGGTGGCAATTTTATCGAGGGCAGTGGATTTGAAATACAACGACATACGCATTGATGAATTCGGAAATTATATCATTGCAAGTGTGGTGATTAATGATCAGCTTGAAGTTATATTAGTGAATACATATGGCCCAAATATAGATGATCCCCATTTTTTTATTAACGTGTGGGATATATGCGAAAAAATGAAAGGAGAGAAAGACGTGCCATTTATTTGGGGTGGAGATTTAAATATCACTTTAAATTTTTCGATAGATGCCCTTAATTATTCCCAACAGCATAATAAAAAAGCCACTGATGCAGTAAAAAACATCATGAATCGTAGTGATTTGATCGACATTTACAGAGAAATTAAGGGCGAAAGGCAGAAGTTTACTTGGAGAGTAGGCAATCCTGTTAGAAAGTGTGCAAGATTAGACTACTTTCTTACGTCAGAATCCTTCATGCCAATGGTAACAGATGTTGATATCATTCCAGGTTATCGAAGCGATCATTCTATAATTACAATGGAACTGAACCTGACAGAGCAAAAGAGGGGGGAAGGGTTCTATAAAATGAACACATCTTTGCTAATGGATCGAAAATATGTACAATTAATAGAAAAGACAATAAGGGACACGATTTTAATTTATGCTCTTCCAGTTTATTCAGTTACTTTTGTCAGAGAAAAACCAACAGAAGTTGAGGTGATGATCAGCTGGAGTGCATTTTGGGAAGCTCTGATTCTGAACATGCGTACTGAAACGATTTCCTATTCAATTCATAGACGTAGGAAGTTAGTAGAAGAAGAGTTCAAAGTAATTAAGGAAATTCAAAGATTGGGAGATCATGAAGAAGGCGAGACGTCCGACGAAGTACAGTCAAGACTATCAGTCTGTAGGGAAAAATTAGAGGGCCTTAGGAAAATAAAAATGGAGGGTATTGTGACACGAAGCAGGGCTCGCTGGTACGAGGAAGGCGAGAAATCGACAGCATCTTGGGGTTAGAAAAAAGAAATTATGTTAATAAAAACATTGCTTGCCTGTGTGATGCAAATAATGAACGGAGAACAAAACAAACAGAAATAATGGATATATTAGTTCAACATTTTTCTGAGTTATTTACTGAACAGCCCATTGATTGCACAGAGGCGGAGAAATTTGTAGATGATCTACATATGGAACAGCTCTCACAAATACAGTTTAAGGAATTGAATAGACCGGTGACGCTTCAGGACCTTACCGATTCCTTAAAAGGAATGTCGAATAATAAGGCGCCGGGAACAGATGGATTTCCAGCAGAATTTTATAAGCTATTTTGGAAAGACTTAAAACTTTTTTTTCCATAGAATGGTAATGGAAAGCTATGAAAATGGTAGGCTACCAACGTCTTTAACTGAGGGAATTGTAACACTCATTCCAAAACCTCTGAAGCCTAAAGATGAGATAAAATCATATCGGCCGATAACGTTACTAAATTCGAGCTTTAAGATAGTTGCATCTGCAGTAGCAAATAGAATAAAAAAGGTCTTACCAGATGTTATTGGTCATGAACAAACGGGTTTTATACAGGGTAGATTTATTAGTGACAACACTAGACTTACATATGACCTTATTCATCATTTAAATAGTACAGAGAGAAGTGCTTTATTTCTTAGCTTGGACATTCAGGATGCCTTTAATTCAGTTAACTGGGACTTCATTCGCATAATGTTGAAGAAGTTAAACTTCCCTGCATTTTGTATTCGGTGGTTCGATACGCTTTCTTCAGAGGCTGCCTCATTGATTGTTTATAATGGACATATATCAAAACGGATCAAGTTAGGAAGATCATGTAGACAAGGAGACCCTCTTAGCCCATATATTTTTGTGATTGTAATGAACGCATTGCTTCAAAGAATTAAACAAAACAGAAATATTTCTGGAGTCAGAGTAGGTGATTTGGAAATCAAGATGTCTGCTTACGCGGACGATGTGATCAGTGATGTGCTATTTAGATGGTAGCGTGAATAGTTGTAGGGTTTTATTCGAAGACTTAGGAATCTTCGCTAAATACTCTGGATTAAAACCTAATATTAAGAAGACCCAGGCGTTTTGGGTAGGTAAAGATGCAGAAACAAGAGAGCCAATTTGTTCAGATTTGGCTTTAAGATGGACAAAGAAACTTCAGGTTCTGGGAATCATTTTTGCTAATGACGAGACTCAATCAGTGGAAGAGAACTATGGCAGCAAGCTAACGAGAATTAGTGCAATTATTGCCAGCTGGAATAGACGCAATTTGTCGCTGGGTGGTAAAATCATAATCATCAAGACGTTGTTACTACCGATTTTGACACATATACTTACATCACTCCCCAGTCCGCCAGAGGAGTTTATGAAAAAGTTGAAAGCGACATTATTCCAGTTCATTTGGAACGGAAAAGTTGATCGGTTGAAAAGAAGTAGTATTTATAGAGATCATTTAAAGGGAGGGTGTAATATGGTAGATGTTGACACGCACGATACCGCCCTGAAAGTTACATGGGTGAGGAGAGAAATCATGGGTAATCATGACTGGTGCAAGTTGTTTAGGCAAGAAATAGCACGATTCCAGTTTATCTGGGAGCGCAATGCAGATTCATTATTGGAAATGGGAAGAAATATGTCCAATAAATTTTGGACAGATGTTGTACGAGCAATGGCAAAATATGATCAGAGCATCATGGTGGACATAGAAGATGTTAATCGACATTCCGTGTGGTTTTCAAATCATACAAAATTTAGAAACTATGAAATAAAAGCATGGAGGCAAAAAGGAATAGTTTACATCAATGACCTATTAAGGGACAATGGAGAAATAATGTCCTTTGAGGAAGCAAAAGCTACTTATGATCTGAAAGGGACAATAATAGATTATCTAGGTCTGGTACATAGTCTGGCTGTTGAATGGAAAAACAGACAAGGCAAAGTAAAGGAAGCATATCCTATTATTCACCCAAATGTTCAAGCGATCATTAGTCAGAAAAAAGGCAGTAAGTATATTTATAACACACTTCTATATCATAAATTCAAGGGAAGTAAAAATAGTTGGGAGTTGGGTTGGGAGCAAGAGATGGGACAGATTGACTGGTTGAAAGTATATGAAGCAAATCTTAGACTAATTTCGGTTAAATATCGAACACTACAATACAAAATTTTAACGAAAACTGTGGCAACAAAACGTTTACTTTACCAAATGGGCATAACCGTATCGTATAGATGTGACAGATGTACGCAATGTATCGATACTATAATGCACAGATTCTGGTTTTGTCCATTGATCAGAGCATTTTGGAAGGACGTTGAAACATATCTGAGGAACGTAGGCTTAGTTCAAAACATGTCTTTTTTTAACTTAAAAATGATAATTCTAGGAAATGATGAATTGCTGGCTATTAATCACATCATCATCGTAGGCAAAACGATGATTGCTGGTAAATACCTACTTTCTGTTGACATTTTATTAACTATATTGAAAAGGGATATGATCACGGAAAAGCACATAGCGCTTAAAAGGGGAAAATTACGTGACCATGAAAAGAAGTGGGCAGGGTTGGTTGAAGCATTTGACCGGTCTAGCTAAAAAGGATTGTAAAAGTGTGTAGGATGCTGGGAGTCACCAGGCGATCAGTTTATTCTGTTGTTTCTCTTCTTATCTTTCCGTGTGAAACGATGTCATAAGCTGAATACAAAAAAAAACTTTTCTGTTGCTAATGTTGCACTATGAATGGAAACTCAAACTCGTTATTGCACTGACATTAGTGTTCATCAGGACAGAACGCATCGTCAATATGCCTCATCCAATATCCATGCCCATTGCCCACTAGGTACTTACAGGGCTTTGGGAAAAGATGCTATATTCTAATGGATTAGATAATGATATCAATGACCCAGCCCTTACCTGGCCGACGGTATAGTTGCTGACGATTATGCCCTTGTAGTAGGGTCCTCCGATCTCGTGAGTGCGCGGCTGAGGCTCGTCATAAGGGTCGCCGCAGATACCGCACTTTCCGCCCATGTCATGCTGTTGGTGCTGCTCGAACAGCAAAGCACAAACCATGTGAATGAAGCTAGGAACTCGACTCTAAGCCACTTCTTTTGCAATTAAGCATGACCATTAATCGCTGCTCATGCTAGGGCAAAGGGAGATCCTGTCATTTAACTTGCGTGATAAGTGGCACATACTGTCGTTTCAGTTGACTGTTGGCTGTGAGGGGTGGAACATCTTGACACCTTTGCCTCCAGTCTTTTACTGCGGGAAAGTCTATCTCACTTGGACATGAGCCAGCTTATAAGGACCTCGTCCTTTGACTCACGTCCTTTCCGCCGCAGAAGAGCTGGTTGTCGTTGTAGTCGGCCGGCGTGTTGTACCCCCATCGCCACATGGTGGCACGACATGGAGGGTCCCAGAGGCGACCGTGGCCGCTCGCCGGACCGACCTGAACGCGGGTCACAGCGGCAGAGGTCATGTGCGTGGAGTCCGGACCATGTCAGTGGCATGGCACTTTGACCCTGAATGTTAACGATGTTGAGGGTAATGAAGCGATTCTTGGAATGATTTTATCCAGTGCCAGAATATGTATTCAATAGGCGTGCTCAGTTTGTTACTGCAAATACTGCTAGAGATAACGCTGTGAGACTTTGTGATGAAGACTTTTTGACAGCGCTGTGGAGAACGCTTCACAAATGAAGCTAAGTTGCAACTTACCAAATATGATGACACCAGCAACAAACATGTAAGGACCATCATCTGAAAAACAAGATGTTCCTGTTTAAGGCCGTCAAAATGTCGTTAAATGTGGATCGTAAATACTGCAACACTGAAGCCTCACTGCAGTTAATCCACTTAAAACCTGCGATTAAGCCTGCTTCATTTTTGTAGTATCTTTTCCTATGAGAAGTATACAGAACAAAGAATAAAGAATGGAACGACATTATAAATTCAGTGGTATATTCAGTCGTGTTATCATCTGCTGTATACAGATGAGTTGACAGTCAGCCTGGACCTCCCTTTTTGTCAGTCATTCAACGGGATGTTGGGCTCACCTTTGGTGACACGGTGGTGAGCTGAAGATGCGCCCCGTGACGCTCGTGACAGCCGTGTGACGCCGCTGGCCACACCCGGCCGTCGGACCGTCACACTGCAGGTGGTCGCCCCTGATTGCAGAGATGCTGACCGCGGCAGGTGACAGTTTCCCATATGCAACGCGCTTCATGAACGCTTGCGACAGAACTTCTGACGCCTCATTGAAGGACAGATATTGAGTTTCAAGGTAGGCATGACCTTGCAGTGTATGAGAAAAGACAGTAAGATAAGATATTGCGTGCTGCATTGTCCATCTTATTTGATTTTCCTGGATCAATCAGTCTAAGATTTTCTCATATTAAAGTCATGTCGTGCCAAAATAAAGAAACGTGAAGTTGATTTAGCGCTCAATACTTGTTTGACTTTTTTATACATTTTATTAGGCGAGCAACACAACACACAATCTTCCCATAGATCGCGCATTGTTTATTCCTTCATGCATCTCAAGGTGTGTCCGACATATGTACCTGTTTTAGGCGTCGATTTCGAAGCACCTATCGTCGACCCAGCGAAATGCCCTGTATCGGTGCCAGTCGTTCAAGGGCCTCAACAAAGTCAACATGGCCTTGGAAAGAGCAGCATGTGTGACGTACAGAATGCAGATGTATACACATGGTTGTTTGCAAGGGCGGCTTCAGATATCGGCGAGACGCTGTTGAGAAGAGTCAGTACTCCGTGGGTCCACTGAGGGTAAGTTGTGAGTGGAACTCGATCTCATGGGGCTCGTGGTCCTGTTAAGAGGAGATCAGTGCATTTCTCTAAATTCTTATGACATTGCGTCACTTTATCTTTATTATAAATTTCTATAAATTTTGTGGTTTAGATGAGTTTTTTTTTAAAGAAATTGACGTTGAAATGCTTCTGTTAAAATTGTCGCTGGAATATTAAATAGAGTCGATGAAAATACTTTGTTTATGATTATTCTATGTTTGCTCTTAATGCGTCATTCCGTAAGACACTTTAGCAACCCATTTTTATCCATGCAAACTTCTTTGTGTGAAACAAACGAAAAATATCATTGTTACAGTAGGTATGTACTTCTTATAATCTAGCACAAACATGTTACCACCAGGCATTGAAAAATGTCCCGTAGATCCAAGATTTTCATAGAATAATGGCCTCAGAGCATAAATCGATCAGTTAGCCCAGAACTGGGTCTATGTTTGGTTTCCATATTTATGTTGGAATGGAAATTGTGATCCCTTATTTCTGAGAGTTATGATAATAAGCCATTTTTATGTACTTTAACTTGGACAGTAAGAACTAGGCTAATTATTTACGCTTGTACGTACATGTAGGTGAAGAGTAAATAAATTCCTTAAAAGCATAATCAATATCTCCTATGAAATATTTCTGTATTATGTAAGTACAAGGTCTCTGCTAAAACTGCCAAATATGGTTTTGTCACTTCAAACTTCAATCGTTTGATGCTTCGTTGCTTCGGCGATCCCGAAACATTTTGTAAGCTAAGGATTAATAAGTGAAATGTTTGTTTGATTTGTGTTTATAGCGTCAAATGCAGAGAAGCCACCATAAACGAAAATTTAAGGCCTAATCGCTGCTATCAAGTGAAATGAGTGTACACTACATAATATCATATATATACATGGTTTTAAACAACTCTCATGCAAATTAAAGAAAGTGAAAAGCAAATTAAACTTTATGAGACTTAACCCTCGCCCATGTAGGGGGGGGGGTTGGTGCAACCCCCCCCTGAGGTTTTTCTTAGCTACACGCCGAACCGTTTCAGATAGCCTGCTCAAATTTTCAGTACCCCATGGGGCATCCTTTGCGCAACTTTTGGTATTTTTTGTCAAGGTCATGTCAGGTCACGGAGTTATGACGTCATAAGGGGAACAACCTCCGGCCAGATTTACGCTAAATTGGAGATTGCTTCACATTGGTATAAATGCCGACTGACCTGACACACTGATGGATTGTTTAGAATCACAATTGGCTGATTTGACATTGGCACAATGTCCGTTGACAGGAATGACCTTGCAGACTTCCGATGCTCCCAACGCATCATTTTTAGAGCTATGACATCAAAATACACACCAAACGATAGAGAATTGATCAAGGATCACGATAGTGAAGGTTTCAAGTCGACATCTCTTACCGTTTTGCCGCAATCGGCCCGGAAATCTGAAAAAGTTAGATTTTTCCGAAAATTTGACCTTTGACCGGTCATAAGTAGGTCAAATGTTGACCTAGGACAAAAAATATATCACCAATCGCGAGATCTCGTTGAGAGCAATCCGTTGGTCTTTTCCGCTAAGCTCTACGACGCTCCGTTTGCAAACGCCAGGGGGGGGGTCGCACCAACCCCCCCTGCATGGGCGAAGGTGGCAAAACACCGTTTACGGGCGAGGGTTAACCCGGCAGTTGCTGGGGTATTTCGCCACCCACCGTTTGCTGGGGGGGGGGGGGGCGTTAAACGCCCCCAGCCGATAACTCGAGAACCAATAGGCGCAGCGAAACGCACGAGGCGGCAAACGAAAGAACGCGACGAGACGCTTCAGATGAGTACTTTAAAGTTGAATTTTGAGGTCACAGGTCAGGTCAAGGTCAGGTCAAACACCTGAAATCGGGCTTTCAGTAGCATGGACTTCAGGACTTCGCAATGGGCGCCTCTCGTCATAAACTCTGTCAAAACGGTGCACAATCCATCATATAAGGCCTACAAGAGTGTCAGCTCCATGCAGGGGTCAGTCAAGCATAGGTCAGGGTCAAGGTCAGGTCAACCGGGCAGGCACACATCCCCGAAAATAAAAACTGATATTCGCAGCCTGTGACACATGTTTTATGGGTAATTTGGGGCGTAGAACACGATGGTGACATTTATTTTATCATATGTGTACGTGTTTGGCTAAAAAAGTTCAATTTAAGAAATTCATGTATCATGGTCGTGAAGTAGTCACGAGAAATTGCCAAGATTCAGTTCAAGATTTTGGAAAATGCGGAACTATAATCAATAATCGAAGATAGCCATTTGATTTTCATGGTATTGGCAGTCTAATGGCGTTTACGGCATGTCTATATGTCTATTTTGTGATTTTATATGATTTTTTGAACATATGCCATTTTTGGTCGAAAACTCAGAAATCATGACGTCACTAAAACCTCGATATCTCAAAAAATTTTCGACCGATTTTTTTTAAACTTTGACACAATAAACTTCAATCAATTCCCTACAGGTACCCAAAATTTGGCGCGCCTGCGGCGCGCCGTTTTTATGCTATGGCCCGGCGAAAAAAGTGGGGGCGGTTAACGCCCCCCCCCCCAGCAACTCGCGGGTTAATTTAATATGCTCTAATATGTCGTAAAATTATGTATGTAGTCAGGATTGCATTTTAGTCAGAACTGGATGCATGCAGGTACCATAGAAACGATCTCGAAGTTGGTATTGATTTGGATTATGCTTAGGTATGCATCTCCATCCGCTCCTAAAACAAACATTCTGTGCAATAGGGTAGGGTGGGGTAATTTGAACATGTGGGGCAATTTGAACATAGTGTGAATAACACAAAATTACGGAAAATCCATAAGTGGCATGACAATAAGACCAATGAGAGAAATTATCGTAACTAAAAGGGCTATCATATGAACGGGGTTTAAAGTTTCAGGGAATGAAGATGTTGACGCACAGTGTAAAAAATCAATTTCGCAAGGATAAACGCCTAACAACACGTCATTGCAACTTCATTGCAGCGCAAAATCTTGCATTGCTAGCGCCTAATACGCAACGGCTTTTGTTGTACAATGACCTAATCAGTGCCTTCAATCCAAGAAATTTGCTTTGGAACCCTGTTTTTAAAAAATTGCAAAATAACTTTTAGCGTGGGGTAATTTGAACATAGTGTGAGAATTTCAATGAAGACAGGGATAGCTCCGAAAAAACAACGCTCCCAGTTTTTTTTTGCCAATATTTTTTACCCAAAGCAGTAGCAGATAAGTGATGCCAGTTTTAGAAAATTTACGTCTAATATCCGTCTAATGTCTGGCATTTTCGTTGATTTTCCGTCCAAAAATGTTAAAGTCAACTATTTGTCCAAATATGTCCGAAAATTATGCAGCTATCAACACTCAAAACCGTCATTTATATTGCTTATCATGTAATTTTACCAGCCGAAAAGTGTTCATTATATTGAGAGCTTAACAAGCTTTCCATTCGCCAATCAATGCTACGCACGATTACTTGATAAAAATGCTTAAGTGTGGCAGGCCATCGTCCAACGTTGTCCAGACTTCTATACCTTTGTGCAATCAATTCTGAATTGGACATTATAAAGAATCGGAACTCCGAATGTCCAGGTTCCGATTGACACCACTATAACAGATGAAGTAAGGTTTGGTAGAGTTTTATCGAACGGAGATGATAGACGTTCTGTTAATTGAAGAGAGGCGAATTCTGTCAACTGACCGGTGTGCAGCGTGCAGATATTGATACTCTGCAACTCTTATTTTTGTTGTTGTGTTGATTTTTCAAGTGATGGTAATTTTAGAATTGCTCTGCCTATTTGTGTATCGGTCAAACAACACCGGTGCTGGCGAGACTATCTTTTTCATGGCAGGTAAAGACAGTATGTTCAAATTACCCCACGGTGGGGCAATTTGAACACACCGTGACTTGGTGGAGAAGTGATGCTATGCTATTCAAGGTATGCTCGGCTCGTCCAAAAATGAGGCTTGCATGGTGAAAGCAAGTGACACATGCGCTACTGAAACAGTTTTTCTTCATGCAGGGTTGAGCTGGAATTTGGTACAACGGAGAAGACGTAAAAATATGTTCAAATTACCCCACACTACCCTATGTTACACAAAATTTTTAAACGCTTTTACTGGGAAACGCTTGTCATAAACTGCACCGCAGGGCATAATGAAAGGGAGCGAAAACAAAAGGAGAACTTTTTTTGGGAAAATTCCTAGGCCACCACCCCACAGCATCTCAAGTCACTTTTCTTGATTCGCCAGTGACTTTCTGCACCTAAAGCTACCGATGAACTTCGGTAGGTGATTTCGTCAGATAAGGCCTTCTTAGCCAGCGAGTGGGGTGCCTTGGTACGACACTGGCACTGGCACATCTTGTAAACAGATCTCTTTGTACCGGCACACCCATCAGCACTCATCACTTCGGGTGCAACGTGCCGGTACAGTTTAAACGTCACAGCGCATGGCCATGTGGTCGGTACTGGGCAACGGGTATGTTAACATTCGCTATAGTACTACGGGTCAGATACCTAATGTAGTCGAGCGTTTACTTTCGAGCATGTACCATCTTAGTTATTCTTGGATAAACACTTCATCCAATCACTATAAATAGCTGTACAGTACACGTCCAAGTGCTGTCGAATGTAAGCTATGATCTCTTGACAAGGGTCAGATAAACATCAAGCCAGACTGAACATGGCCGAGGTCGAATGCAGTATAACCTGGATGGGTACGGCGAATGGCATGTGATCCCTTGTGATCCATGTACGATTTTACTAACATGCTTTGCCAAGTTCAAGTGGCTCGGAGAGTCTGAAAGATGGGGAAATCGAGGTAATATGACGGCAACAATGCGATGAGATCACGCTATCGCGTAGCTTAGCTTGTGCATTGTGTTATACTTCTTATGGCCATTGCTTTCTTAATTGCAGGTTCCAGTAGAATATCCGGAGGATAAATAAATTCATTTGCAATATCCGCGTTGCTGTGGTCTGCAGCATCTGCTTCGTTTCGTCCTGTATTTTCTGTACAACTGATATACCATGGAGAACGGTAAGTGACGGGGGATATTCTAAACAAAAACCAAATAATACCCATAAACGTCGGCGCATAGACCTCTGTACACGGTGTACAGAGGTCTATGGTCGGCGTTATTACCAGTTTTTTATCCATAGGGCAATTTTTGATAAAATATGTTTACCAATAAAAAGGCGTCCGTCGCAATGTTAGTGCTTCATGGTAGGTAACTGAATGTTTTCACAAGTTCATATCTGATGAGGCTATCGAGTGCCGTTCAAATCTTGCCAGGCCTGTAGGACTGCTCTAGACCCTGCAATTTGGACCCTGCTCACCGTTGAGGAAAAGGGTTTTGACACTCTACGAACTCAAAAACCAAAAGTTGGCTAATTATACAAATGCAAACGGCGTACGATAGCCTCATCATCTATTTATATAATTGGGAAGAAACACATGATTACGTGTGAAGGCACGCGCGGGCGGCATCTGTGCTACTTGTTGGCTGGCCACTGACCACTGGCCACTGACCAGTGACCACTGACCACTGATCACTGGCCACCGACCATTGACCACTGACCACTGCCTACTGATAACTGACCAGTGACCAGTGCCTACTGACCAGTGACCACTGACCACTGACCAGTCCCCGTTGACGACCGATCAGGTTTGCACGGCGTCTGAGACTGACGTTTCGAGTTCACAGGCGGAGACAGCACAGCGAAGATTAAGTATTGTTCTCTCGGGGACGCCCCGCTGAAAGAAATCGAAGACTTGCTGACACATGGGTTTGCGAAGGATGCAAGCTTGTGAGTGCTTCACTTTTATACTACTTACATCGTGTAGATTACAAGCATGAGCAGTAATCGCCACGCAATTTGAGAATGTGTATCGCTCTTGAATGTGCAATACAATGCAATACAATACATGCATCAATGTTAGCCTCTGTTGTGATGCAAGACGATAATTTCAAAGCATAATTTTGGTTATGCTTTTCTTCAAATATGTTGCTCACACCATTAATCGATTCAGTATGTTTTGAGAATTATTATTTTTTTATATATACTTGCCGGTGTATAGTACCTTTTACATATACCCTTAATTGTCAGTCTAATACCAGCCGACCCCGTTGCGTGTTGCCAGTCTGGTGCTGTGTCGGAACTGCGAGGGCGGCCAGCCGGAGGACCATCGTCCCTGGGTGAAGGCGGTCATCAGCACACACGACTGGAGAGTCTCGCGAGTGGCGGTGGACGCCGCTACAGGCGCGGTGGCCGGCGTCTGCCTCTGTGACATATTCACAGCTGACCGCCCGACCCGGTCTCTCGAACCCCTGATGCAATGCGACACCGAGGCGTGCCGCCTCCTTACTAATTACCTTCACCAGATAGAGGGCGATTACGATGTGCTAAAAGCTCTGGCAGTGGACAAGGCTCTCTATTTGAGCATGGTGGCCGTGGACGAGAGGTAAGTAGCGTGTGAGGCTGTATTTCGAGCTCGTTACCTGTCTGTAGAGTCTAGAGTCTCTAAAGTATTTTGTTACTATGTTAGACATTGCACTACGACGCATTGCTTGGGTATGTGTATTTGCCGCATATTTATAGTTTTGGAGTTTAAATGTTATGACTCACTCACGCGACATATGTGCTTTTCTGAGAGATCTTACTGTAAACTTTCAGGTATCGCCGTCAGGGCATATCACTTGAACTCAGACGTCAGTGCCTTGAGCTGGGTCGTCAGCAGGGCTGCCAAGCTGTTGTCGACGTCGCTATCTCACCGTTCACACGCAAGGCTCTCACCAAGCTCGGCTTTGAGCGGGTGAAGTTCGTGCCATTCACCCAGTCGGTGCTCGCTGGAGTTGAGAAGGTCGACCTGTCGGGCTGTGGACCCGACGATGGAGCCGCTCTGATGGTTCGCCGGCTATAAAAGTGACTTCAGGGGAGCTTAAAGGCCGCCCCACACTGGACCTCGCATGCGGGTTGCGAGTTTTTATGTTTTTGGGTTTCTTTAAAATTGATAAGTGACCTGCGGAAGTTTTAACTGCGGGTTTACGTCGCAGTTAAGTACAATCTAAGCTGAGTGACCCACACTACCATCTAACAAGCGAGTCTGCATGTTTTTAGCTTGCGATCCACCTTGAATCGCATTCCAAAAGTTGATTTTGAGTCAACTTTCGATTTTCCTCGCTGCGAGGTCTGCGAGTTCTGCAAGGTTTGCGGGCTTTTTCTTTGGAGTCGAATTTTGGTTCGTTGCGCTGGTATTGCGACTACATGTAATGTTCTGAAGGTGTACCGGCTTCACTGCATTCATGGAGTTACCTAAGGGAACGGTCTAATCACTCTATGAATTAGTATTATGTCCGCAAACTCAAAACCCGCAAACTCGCAACCCGCATGCGAGGTCCAGTGTGGGGCGGCCTTTAGAGATCATCTGGAGTGAGATACATACATATTACATATAGATGCCTCTCGGGTCTAGCTTATCTTATTAGTTAATCGTAGCTGAATGAATGTATTTTAGCTTTAAATGTATGTACTGGATGCTGCCACATACTGTATTTGCGAGTTGAGGAAATGTGAAACTGAGTTTTGATGGGGCTCAAGAAAACGCGCGTCGATGTTTCGATTGTTGCTTTTTTCGCTTTCACAATTTGTAATTTTGCTAATGAGAGCTACTGAGCTAGGCTTTGATGACTGTATTTTATGCTGATGTTGCAGCTCGATTGGATGAGACGAGAGATAGGCTGGAGCTTTCTAAGATCTAAGACCTTCATTTCAATTAATTTCAGCTACAATAAAAGGCCCTATAAGGATGCCGTTTGTGATGTGGATGGCAATGCAGAAATCGAGCTCTGTGCTGCAGACCAGTTAGCTATACCCATCGAGCTAGCAGTCCTCGTTTGTGTTTTAACGAGCAAAGCCTGTTTTTGAAATTGTCTTTTAAATAAAGATGCATTCAGAAATGCCGGGAAAATTACATAAGCATGTGCTTCTAAGAAGTCATATAGTTAGTGAAGGAAGTGTGCTTATGTGCTGAACGGGTCAAAGTTAAGTGACTTCTAACTCATTTGGGGCCTCATATCCTATCCGCTCAAACAGGACGTTGATTAAACGAGCAGACTGTATCACATGCGAATATGTATTTGAATAAAATCATATCAAGTGAATACCACCTCCACAAGCAATAAACGTCTCCGCAATATGAGTCCTAAAATGACTTCAGGTTTGATGTCGAAATTGACAACAACTGTGACAGAAAACCTTACAAGGAAAACCTTACAAGGGAACGCTGGCTAGAATCACCGGAGCATATGCGTCATCTGAAGTTTTATCAGAATTCTCCGATATGTATTGGTGCGGACCAATATCCGATGAGAACTGGCCACCTGACTACGTGGCGATCCGGATACGGGCGGTGGATATTATATCGAACGCCAAGTGCGGCCGCTTAGTTCCGTAGTAGACCGTGTGACAGGCTGAAGAAGGTGGGCTCGAGGAACCCCTTTTGGATCACCGAGGTCTTCACTAATCCAATGTGAGTACACCGATACTGTAAACGACTTATGTCTCGTTACCAAGCGAAAATATCGTAAGAAACAAACTTTCTGCTAAAACCACGCGACGGTATTCTTATAAGTGCCGTATGGAATGTTATCCCGCGCACCGACGGGGGGGGCGGATATCCGCCCCCCCTGAGGTTTTTCGCGAATCGAAATTTGGTATGACTATAACCTCATCAATTTTACACATGGTGTGCAAGTTTGAACCTCCTACCTTTAAAGGTCAGGTCACCAGGTCACTTTGAATGACCCAACCTCAAGTCACTTTTTTGCAACTTTGTCACCATGCCAGAGCTACAGTAGATTTCGGAGGCCTTTGAAAGTCGCAGGATATTATTAGGTCATTAGTAGCTACAATTTGTATATCTCGGAATTTTGATATCGGTGACCTAAGGTCAGGTCAATTTCGCGACCTCCCCATTATAAGTCAATGGGGGAAAAATCAACTCCCTGTTTTTACCACTAAAACGGGTCGGAATGGCCCCATATACCATGCATGACTTCATATACGATCAACCTTCACTACCTTGAGGTCTGTTTTGCTGTTGGGCAGCTGTGAGGTCATGTGACGTCATCAAAGGTCACCAAAGGTTTTTGGCCAATAACTCCGTACAGGAACAAGGTACAGACGCGTGGATGGTCTCATTGTGTTCAGCTCATCAAGACGCATCGAATGATATACATGATGACCTCGAGGTCACGTGACCTGAGGTCAACCTTTGACCTTGACCTTTCGAGGTCAACATATATATCATTCGATGCGGATTGACGAGAGGATCACGATGATGCCCTCAGTTTGTTCCTATCTTGACTAATTCGAAAGTTATTCGAGAAAAACTCTCTCCATATCTAGCGCCGCCATTTTGACTTTTTGGACCCCTGTGACGTCATCTTTGACCTGACCTGAAAATGACCTTAGTAAAAATTGTAGATCTTGGCCGTGCGTATCCGATGCCGTTTACCGCTTGTCGCTATCTTGCTTCGTTCTCGAGATCTCAGGGGGGGGGGGGCGGTCATCCGCCCCCCCCCCCGTCGGTGCGAAGCTGGCGCAGACCCCCGTCGGTGCGCGGGTTATGATTATGTAAGCTGACATTTCTCTGGCTAGTAATTGTAGCATCGAATCGTTGGTAATACCGAAGTTTGGTGTTTGATACAAACGTCATAATTACCTGTGCCCAGGGACTCATTAGGCATTGAAAACACTTCAGCAGCTCCTTATGGTCATCACTTGGTTGAGCAAATTACCCTCGAAAATAATTTTAGTAGCCTAATGTCTATTTGGGCTACTTCCTGTAGTCTATTGTCGATTGAAGACAATTCAAAACATTGAATCTCATTGCGGTGATGAAATCTCTTTACAATGTTATGAAGACAAACCATCAAAACTGATCATTATCATAAAGATGGATATTTTGCCGGTTTCGAATGGCCTGGTGAAGAAGCTTGCTTAGAATATGTGGTATTGTCTGTTGTGTTCAAATTGTCTGAGACGTTTTCTTGGGGACTACATTTTTAGTACCTATCAACAAGGATAAGGTCACTAACGCAAACTCCAAGCACCCCTTTGTTTGAGAAGTAGTTGATGATCCATAAGTTTCATATTTGATTGACCGAATCCTCAATATAATCTGAATAAAATGACAAATTAGCAAAATTTGGGTATATTCGATCACAGATCTTTGTCACCCGTTGCATTTCGACTCTCTTAAATCCACAAGTTTCCTCTTATTTTTGATGGGACATCTATATATAGGTAAATGCTTAGGGGGGCTGGCGCTGACAATGTTTGGTCTATTTTCGGCGAAACGGCTAAGAGTTCTATTTTTTAATTAATATTCAGCTGCGCAACGGGCTTGGTGGGCGTCATGAAATATGTGATGTAAGAAATGGGACCGTTGCGGAGTGAGATCGAGAAGCACCCGCGTTTGTGTTGCTCGCTGTGTTCTCTTTTATCTAGACACTTCTAATAATGCTGCCCATTCCAGATGAAGTCTATCGCTGCCCTTCTTTTGGTGTCCGCGTATATGGTAAGTCATCCGTAATAGTGTAAACCTGAGCATTATATAAAAAATGTTGGAGGTCACTTCATTGAAATGCTTAGCCCGCGCCCCACTGGGGAGGGGACTATTCATAGCCCCCTCCCGTTTTTCTGCAATAACTTGTAAACCGCTTAACATATCGACGTCAAACTTTCATTACCTTTGGCTGCATTAATGTGACATCTTGTGTCAAAATATAAATTTCGTAGCTGCCATAGGTCGGCCGAAAATGACGTCAGAGTGACGTCATGTTCGGCCGATTTCGACGCAAAACATTGAACCACGGCAATCGCTCCCAAGAGCTCAGTTTTCAAGCTAGATCCAATTTCTTTGCATGAGAGGACTCAGAATAAACTGCGCTATCAAGCTGTTATCTCAGATTTTCAAAATTTTGAAAATTTTGAAAATAATATATATTAAAATTGAAAATTTATATTTTTATCTCTTTTTTTCTAAAAGTTTTGACTTTTCGAAAAAACCGGAATATATGTGATAGAACATATGCTTATAATTTACTCTAGCAAGTTTTAGCCAGATATCTTAAAAATGGCCAGGTTATACGCATTATAGCAAAAATTTCACCCTTACAAATTTTTCAAATCAATTTTTCAGTACATATTTGACATGGTACACCAATATAAATAGCACCGTCGTGTTTCTGAACTCAAACTGCATCCGATAGACGCGTTTTTTTTTTTGTTGAAAAATTTCAACTAAAAATTTTTACCTTTTTTACCTGAAAGTGGCCTGACCTAAGCTAAATTAAGCTCAAAATGACCTCGAATGACATAAACGACATCGAATTCGAAATCTATGGCCGAAATGGACCTTAAAACATGTGTCACGTGACCGACGCATGGTATAAGATTTCCGTGACCTGTGATGACCTGCCCTGACCTGAAAATTAAAGTACAAAGCTGGTACCCTCAGGGTACCTAAAGCATCTGTTCACGAGTGTGTAAACCAAAAGCCTGATATGACTTGCAAGACGGCGGCCAGATCCCGAAATATAAGTAAGTCAAACATCGATAATTTAATTTTTACTTTGACCTGACCTGTGACGTCATCGGTGATATCGAGGTCAACGAAATTAGGTTTCGTTCTACAGTTTTTTTTCTCGGGAGTATCAGATGTCGTTTGAATTTTGACGATCGGCCCAGTAGTTTCGGAGTTAAGAGGGGGGGGGGGCTATGAATAGCCCCCCACCCCCCAGGGCGCGTTATACGCAGATCCCAGTGGGGCGCGGGTTAAGAGACGAGTGAGGCATACTTAAAATTTAAACCGTAAATAGTGCAAACAAGAATATTGTTTGATACACCAGTAAACCATTGATACAATCAATGACATTGTTTACGTCGCAGCTAGCTGTATGTATAGTACACAAAAACATAAAAACATTTTTTTTAGACTAGGTAACGATATCAGCGAAAGCTATTTCTAATTTTCTGGTACTTGCAGCAATATGTAAAACAAACTGTGAATAAATTGTCGCATCTCTGTGTTTCTGTTTAAAGGCACATTCGCATATCCGTGTTTCATTAACCTGTGCATTAGTGTGCATGATTGTCTGTGATATGTGCCTGTGTGTAATTAGCTGTGTAGTGTGCATCCCATGCTCCTACCGACGACGCCATTCCGTGCGGCGCTGGCTGCACAAGTGTGTCTGTGTGTCTGCGTCTATACCTGCACCTCCGTCCGTACCTGCCCCCGTACCCTCTGACACCGCTCTCCATGATACAGGCGGTGCAGGTGTCCGGTCACGGCCGTCTTATGAACCCTCCGTGCCGTGCCACCATGTGGCGAGTCGGATACGACACTCCACCCGACTACAACGACAACCAGCTCTTCTGCGGTGGAAAGAGCGTGAGTACGGCCTCAGTTACACAGACCTCAATCAGGTGCCTGCACCATTCAGGTGCTTCAATCATACAACAGGCGTTTGAGACACATACTTAGGACAGATCCTCGGTCACATAACCGTCTCAGTCATTCAAGATCCTCAATCACACAGGCACTTGAGTCATACATTACGCAGACATACATACATGTAGACCAATCGGATCACATTTGTAGTAATAAAGACACATCAGTCACACAGCCTGGCTACGAGACAACATCTGTATGTATAATTTGTCAATTGCCCGGATGTTAGACAACACCCATTCTAAATCCACAGTCCGTACCTCGTGGAGCCGTTGCTGACTGCCATTCAGTGCTTATCGGTGTGTCAATGCCAAACGAGGAGGATGAGATAGGTAATCACACTGCACACAACCGAGACGCCACCGGCTCAGCGACATCTCAGACTCGTGCAGGAGAAACCAGGTTGGGGTATAAACACAGGGCTGTTGGGAAGGGACGGAAACAGAGTGCCTCTTAGGCGAGTTAGGTCATTTACTCCAGGCTCTCCGCCATGGCTTTAGGATTGGGAGGCCCGACCCAAAAATGTACATCCTTTTACATACAGCTGCCGTATATGGAAATGACGAACCTGTATGTAATTGGTGGGTTCTGACTCCCGCTCCCCGCTCACAAAGCCACTGATTCGCTCACATCTTAAGACTCGTGCTTTAAACAGCTATAAAACGGTTGACAGTCAAACTTTCTTTGGCAATTAGATATTGCATGTGATGTCATCTAAAGATCATCCTCTTTTCTCTTCTGGCAGCACCAATACGATACCCAGGGCGGCAAGTGCGGTATCTGTGGTGACGCCTACGATGAGCCCCAGCCGCGCACACACGAGATCGGAGGACCCTACTACAAGGGCATCATCGTCCGCAACTACGCCGTCGGTCAGGTGAGGACGATGCCAATGGATCGCAGAATGCGATATCAAACTGTCTTCCAGTAACTCGAAAAAGGGGACGTTGAAAGAAGGAACGATTCACCATTTGTTGAGCGATGGGGCATAACATATTATTTTGCTGAAAGCTTCGCCACAATGTTCGCTTGTCATTGGCTTTTCTACTGCCAATGTTATCCAGGTCTTTGCCTATGCCATTCAATGAAGTATTTGTGTACTGCTTACAATTATTCAAACACACATTAGCTACTGCTTTATGCCACTATGTCTATTGCACTGGAAATTTGCAGCGCGTTTTCATCCATATCGCTCTGTTACATCCCACAGGAGATCAAGGCGACCGTCCAGATCACGGCCAACCACCTGGGCTTCTTCCAGTTCAAGATGTGCCCCGTCTCCGGAGATGTGGAGGCCACGCAGGAATGTCTGGACAAGTAAGATGTTCCGCTTCCTCTTCCATCGATGCTTTAGTTGCAAGTTTGCGTAATGTCACAGCACAAAGACGATCACATATATGCAAGAGCATCAACTAAAAATAAGAACAGAATGAAGGAAGGCATACTTTTGTAAATGCAACACATGCGACTCAGGATTCATGATGTTCAAGGCACTGGAGTGAAAACAATGTAGTACATAGATACCTACTGAATGTGCTGAGTATCGCTAGTTGACGGCCTGATAGCCTGCTGGGAGTCATTTCTGCCGTATTGGTGCTGCTCGTTTCATGTAACGATCACCTGACTGTTTTACAGACACATTTTGACGGTGGCCGGAACAAACTCGACTGATTACTACATCACAGACGAAGTGCGCGACTTCGACGTCACTCTGCAGCTGCCCGAGGACCTCGAGTGCGAACACTGCGTCTTCCAGGTACGCCATCATAACGAGGGAATGCCAGTTTTTTTTTAGGAAATGACGATGAGTTATCATACATTTTGGAAAGGAGAGTGGCCTTTCTTATAGCTACCTTGAACAAAAAGCTAAATGACTCATGTTACAACGTTACAACGCTTCCGTTACAACGGAAACATTTCCTGATGTGCTGTCCAGGTCTTGACCCCGTGTTTCGGCTCGTCTATAATCTATTCAGATAATGTATTTCAACATATGCTGCTCTATGTTGTCCTGCCACCAGTGGCGGTACCACGCTGGCAACGACTGGGGAGTCTGCCCGGACGGCACTGGAAGGGACGGCTGCGGACCCCAGGAGGAGTTCTACGGATGTGCCGATGTCTCCGTTTCCCGACCCTAGGTCTGGTACGCACTACCCCTCCCCCGATGCACTATACCACCTGCTCTCGATGATTACAATGCCGGCTTCCATAGTCAGTCCTTTTACAGGACATTAGTTAGAAAGATCGAGCCTACTGATATGACGCAAAAACTTGCATCAGTTTTTAATTCAAACATACTTTGGTGTCTTTGGTAAAGAAGTCTAATACCAAACTATTCGTGCTTTACAGATAAGCTTTGAAGACGAATATAAAGATGTGGAAGATGCCCTGGAAGGTCAGCAATGCTTTGTCTATCAGCCCGTGAGGCCGATAATGTGTAATTCAGATTCTGTCTTCCGAGACCTCCACCATGCTGCAGGTTTCAGCGAAACTTCAGCCTAAGCTGTACAGGGTGGAAAGTAATTACGCGAACATGTATTTTCTTACAATTTCGCCCGTCAGTGGAGATTTTCTATGAGCGCGGGCTGTTATGGAACATGACTGGTCGTGTTTGTTGTCGCCTCATCTAACAAAAGTGACCTTACTTTGAAAAATGACTTGGAAGGTCTACAACACCTCTCGGCTTCGAGTGGTGCTGACGCCATACGCTGCTCAAGACCAAAATGGGCAAAGAGCTCAATTTGAAGTTGCCAGGGAAAGCGTTTGTGATTATTTTGGCTGGACTGGTGCGGAAGGGACTCGGAACGGTCTCGGCACCAGTATTACTCAATTACACCTTTGGTTGAAGCATAATAAAACTTAAGAGGACTTAAAAAGCAAAGCCGATGGCGGCAGTAAAACCTCGGCGAATTCAGGCGCCGAATGGGTGGTCACCATTTCCGCGACCAAACGACAACAGTCGACCCGAAAACAGGCGAAATGGCTTACTTTGGCCGGGTACCCGATCTAAGATATCACGATTCATACATAAATCCGTGAAAATTCGAAAATCAAGCCGTACAAACAATCGAGATGGCCAAAATTCATGAATTAACAGCAGGATTGTCAATTTAAGTTTTCTAAAGACCGCCAAACCTGAACAGAGGAGGACAGGCAGCTGGTTTTGTGGCTGGGTGAGACATCTTCGAAGCTTTTTCATCCGTCAAACCTGCAGAACAACGCGTTGGGGGCTGCTGATGCGTCCGACGTCCCGCCCGTCCCAACCTTCAAACATCCGGCAAAGGAACACTCATCAGCGTGTTATGAGCGCCCGGATGGTGTCAAAATTGCATGTAGTGACCAACAAGGCCACCAAAAATAAAGTATACAACTAGTGGAACATCCTTCCAGACGAGTCTCTTTATCTAATCCAGCAATGCACCAAAAGGGGCCAAATGATTGAGCGCACTTTTGTGCCCGACGCAAAGAAACTCTTCTTCATGATTGATAAAGTCCTTCCTCTCACGGCCAAAAAGACGCAAGACTGGTGCTTTGAGAACCCGTTCTTCTTCTGGGTATATAATGGTCAATCTGGGAATAGCCCAGACCCCAATTTGATCAAAAATATCCAGGCGACTCTTCAGGAGAGCGTCTAAGAGCTGCTAGTAGCCACCAACATCGATTGCCTCACCAGACAGCTCCAGGAGGCGTGGACTAAGCTTTGGCCAACAGAGCTTGACATGCTCATGTCAATTATGCCTGAACGCCTTTGTCAGTGTATCGCACATAAATAGGAATATATGAAAAGATGAAATTTTCATGTTACCGCCGCTTTTTCCATTGCTATAAGACGAAAAAGTATGTTCGCGTAATTACTTTCCACCCTGTACCCGTAGCGGCGGTTTACGACTCAGGGAATCAAGAGTGGGCATAGAGGCTGCATTTATTTGTATGTAATTTGTGTAAATGTTTCAGAAACTGTGCCTCAACGATTGCATGGTTAGCTTGATATTTCAAATATACCTACACATAATGGGTATATCTGGTCCTCAACAACATAAACGAAATGTTTTCTCATACAGGACTACAAGGACGTGGCCTCTCTGTCACCGTGACACCCAGCACTCGTCTCTACTGTTCTCCCTGCCCAACGAGTAAACAAAAAATACCACAACAAAGCTGTTAATACATGGCAAAGTCGCTATAAGACCTTTATCGAAGCAGACAATAGCCCATTTTTTGTTCGGTTAAAATCCCAAATTAAACGGGCCTTACCTAACACTTATGACTTATTCGATCATAAGTGATATCACAGATCACTCTCACAGCCGGAGAACCATCAGCGCGCCGCCATCATCGGGTCCACAGCCCGACAGGTCGACCTTCTCAACACCAGCGAGCACAGACTGGGTGAAGGGCAGGAACTTGACCCGCTCGAAGCCGAGCTTGACGAGCGCCTTGCGAGTGAAGGGCGAGGTGGCACAGTTGACGACCGCCTGGCAGCCCTGCTGACGGGCCAGCTCCAGGCACTGGCGTCGCAGCTCCAGTGATAGGCCCTGTCGCCGGTACCTGAAAAAAACGTACATAAGACTCATCACGGAACATACAGTACATCTAACTGAAAATCGTTTATTCGCGGCATTTGTGTGTAATTGCATCTTTTTCGAGGCATCTTAGGTCGCAGTTGACCAATGCCAAAGTCATCGAGAATAGAACAAACGTCCTGCGAGCAGTTTACCAATACCCTATCGCGATAAATGCTAAGATGCAGATCAACATTCAACATTGACATATCTACATTCTGCATAAGGCAGCTTTTGCCAAATTGTCAGGGAACTTAGATTTGTTTTTCAATAGAAAAACACAATTCTAAAGAACAGTGTTTTTATTGACAACAAACCTTCGGTTACTAAATAGTTGTCGAAATTTTAGTTCTCCTTAAGTAAAAAGGAGAACTAAACGATTAATTTCTAATAAGCTTCCTGCGTTTCTTTTGTAGCAGTCACAGCACAGGCAAAACGTATCGTGTATCATGAGCCGTGAAATGTACCCGACTATGGACGGAATGCCTCGCATCTCGCTGCATACGACTCGTCTGCCAGCCCGCCACCTATCGAAAAAGTAACGAATATAGCTCGCTTCACCCTGCAGTGCCACAGATTTACCGGATTTGTAGCAAGAGTGAGGTCCTTTTTCTCATCGTTTTTTTTTCTGATACCCATGAAAACATGAGTCTGTCGAGGTGGAACGAAATTCAGGGATGACATTGTGACTGCCGGGCTCTAAATGCCTCTACATATCCCGTCACTCACCTTTTATCCACGCCCACCATGTTCAGGCAGAGGACCTTGCTGACTCCGAGAGCCTTGAACGGGTCGTAGTCCCCTTCCAGTTGATGAAGGAAGGCGGCGGTGAGGCGACACGCCTCTGAATCGGTCTGTGCCATGGGTTCAAGGGCTCGGGTCAGCTGGTCGAGGGTCGACATGTCACACAGGCAGACGCCAGCCACCGCGCCCGTGGCGGCGTCCACCGCCAGTCGAGAGACACTCCAGTTGTGTGAAGTGATGATCTTCTTCACCCAGGGACGATGGTCCTCCGTCTGGCCGCCCTCGCAGCTCCGACACAGCTTCAGACTGACAACACACAGCCATGCCATGACTGTCAACCATGCATGCAACGTTACAACGCGCAATACACATGTATGTACGTACGTACATTACGCATGTTTTGAGCCTCGAGTCTTAAAACAGATAATGAGTCTCAAAACAGATAATGAGTCACGAGTGAAACTAGCAACGACTTTTCCCATTAAAAAAAGTATTTTGTACGTTGTAACAAGCATACTGTAAAAAATGTAGATGGGATACTTACGTGTTTTCATCCTTTGCAAAGCTTTCGGTCACTAAATCCTCAATCTCCTTCAGCGAACCCTCCTCGAGGGAACAATATTTGATGTTCACCGTGTTTTCTCCACCTGAAAACGACTCGGCTCATGTTACTAGTCTGACAAAAGTCGAGAAATCAGAACACTTGACGGAGCTTCCTGTTGAAGGTGGGACAGCATGGAGCAATCCCGTATCAGATGGGACAGGAGCCTGTCATGTCTTTTCATCATCAGCCGTCTTTTACGCCAGCAGAGTAGCGAAACGTCAGCCATCATGCAAGGACAGGAGATGTCATACACGTATAGGGAACCCCTAGTCACGCTCTTTTCCCGAACCCAGCCGTGTAAGTGCAGCTATCATAAAATCAGGCTGCACTTACTAGCAAATATATTACTTTGCTGAACTGATTTGGTCAATTTTCGACCTTCACTCTTCGACTCTTAACAGTGAAAATATTTCGGTACCAAACGACGGAATACTACGAGGGTAATCGTAGCCTATTAAGCTGGTAGATGTGTCCTTCCATGAAGGTTATATCATTTGAGTGCCGATGCGGACGTTACAATGAACTCGTAACCTCGACGTGTAGGGACTCCAGTTGAAGCACATTTTCCGGCCACTGTCAGCCACCTACCATTCTCCATGGTATCTTGCAGTGATTTACGGATAACGCACTGGAGTGATCCAGCAGCTGCAGGCTGAAGTGGTTAAGCAATTGCAGACCGACCTGATTTCTGCAACGGGAGTGGGGAACAGTCCGTTAAAATGCAGGGATTGAGGCAGCGAATACCGTTTTACCGCCCCCTTTCACGCAGCGGGAGACAACATTGACAGATCGATGCATGATATGAAAAGGTGCTGCATAAAATATGTTTGCCTTTAAAATGAAAACATGAAACACGTGCCGCTAAAGCAAGCAGTTACGGCGTCGCTTTTGACACAGGCAGGCCCGTCTATCTAGTCTATTCTATTGACACAGATAAACTTACTAAGCTAGCTCAGGACGACATGCTTTAGAGACGCTTATTTCAGGTAAAAATGCGGCACACACCATGTGGGACACAATGTGTGGCGAACCGCACCACGTCCATTGTATTTGAACCTGCATGTTCGTTTTGTTTTACAAAACTCGTATTAGTTCTAGCCGTCGCCCTTCGACGAGTCATATAAATGAACGAGCCAACATGAAAGCTTTCGAACGCATTTATTGGCTTTTTTTAATTCGGTTTGTTTGACGAAATGCACGGTTCTCAGCAGATGCCATCGAACACAAAAATTAAATCAGCCTAAAATAGCGTCAATTGCAATAATGAAGTAATTAAAACGTCAAAAATAGATCGTGAAGTGCACATTTCTCCTCTAAGCGGCACGACCACATGCGACTGTGAGACTACGCTTCCAACTCCCTACCTCACCTTTAGTGGGTCTCGATGGTCCCCCGCCTCTGCTCAACTCAGCCCGGCCGATAACTGAAGCCCCGGGCTCTCACAATAAACGCCTCGTTGCGGTGCCGCCGGTCTCAAGGCCACATCGCGGCGCTCTCGAGCGATTCATGGCCATCACCCCAGTCCACTGTATCAGTGCAGTGAGGCTGTGACGCCTGTGAGCCCTACGGCCCCGCTGAACAAACACAGACTGGTGCTGAGTGGGCGGTATATCGCGGCGCCAACACCAACACAGCGACCGAGTGATGACGACATCAGTCGGCCGTAATGTAATGGAACTAATAATGTAATGTAATGTAATGAAACTAATAAATAAATGTAATGGAACGATGTTTAGCGGGGCACCGAGACTATAGAAACTGACGCCCATTCTTACAGATCATTGTCATGAATTTGTGCAGATGCCGACGGCTTATGAAATGAAACTGTTACGATTTAAATGCTTTTGTTATAGTTCAAATTTTAATCATAAGAACCTTCAGAATGTAGACGGTTTAATTCAAAAGAACGCAACTTGCTCATTAGAAGTGAACTTTTCCAAAAAAGACTTCACGCTTCATGAGATACTTCACGGTCCAATGATGATGTGAATTCACCCACTAAGATTTTGGAATAATTAATTACCTTAAATATAGGGCGCAACTACCTTCCACAAACATATAAAAGTCATCAGTCATGTGTAAAGAGAACTTTCACGACGTAATACCTGACGCATTAGGCCACGGAAACGACGGCCCGTTTCTACCACTGGTCACCTCCGGATCAGAGAGACTGCCATCCGAGATTCATAAACGAAAGTTTTTTTTTTGGGGGGGGGACGGATGGCGAAGCGAGTGTGAATTGCACATGAGCCCAATTCATCAGCTCCGACATCGTTCACAAGGAGTCCCAACCAATTATTTTCTAGCATCACAACCACTAGGTTTTTAGCATTTTTGTAAAGTTGAAATTAGCATAATTATTGAACTTATTATAGTAGGTATGCTTCTTCGATGATGAAGTAAAGAAGTACTCATAATTATAATATTTCTCGGATACCTTCTAGTTAACGAGCGAGCGAGCGTAGCAAGCGAGTGAGTTTATATGTGGTTTAACGAAAAAAATCTCTGTATGACCGGCCCGGTCCGGCTTGAGCCCATCCAGCCCGGCACCGCGCCGCATTTAAAGGAAATATACCACTCTAATCAAATTGTTTTTTTGCCACGGTTTTATATTTTTGTGCTTAAGAAGATTAGAAAAGAAAATAATCAATATTTACATACAAATGTAATTTCAAAAACATTTTCGTATAGGTAGAATTATATTCCATCTTTGGTAGAGGCTAAATAGTGTCTGCCGCGGAACTTTTGCGCGTTGACTAATCATATTGCGTGTAGTTCTAAACCAACTGCACACTGGCTGGCTGAGCCTGGCCTCTGCGACAGGTGGCTGCATTCTCGGCATTCTTCAAGTCACAACATTCCTGCACAAGACACCCTTTTCGGAACGAGAAATGGAATAGCCTCGCCCAGTGTGGTGGTTGGACCGTAAAAGCTCCTGATTTGTGCTAGTCTCAGCTCACTGCTCAAGCTACTACAAAACTGCTATTCCAGTTAAAAACCCCATGTTCAACGTGGTATATTTCTTTTAACAACCTTACCTATACCTCGGCAACCGTTCGGTCGATCGACAAGCGCGTTCTTCTGCATCAGATAGAATAGATCCATCCCTAAAATCCTGAAGGCTCAATTGAACTACTTTTGATGCTTACAGATGACCACCATGACTACACAAACCACTACAATCATGACTACAATGTATGTATATACAGCCCTCAGCACACTGCGTGGTAAGTAGGTATTCTTTTGTCGACAAAACCGAGTATACCTTGAATACTATGCATTCGGTCTCTCGATAATCGCGAGGCTCCTCACCTAGATTAGGCTCATCATGGATAACATTTTCCATTTAGTTTGGCAACAATAGGCAAAAGCTTATATTTACCCCCAAAACAAACTTTTGTCTTTTGTTGCCACACTAGGCGTATAGGTAATTCATTCAATGATAGACCCAATCGAATAAGTGGACCATGGCGCATCTCTTTGCAATGAGTTCTGATCGACTAATAACATAGCCTTTGAGTTATTATCGGTTTTGTCGAAAGAAGAATACCTACCACGCAGTATGCTGAGGGCTATGCAATGTGCATAGGTACATAGGTACATGTATGTAGGGGCTCGGCAGAGCTAGCGGGAGCTGCTGCCACCTAGCGGCATGGCTGGGAAGCTCGCCGGCTACGTCCAGTTGATGAACGGTTGTATAATTACCATGGGTGAGCGCTGGCGGCTGTCTGCTCACGAGCGGCGGGCAGTGAGGACGCGCTCCTGGAATTTCGCGGTGCTGACTGTGTCAATAATAAACAAATAGCAACGTAACACATTGGTGCAGTCTGCAGGACAACACGACCTAGGTGCAGATCAGAACTGGTCAGCCAGGGGCACGGTAAGGTAGCAACGACCGGCAATTTGTCAATTCTTTTTGGGGGGATGGGGAGATCTCGTTTGGTGTAAAAATTACGTTCGTTTAGTATTAGGTTTAGTGAGTCACGGACCCCAAGTTGATGTTTATGACCTAGGCTAACCCATTTACCTACCGGTGCAACTGGGCAAGAGTGGCGCCGCCGGCTGGCCCGTTTGAAGGCACAGACGGCTACCAGCGGCGCGAGCGAATTTAGCGAGTGTCATTTGAGTGAACGCCGTTTGAACGAACCATTTTCAGTGGCAGTTCAACGATTATCAATTTAAGCGATTATCAAATATAGCGATTATCAATGTGAGCGAAAGCTTTGTTTCAGTGACACCTATTTCGCCGACTGCTATTTGAGCCAGGGATGCGGAGCCGTGGAAATTTCAGACGGCTCCGGCTCCGGCTCCGGCTCCGGAGAAAAAATCGGCTCCGGCTCCGGCTCCGGCTCCGGGTGAAATGTCATGGCGGCTCCGGCTCCGGCTCCGGCTCCGAGTAAAATGATCCGGCGCCGGCGGCTCCGGCTCCGGCGGCTCCGGCTCCGGCTTCTACTCAGTACATCCCCTATGCGATCAATTAAATACGGGTGGAAGAAAAAAGGCGATGGGATTGGTACACGTTGCTTCTGTATTTGTATAACAAGGCTATTTTGAATACCACATTGTTTTACGCCTTGTACTGTCAAACCGAACTAGGTAAATAATTGTTTCCTCTTAAGAAAAGGAGTCGGAGTCGCCCCCTTTTTTGACGGCTCCGGCTCCGGCTCCGGCTCCGGGCTATATTGTTTCACGGCTCCGGCTCCGGCTCCGGCTCCGGGCAAAATATGCCGGCTCCGGCTCCGGCTCCGGCTCCGCATCCCTGATTTGAGCGATTGTCAGAAACACTTGATCGTCCTGTCACGGAGTATTTTCACTTACGTTTGTGAGTTATAAATGACACAAAGTCTTGCCAAAACTTCCTATGATCATCCGAAACGATACGGCAGATGTCACGTTCAATGTCCAAGTATTCAGCTCCAAATTTATTGCAACATTTCTTTGAAATAAACATCCAACAGGTGAATTTTGTCCCCGTTCTTCGCCAAAACGTTTATTCAGATATTCATATTGGTTGTGTTGTTTTCCGCGACATCCTTATGCTTGAATTTGAATCAGTTCTCTAAGTTGCAAAACTGTTTTTTTTTTGTCCCAAACATCGCACTTACGAATTTCCAATAATCGTGTGAGGTCCCTGTTATATTGCCTGGATTCCCCTGTGCCACCCATCCATCTTAATATTGGTCGTTAGCATTCCTTTCGTCGTCCTATCTCTATTCTGTATTAACTGTATTCGCTCAGTTGGTCTCCCATTGACCTCAATATAATCGCTCAAACTGGCTTCGCTGATTCTGGTCCTCGCTTTAGTTGGTTACCTATAGCCATAATTTAATTCGCCGAATTCACAATCGCTCAAAAAGTCAATCGCTTAGAATAATCGCTGAAAATGCTTCGATTCGCTCAAATGTCGTTCGCTCAAATGACGCTCTCTAAGGTGTTACAGAACCGGTTACCAGGTCGGCTACGGACAGATGCTGCGTGAGCTAAACGAATCTGGCCAAAACGGCAGGCAGCTGGGGCAAAGACAGTCTGGCCGGCTCTCCTATGGGCCGATCGATCAGTCAGCTGTGACTCTAACGACAGCCGCGACCCCGGTCAACCTGCGCTGTTACAACTGCGGCCAGGTCGGTCACACGCGGCGCGCGTGAAAGGTACTCAGACAAGAGTCCGTCAGTCCACTGAAAACGGTGACCGTTGTTTCGGATGCGGTGAGGTTGGACAGTGGATACATGTAGTGCATAACGGCCTTCGTTCGGTTCGACAGTCCCGCACGCCGCAGAGGCGTCCGTCCTGTCTCTGCTGAGAGGGACGGACATTGGGCTCATAGGCGTAGGAACATGGGAGGGGGGGGGGGGCATGAACCTTTTCTTCATAGGGGTATTGGGGCTCTCACAAAGTATACATTGAAGTTTCGCTGTCCCCCCCCCCCCACACACACACATACACACACTTTTCGTGAGGCCCCTGCGCCCATGATTGTCCTGGCGGATTGCCGTCTCCTTCCAGTCCAGGCAGATTTGAAGCGTTCGCAATGCATACTACACCCCTCTGAAATACCCAGCACGAGTCCCAGAACACTGGCCAAGGAATGGCAGCCGATGCTGAGGGACAACCATCAGCCCGGCGTCCATCAGATTCCAGATCACGGCATCGGTGGTCGAGGTGCAGTTGGGAACACGGCGAGTCTGGGCCCTGGTGGACTCCAGGGTGGCCTTCACGATGACTCGCGATTGTCTCCAGGAGCAAATCCAGCGGGAGCTGATGTGCCGGCTCACGCCGCCATCTCAGACGACGCGAGGGGCGGGTGATGAGTTGCTTCACATCGTGTGCATTTTCTGATCTGACGGTCAAAATCCAGGGGGAAGTCACTCGCCAGTCCACCCCCAGAGCGGCAGTGGTCAGGGGACTGATGTACGAGCTAGTGCTGGGGTGCGACTTCTGCTGTCGTCACGGCATCTCGATGAAGGCGGGAGTGATCAGACTGGCCGGGATGTCGATTCCTCTGCCACTATACAACATTATGTTATTTGACCCAGTCGGGCACTATTCCATCCAGTCGGGCGTTACTCGATCCAGTCGATGAGAATATAACTGTTTTTCTTTAAAAAAGGAAACAACTTTTATCGTAAAAAGGGTTTCTTCCAACTGAAGAATTCAAAATTTGCATGCACTTGATGGAGTATTTGGCATTTGGAGAAACCTTTTGGGGGCCTCTGCAGCGTCCAAGGCCGCCTTTCTGGATCCGCCAATGACTGTGATTGCAACTGCATGGTCCTCTTCAATCTTCATCATGCGTGCTCTCTCGGTGGGCGGTGCACACTGCGCACATCCGGCAAGCAGCATGACATGAAACAGGCATCGCCGCACGACCTTTGCAGTTTGCAGTAGTTATGGGGCGCTGACTGGGTGCAGTCACAAGGTGCTTACGACGTTCACTTCTTGCAAAGCACTCGGTTGGTCGGTCAGGACTGAACAGAATTAAAAGATAATTAAACAAGCGGCTGCACCCAGCTGCTGCGGTTCGGGACGAGACGCGGCTCGGGCTCAGTTCGAGTCAGTGGAGCAGACATGTGCAGCATGAACAGCGATGATATTAAATAAATAATCTTATGTAATGTGTATACTCTGCCGGGGCGTTCTGCATTAGCGACAGCGTTTCCTTTCGTCGGTTGGCAGTGGTGCGCTGCCATTCCTCTGCCATTCCATATTCTGTAATGTTTTTAATAGAAATATTTTCTTTTCAGGACCCCAGCAGAATATTTCCATAGTACACGAACCGGTCTGCAGTTTCTGCATCGTCTCAATTTACAGTTGTTGCATCGTTTGGTTCTGCAATTGTATCGCTAAAATACCATGGAGAACGGTAAGTGACGTGTGATGGACAAAATAATCTTCAAACAGTGTTGATAGACGCCGGCCCTAATGAGTACTAATTAGCGTAAGCATCCGTTCCAATGTTGCGCTACATATGTACAGTCCACAGCAGAAGTAATGTGGGGTTTCAGTCATGGGTATGTTCTGCTTCTGAAGCGCAGGAACGATTAACCAGACTACAATGAAAATTTGAATGTAGCTTATATGTATCGTCACCCTTGCATCTACAACTTTAGCTATTGACATCTTCTTTTCGATCACTCCGCATTAAACAATCGCCAGTCAAAGCCAACCGTTGAGATTGGTAAAACCCTACATTACTTTAGCGGTGGGCTGTACATCGTGCGTCTAAATATTTTCACGATTAAGTCATCTCTGAATTATGATGAAACTAGCGGATGCCGCTTGAATTTTGTCAAGCCCTGTAGGGGTATTCCAGATCCTGCTCGCCGTGAGAAAAGGAGGAGTTTCGCCATCCTACTACCTCACAAGCTATGAATTGGTTAATTATACAAATTCTGAATTAAAACGCCGTGCGATAGCCTCGTCATATATCTCATTGGGAAGAAACCCAGTTACTTAAACCGCGGGCGGCACCTGTGCTCCTTGTTGGCTGGCCACTGACCACTGACCACTGACTACCGACCAGTAACCAGCGACCAGTGACCCCTGACCACCGACCAGTGACCAGTGACCAGCCCCGTTGATGGCAGGTCAGACTTGCACGGCGTCTGACACTGACCCACGTCATTTCTCTGAATGACTACATGGATGTGCTGTTCGCAGGCGGAGACAGCACAGCAAAGATGAAGTATTGTTCTCTAGGGGACGTCACGCTGAAAGAAATTGAAGACTTGTTGATAGAGAACTTTGCGAAGGATGAAAATCTGTAAGTGTTACACACTGTTCTTTGCTGCTGTACCTCAACAGTAGATATGATCTGTAGTGTGAAAAGAAAGATGCTTATCTCATTTGATGCTCTTAAGTTTGAAATTATAGTAAATAGTCATTTCAGTGTGTGTTCGAGACTTGAAATTGAAAATGTGCCGATGTGTATTATGCGTTGTATGGTGGACAGCCCTATGACATTTCTCGCTGCTGCGTGTTCGCAGTCTGAACCTGTGTCGGAACTGCGAGGGCGGCCAGCTGGACGACTATAGTTCGTTTTTCTTAAGTTTGCCCCTCACTGTAAACGTCTTTTTGAACACAGCACGAGAATTGCTAGCTGAATTACTGAGAAAACTGGTTGGCGCACATTGATTTCACCAGATTTCACAGACGATCACTTTTATCAAATTTGTTTACTATTTCACAGACTCATAGCTCGTATTTACCCATACCTATAGCTCCACAGTGATAGACAACTTCTCAGGAATTATGTCTGAACTAATCAATAAATTGCACGGCGTTTAACATTAACGTTACATCGTCGGTGTTCAAAACTTATTTTGAAAATATTATTCATATCTCCAATACAATGTGCGCCAACCAGTTTTCTCAGTAATTCAGCTAGCAATTCTCGTGCTGTGTTCAAAAAGACGTTTACAGTGAGGGGCAAACTTAAGAAAAACGAACTATACCGTCGCCGAGCGAAGGAGATCATCACTTCTCACGACTGGAGTGTCTCGCGACTGGCGGTGGACGCCGCCACAGGCGCGGTGGCCGGTGTCTGCCTATGTGACATGTCCACCCTCAACCAGCCGACCCATGCTCTCGACGCCACGCTACAGAACAAATCCGAGGCATGCCGCCTCATTGCTGACTTCCTTCTCCAGGCAGAGGAAGGATACGATGTGTTCCAGGATCTCGGAGTCAAGAAGGTGCTCAATCTGAATATCGTGACCGTTGATAAAAGGTGAGTAGTGTGAGGCTGTATTTGAACTTCATTTCTTATCTCATATGCTTTCTTACTAAGGTGTTGAACACTGTCAATTGGTGACGTGCATTTGCTGCATATGGCACTGGAATTAACATGTTATGCTTCATTCTTGTGACATGGATTCCTAAAAAAATTATTTTACCCTTTCAGTTATCGCCGTCAGGGCATATCATTTGAACTCAGACGCCAGTGCCTTGAGCTGGGCCGCCAGCATGGCTGCCAAGCTGTTGTCGATGTCGCCACCTCGCCCTACACTCGCAAAGCGCTCGTCAAGCTCGGCTTCGAGCGGGTCAAGTTCCTGCCCTTCACCCAGTCGGTGCTCGCCGGTGTTGAGAAAGTCGACCTGTCGGGCTGCGGACCCGATGATGGAGCCGCTCTGATGGTTCTCCGGCTGTGAGAGTGACCTCAGGGAAGCCTTGGAGGTCCTGAAGGATGATAGATGCCTCTTGGGTCTAGCTCATCATAGCAGGCATGTAGTTAGTCATCGAGGAATGTATGTGCTTAATCTTTTGATGTGCGATGTGACGATGTCAGTTGCAACTTGCAGACTGTTGAATTGTAGAAGACAGTTTGATGAAAATCAACAAAACACACGCTGCTGTTTCGATTGCTGCATTGTCCTATATCAGTTATCACGGCTTGCAATTTTACATTGAGGACTGAAGCATGAATTTTGCATATGATATTTTACTGCTCGGGTAGATGAGACGGGAGGGCAGGTTGGAGCTGACTTTGACGAAGTGTTAACAAGTTGACTCATTTCAGCTACAATTAGGACTCAGGCCCTATCGCGACGCCGGCTGTGCCGCGAATAGCAGCGCAAGAATTGAACTCAGTCTGCAGTCCCTTATGGTGTTGGCCAGCAGTTATACGATTAAGTTGTCACTTGTCACCTTAATCGTATAACTTAAGGTGACAAGTTGTCACCTTAAGTTGTCACTTGTCAGCTGTTCTTAGAAAACAAAAATTGCCTGAAAGGAGCTCTTGAAGAATTAGGAAAATTTTCAGAGGCCTCTGGACTAAATTTAAACATTGAAAAGTCGACATGTCTTCCGGTCGGTTTTTCCCCGTCTAGTGAAGAGGAAAATGATTTTGGTATCAAGTGGGTTAAGGAAATGAAAATACTAGGCATTATCTTTAACAATATGAACAAGAATGTAACAAAAATTAACTTTGAGCCTAAACTTTTACAAATTCAAAAAGAAATAGCACAGTGGCGCAGAAGGAATTTGACGGTTCTAGGACGAATAGCCGTGGTTAAGTCATTACTCATCTCACAACTAGTACATTTGTTCACAGCTCTGCCGAATCCCTCACAGAATGAACTGAAACGCCTTAACACATTGTTGTACTCATTTGTATGGGCAGGCAAACGCGACCCAGTCAAACGTGCTAAGTTGATTCAAAAATATCACAATGGAGGATTAGCCATGGTTGATATCGAAGCATTTATGAAAAGCATTAAGCTGACGTGGCTCAAAAGACTAATGAAAGCGCAAGCTCCGTGGGCAGCTTTTTCCAAATTGGAATTGCCACATATTCAAGACATCCTATGTTACGGAAGCAAACGTCTGGGAAAAATAACGGCTAAAATTAGTAACCGTTTTTGGAAAGATGTATTAAACGCATTTACGTCTTTCAGTCAGCAATACCAACCAGAAGAAACACAGATCCTCTCTGAAAGCATATGGTTCTCAGACTACACGAAATTTAAATCATCCATCGTAAAAAGTTGGCATTCAAAAGGGTTGCGTTTCATCATTGACCTATTTAACGAAGAAACAGGAAAGTTGCACTCGAAAGACAGCTTACAAACAGCATATAACATAAACATGACATTTATTTGCTATGAAGGCTTAATGAGAAGCTTACCAGACTCCGTTAAAGCAATGTCAATACCTAAAAAATGTCAACCAACAATGCCATCGCGAATGAACCTAGTTATGAATCATCCTCATTTTTCACGTTTTGCCTACGATATATTCATACAATTTAGACAGAAGGAACTATATGAAACCAATGCGCGACAAAAACAGAAATGGATAAGAGACCTAGGATGCTTCGAAGCAAATAGTTTTATTGAAGTACTCAAAGCAACAAAGTCAGCATATGTTAGAATGTTTCAATTTAAGCTCATTAACAGAATCTTAGCAACGAATAGATATTTACAAATGATGGATATAACAGATAGCGAATATTGTACATTCTGCAAGGTCCAGCCTGAAACGCTTGCCCATTTATTCTGGTACTGCCCTATAACGAAAGATTTCATAACCAAAATCAAAACGGAAATTCTGCAGAAATATGGTATAAATATAAACGTAGGTTTAAATACATGGTTTTTCCCTACGAATCTGAGTGCAGAGGAGACGTGTATAGTTACACTGGCAAAGTTGGTAATTTATCAAGCACGCTACAAAGAAAACCGACCAACTATTGTGCATTTAAAATACAGCATAAAACAACAAGTTGAGATAGAGGAGAGTATAGCCAGGTTAACAGGAAAACAAGAGAGTTTTGAGAAGAAATGGGAGAAATTGAAAAATATTACCATATAAGATAAAATGGAAACAAGTGTTATTTTAGGTAACACCTTGGTCCTTCAAGACAAAACTGCACTAGGTATACATTCATACAAGTTATAATAACACAAACATAAACTAGTGTCTAGTGGTGAAACACAATACAGCAAAAAAAAAAAAAACAGTATACATATAGCAAGCTTAGTAGGATTGCATAGTAAGCTTAAAGTAGAAAGCTAAGCATATATAGTAGTACAGATAGTAGTACATACATATATGGAATGGAGTATTCCATATATGTATGTATATGGAATATATATATATATATATATATATATATATATATATATATATATATATATATATATATATATATATATATATATATATATATATATATATATATATATATATATATATATATATATATATATATATATATACATGAATATATATGTATATATTCATAATAATAGCAAAATACAATACAGTAATACAATAATAAAAAAAAAGTTGTCACTTGTCAGCCCTCATTTGTCATTTCTTGATACGGGTCTGTTCTTGACGTTGCTTTATTATAAACGGGTAATCAGAATGCATGGGAAATAACATAAACACTGGCGTCAAAGCATTCGTAGGAAGGGTGCTTCAGAGCTAATCAGGTCGAGATCAGGTGGCTTCTGACGCAGGGTCTCATGTCACATCTCTTCAATTATAGCATGCTATTCAAATGAACAAACTGTCTTATGCGATGTGCGATGTGCGAACATGTATCTCGAAATAAACAATATCAAATGAATACTACATTCACAAGCAATGAGCGTCTCCGCAATATCGCTTCAGAGAATCGTTTAAAATAAAATTGTATTTTACATCATCGGCACTCTTCCACTCAAGGTGGCTATTCCGAGCCCTCGTCAAAACAGTAAGCGCGTTAAAAAGACACATAAACAGTTAAACCTGCAAAAGTATAAAAGCACGCTAAAACTAAAAGCACAGCTAAAATGTTTGTATGGTTGCCTATCCATCTAGCTGACTAGGTGACTTTTAATACCTTTCTTAAAGCGCGGACCAGACATGACCTGAAGCTCCGTTCCTATGACATGTTCGTTGTACAGTTTACAGGCTCGCTGCTTAAAAGTTCTTTGGCCAAGGCTGGTTCGAACACGCGGTACATGTAAATGACCGGACTGCCTAGTCTGGCGCTCGGAAACATCTCTATTGTACGATATGTCCTGTTGCAGTACCTCAGGCTCACCCCCGCTAATCACCCCGTGTAGCAGACATACGTCGTTCATGTCAATCAACGCACTGACGGGGAGCCACTCCAAAATCCTAATCACGTCGGACACATGATCATACTTCCGTCTGCCAGATATCACTCTGGCAGCAAAGTTTTGCACTTTCTGCAGTCGCTTTAAGCTCGTTTTGCTGGCACAGCCGAATACCTGACTACAATAGCGCACATGTGACATGACTAAGGCGTCCAGTATAGTCGGAAGTACACTTGGAGGAAGCACATGCCTGGCGTGCATCAGGCCGACAAGAACGCCTAAACATTTGGTGACGATATAATCAATGTGTGGTTCAAAGGTCAGTCGGCTATCAAAGATTACACCTAGATTTTTAACAGTTGACACCGGTTGCAGAGTCTCTCCCAGGAACTGCACTCGGACCGGATCCCTCTCGGCAGCCTGTAGCGCCGATCGGCCTCCGGCGACCATCATCTCGGTTTTTGCAGCGTTTATCTTCATGCCGTTCTGGAGAAAGTAGGTGGCCAGAGTGTCCAGGACACCCTCCAGTGCAGTCTGGATCTCTGGCAGCCTCTCCTTGGGTCCCGAGACGACCAGCTGGGTGTCATCGGCATACCTGGCCATCCTGACCATACTGCCATTCACCTCGGACGGCACGTAGCAGGCGGCGCCGATGGAGGCGATGTTGTACAACATCGGTCCCAGGCAGGATCCCTGGAAAATGCTGCCTATGAATCACTTGAGCAACGAAGTTGAGCAACGAACAACAAAGTGTCCACGAAGTCTTATCAGAGCTGTCCGTCAGAATGAACGAATGACTCTAGTAATGTTATTAACGAATGACTCTAGTAATATTATAGAACCAAAAGATGTGCAATGGCAAACACCTCTGTATACCCTATGAATATAAAGACCTCGGTATACAGAAGTATGTACATGGTACTTGTACCGTGTACGTACGGTTGCGTGATTGCGGTTGTAATATAGTGGGCTGGGTGACATGTCCTTCAACCAAGGTCACATCATTTGAGTGCCAGTGCGGAAGCTGCAATGAACTAATAAGGCCGACGTGGATGGACGAGATGTAACACACACCTATCCATGTCACCACTCGGCACCATCCACTCTCCGGCACCTTCCGTTCTCCACGCTCTTCCAGCGATCCAGCAGCTGCAGTCTGAACCGACACAGCAACGAGTTATTTGTCTTCATCGAGTTTGTTTGATCGCGTTATCTATCTTGTTGATTGGTTTGATGCCTACGATAGAAGAAACCTGTCTGTTACAGTGCAGGCATTGAGACAAAAAAAAACTACGTCGTCTGTAATTGTATCATGATACCACCCCCTTCATCATAAACCAGAGGAAAAGGAAGAGCTCCGTGTAAAATATAGTGAAAAAAAACGCTGCAAAAGATTCACTTACATTTGAAATGATTGCTTTATGATACACATGACGGATGACGCTGAAGCCAGCGATTGCGGCGCTACTGTTGACACCGACTCGCTGTTGACTCTCAAAACTCGCTAAGACAGACTCGGGCCGATTGTCACTTCCACCTTAGAGCTTTCGGCCATCTGGGACGCCGGATGCATAGACGAATGTTCTTTTTTCAAGCGGTCGAACGGAGCAACAGGCGATGGGACAAGCAATTGACAACGCGCAAACGGATATATTCTTCTTAAAAAAAAAAAATGTTTTCGACTTTCAAGGGATAGTACGGATCGAACATGTGCACAGCTCTTCGGCTCCGTCGCCACTCACGACATACATATATAGGTGAAATTGAAAAGCATTTCTAGTTTGAACAGGCATTTATTCAACAATCCGAAGTTCAGGCACGTCGTATCAGTGGAAGTTGAGCACTCATGCCATCATAAGCATGGTTTACAAGTTATATCAGGAAACAGGATGCAACTGGTGAATATTGAGATTCAGATAGAAGTTCTCATGCCTTTTGACTGGATGATGTTAAGTGTGTGTAGAGCAAAACAAATGGTCACACCTGGATATAGCATATATCATTGATTCACTGATACTAGTTTAATAGCAAAGAGGCGCCAACTTGAGTGGGAGAGGGAGACGGCAGTCAGGTGCTGCGTTGAAATGAGTTTAACCGGGATAGAATGGGAAAAAGGTTCGCAATTCACAAATAGTTAAATATATCAATCGAATAAAGAAACCAGAAAAAATATCTGTATGGCAAGTACACTGACACCCACACTACACATGCCAGCAGACACTCAGCCCATCAGTCCAATCCACTGAGGTTCCATTCATTCACCACTCATCAGGCCATCAGCAGTCGGGCACCTGTCGCTCCTTGAACAGCCGCTCGAGCCGCTCCTCCAGCGGCCGGTTAGTGCCGCGCAGACCGCGCACCACCCGTGCCGCCCACTGGAAGTACTCGGCCACGCGCTGCTCGTCCCAGCCCTCGGGCGTGGTGCGGCACAGGTCACGCAGGTTGTACAGCTTGTCGGCCAGCTTGACCAGCTTGGCCTGGTGGCTGCGCGAGGCGGCGTGCTCCACCTGCAGGCGCTTCCGCTCCGCCTTGGGCAGCGACTTGTCATCGGTGACCTCAGCGACGATGGACCGGACCTGGAGGCCGGCGGGGAGACAGGTCAGGTGACCATTGACTATACTCACTTATAATGTCTCTGAAAAAGTAGATATCAAAAGACAGCGACTCACCTAAGGAAAAGAGATATCCGTTCAGGGAGTCTATGACGGCGTCTATTCACTAGGATCCCGTCAGCACGACATACTTCCACTTCCTGTCTCACCTTTTCGCCGAAGACATCTTGGATCTCGTCCAAAGTGGTGTCGGTATCCTCGACGGTGTCATGGAGGATGGCGGCCTGCAGTACCTCACTGTCGGTAACATCGCCCTCGTCCATCAAAATATAAGCCACCCCTGCAACAGTCACAGAGCGTCAGTCGATGGGTTTCCTCGAGGAAGCTTCTGTCATCTAGGTCAGAGCGTAGGCCACCCCTGCAACAGTCACAGCAGGTCAGTCGGTGGGTCGTCTCAAGGTAGCCTTCCTGGCCACCAGATTGTGCAATGTGCGTATAGCATAACCCACTATTGCACCAGGCACACCACGTCAGTCGATAAGCTGTCTCGGAGTAGTATGAGGCGGCTCTCTCATAGGCTGCCTTGAACCTTTCTCAGTCGGCTTGAGCTTTAAGCAAAAGTTCTGTGTCAGTTCTGTGTCAGCTGACTGTGTAGTCTCGGTGTCAGATCTGTGTCAGTTCGGTGTCCCGCCGGTGTCCTGTTTGACACGGACCGTCGGCTCCATCTGTCGGCGGAGGACGCGTCACGGGCCGGCGGAGGACGCGTCACGGCCCGGCGGCCGGCCCGCTGCTCGGACGTCTCGGCGACTGCGGCCCGCATACGGTCCCGCTCCTTCTGCGCCTCATTGGCCACGGACCGGCACAGGTGTGGGAGCGCGCTCAGTGTCCATCTGTTCGTCCGACAAACCACCCACCCACCCGACCGACCGTCCGTCCGTCAGACTTGGTGTCGCTCGCGGCCGGAGTCCCGCGCCGACTGTGCGTCGTTCCACAGCAGAAGGCGTGTCGTTCCACAGTCGACTGTGCGTCGCTGTGCCGACTGTGTGTCGTTCTGCAGCCAACTGTGCGTCGTTCTGCAGCCGACTGTGCGTCGTTCTGCAGCCGACTGTGCGTCGTTCTGCAGTCGACTGTGCGTCGTTCCACAGCCGACTGTGCGCCGTTCTACAGCAAACTTTGCGCCGTTCCACAGCCGACTGTGCGCCGTTACACAGTCAACTGAACGCCGTTACACAGTCGACTGTGCGTCGTTCTACAGCCGACGGTGCGTCGTTCTGCAGCCGACTGTGCGTCGTTAGCAGACTGTGCGTCGTTCTACAGTCGACCGTGCGTCGTTCCACAGCCGACTGTGCGTCGTTCTACAGCAGACTGTGCGCCGTTAGACAGTCGAGTGTGCGTTGTTCTACAGCCGACTGTGCGTCGCTGTGCTGACTGTGCGTCGTGTGCGTCGCTGTGCCAACTGTGTATAGGTGTGTCGCCGACGGCACCTTGGTCCGGTGTAACTGCTCGCGGTCTCTGCGGAGCTGCCCGGCCTGGCGTCATGACGTCCCGCCGGAGGGCGCTGCAGCTGTTGGTCGTGCTGGGCGTGCTGGCGCCCAGCAGCGGCCAGCTACCGTTCCTAGGCCGCTGCCCGGCGCCACCAGCCGTCCACCACTTCAACACATACCACTACCTGGGAAAATGGTACGAGCACAGCCGCTACTTCAGCCTGGCATCGCTGGCCGGCAAGTGCACCCACTTCATCTACACGGACCAGGGCTACGGCCGGATCGGCGTCGAGAACCAGCAGATCAAGCTACTCACCGGGAAGCTCAACAGCGTGGTGGGCGTGGCGCGCGTGGTGGACCCGCACTACTCGGGCCGACTGCGCGTGGTGGCCACCAACCTGCCCAGTCTGGGCACCGGGCCCAACTACATCGTGGTCGACACTGACTACAGCAGCTACGCGGCCGTCTGGTCCTGCGCCGACTTCAAGCTGTTCAACCTGCAGACGCTGCAGATACTGACCCGGCACCGGCGGCCCGAGCCGCACCTGGTCGCCGACCTGCGCCACCGGCTCCGCTACTACGGCCTCAACACTGAGAAACTGGCCAAAACCAACCAGGAGGACTGCCCCCACGGCTATTAGCGGCACATCCTCATACATATACGACAAGGGCATTGCTGCAGCGCCACACACTGCACGCTGTGAACGGATAAAAGGCGCCCGAAAAGAACGGAGTGCAACGTGCTGCTCTTCTCGCCAAGAACTGCTAACCCTCCTCACAGCACTGAAGTAACTGACTTAAATGGATATTGCCGTCTCTGCCAGCCACTCCGGTGCATTGGAATCAGTCAGGAAAACAGCTTTGTCCTAGGTTGGTTACGTGGGAAAAGGAAAAAAGACGCTCGGTGTGATGATATAATCTTTTCAGTCTGGACGTAAGGTCAAATTTAACCGAAAGGCTTCGATCGCTCCGCATTGCGCTAATGTGGGGTCCACACTAGAGGTCTGCACCGGCCGGCTGCAGCCGCGGCTGGCTGCAGCCCCACGGCTGTGGGCCGGGGCGGCTGCAAATATCTCCAAGAACACGGCTACGGCTGTGGCCACGGCTGTGAGATTTCAAGCTCAATCTTAAGTACTCAAATATAAAATTTTAAATCCTTAATCTTACATTCTGATAAGCAGTCTAGCCTGTAAAAATCATGCAAAGGATGCCCAGCAACATTGAAAGTGGTGAAGCCTTTGAAAACCTGTAATGGTTTTACCATTTGCTGTAGGGGAGTTTGCACTCTGGTACAGAATACTAATTATAGGTACCAATTGTTTCTTCATCATCAAGAGCTTGACAGTTTCAGAAAATGCAACATGTTGCATTGTCACATCCCTCTCAAATCAATCCCACCTGGTCATTAGGAGAGCACCTTACAGCTATTGAGGACGAGCGTTCAATAATTCTTTCAGGTAATAGAAAAAGAAATCACATCTAGGTAAAGGCAGGTAAAGGCTTCATAAAATATTATCTAAAATACCTCCTAGATGTATTTCTGGATTTTCGGCAAGTCCAATTACAAAATATAAAACTGGCGCTTTATGTTCAAACTGGTGTGTGAGTGACCGCTAACAGAAAATGCTGATCAACGAAGCCAATGGAATTAGATTGTAAGTGAGCATGAACCTTACTTACGGTTAATTCACATGATGGTGAAAACCCTGAACACGTAATTCACATGATGGTGAAAACCCTGAACACAATCTTTCTTACGCGAGCTGTTGACTTTACTAATAAAATGACGTCTTCTTCTGAAAATATAAGAAAATGATAATTTATCTTTGTTTGAGAGCAAGTTTTCAACTGTATAGCATTATTATATATTAATTTTAATTTTCATGGCTGTTTATAGTGACACAAAACAATTTATTGCCACTTCTTTGGTATTTACGTTATTAAAAACTCAAGTAAAATTTTTGATTGAAAGAGGCAATTGTGGCTCACACTGTAAACTGTGGGGGAGACGGTCGTCCCAGTTTACAGTCATCCGATCGTGGTGATCGGGAAACGTGTTCCTTTCCGAGCACTCGGTCAGCCACCAGGGCTCTTCATGTCGCCCTCGCTTCCTCGTCTTCCATTTCCCTCCAAAGCCTTGTTGCCGATGAGTAGAGAAGTGTATTTACAAAATGTCAGAATTTACTAATGTACATAAAACGCGGACGATAGACAGTATAGCAAACTATGCGCATGCGCCAATCACTACGGGCCAGACGGTTTGTCTTGCACCATGTCACATGCGCAGTGTGTGTGCGCGGATATGTACATTGGCAGTGGCACACCGACACGGCGATACATGCGCAGCAGGTGTGCGCGAGTGTATGGAACTCCTACACTACCCCCTCCCTAGACGGGTCGCGAGTGAACGTGACGCGTCGAGATCGGTCTGGAGGCCGTACTTCGCGATCGGGGCGCGAGCGCAGGATGGATCGCAGCGGAGCTGGTTCCGGTGTTGCTGCCCTTGGAGATGGGCGTTCTGCAGGCGGCGTGTCTTGCGGCAGCAGCTCCATGCTGTCCGACTTGGCAGCTAGTGGTGGCAGAGTCGCAGAGGCAGGAGACTGCTGCGTAGGCTGGTGTGGCGTCTCTTCCGGAGACGCAGGCTCGCAGTGGTCGATGTTGCTGGTTGGCGCGCTGGCGGCTACCGGTTGCTTGTTGGGTGGAGCTGGCGTCGGCGTCGGTCGCTTCGGTAGGTTGCCACGAGGAGATGCGCTGAGTGAGGCGTCAGCGTCGATCTGGTGCTGCTTGGCAGTCTTCGTGTTCCGCACGAAGAGAAGTGTTGCGGCGGCAGATGCTTTTGACCGGCTGCACGGAGGCTCGCAGCGGCGGGCCTTGTTGCCGAAACGCTGGTGGTACCAGCAGACAGAGCTGTCTGGGTACGTCGGCGTCGGAGGGCGTGACGGGCGAGGCGTCTGACGGCTGCGATGTCGACCTTTGTTGCGGTGGGAGAAACTGCACGGCGCTTTGCAGCGACGCGCTCTGGCACCGAAGCGCTGGTGGTACCAGCAGATCTCGTAGGTTGACGGATGCGCTGGCTTTAGAGGGCGGTTTTCATGGCGTCGTTGATGCTGGCTTCGGCCAAGTTGCGCTGCTGCGCCTTTGAGTCGACGCTGGGTGGCCTCCATTTGCTGTACTCGGACGATGAGGGTCGCGATGGTGGCTAGCAGGGCTGTGAGCCGACCTGCTGCTTCGGGTTCGGGTGCCGGCGAGCTGAAGCTGGTTGCGGGAGGGGCGGTGTGCTGCCGGGTGGCTTCGCTCGACTCCATGGTGTGGTCCACGAGTAGCCCGGATCACGTCGGGGTCACCAGTGTAAACTGTGGGGAGACGGTCGTCCCAGTTTACAGTCATCCGATCGTGGTGATCGGGACGGCAGGAGCAGGGGTCAGCGTGGACTTCTTGGGTAGGCAGCGGCGTGGCAGCACGCTGACCTGCGCTCCGGTGTCAATCAGAAATTGATGATTGGTCTTCGTGTCCCGCACGAAGAGGAGCGGCGCGGCGGTGGGAAGTGCGCCCGCGCATTGCGCCAAGAGCGCGGGGCCGCCTAGTTTTCCGCCCAACTGCATGGCGATTCGCAGCGGCGTGCCCTGCTGCCGAACCGCTGATGGCACCAGCAGAGGTCGTCTTCGTTCGTCGGCGTCGGAGAGCGCGCTGGTGTCGGCGGCCGTGACGAGCTAGGCGCCCGTCGTCGGCGGGATTGGCTCCGGCCACGATCCCGTCGGAGCGCGTCTTGTAGGCGCCGGTTGCTGGCCTCGAGGCCTCGGTGGCTGGCCTGGAGGCTGTCCATCTTGGCGACTAAGGTCGCTACGACGGCCTCTAGTCCGGCTGAAGGTTGAGCCGGTGCCGGTGTCGCAGGCTGCGGCGGCGGGGCGGTGACGACCGCTACCCTCGGGTCCGGTCCGCTGGCGTCCAGGTATCGGTCTGCCGCTTCTGCCAGCGCATCCAGTGCGCTGTCGGCCGGCAGTAGCGCCAGGGCAGCGCGGACGGGCTGCGGCAGACGTTGTTTGAAGAGTGTCCGGAACAGCTCCGTGTCCACGGGAGCGTCCCCGGCGGCGGCCAGCTCGTTCCTCATGGAACGGAGGAGCGCCGTCGGCTTTTGGTCGCCGAGCTGCTGTCGGCTGAGTAGCGACTGCAGCCTGTCGGCCCGGGATTGCGCAAGGCGAGACTTCAGCGCGTCGCACAGGGCGGTGAATGACCTTGATGTCCTTATCACGTCCTTGACCTGGACGGCGATAGTCGCTGGCAGGTTGGCGACTAGAAGTTTGTACCGGAGCTCGTCGGAGCTTACGCCGCTGATGTCGAACGCGCATTCGACCTGTAGGAGCCATAGATCGGGCTCTTCTGGTGTGTATGGCGGCAGGCGGAATGAAGCTAGCGGCCGTTGAGCGGTCTCAGCTGGAGGCCCGTTGGACACAGTCGCGAGAGGGGCGCCCTGCGGTGCTGCGTTGTCCAACTCCGGGGCGTTCGGCATGACTGGGTTGGAGGATCACGTCGGGGTCACCAGTGTAAACTGTGGGGGAGACGGTCGTCCCAGTTTACAGTCATCCGATCGTGGTGATCGGGAAACGTGTTCCTTTCCGAGCACTCGGTCAGCCACCAGGGCTCTTCATGTCGCCCTCGCTTCCTCGTCTTCCATTTCCCTCCAAAGCCTTGTTGCCGATGAGTAGAGAAGTGTATTTACAAAATGTCAGAATTTACTAATGTACATAAAACGCGGACGATAGACAGTATAGCAAACTATGCGCATGCGCCAATCACTACGGGCCAGACGGTTTGTCTTGCACCATGTCACATGCGCAGTGTGTGTGCGCGGATATGTACATTGGCAGTGGCACACCGACACGGCGATACATGCGCAGCAGGTGTGCGCGAGTGTATGGAACTCCTACAACACGTCCTTGGGGATTTGAGCGAAGATCATTATTTGGAAAAATCAAAATAGATGAATGTTTTTCTTTCTTGGATACTCACTAGTGTTTTGATGCCTTGCACATCAAATTAGTTTGAGACTTGCTCAGAAGGCTGCTTCAAGCCTGGCATATCACACCCCAGAAAATATGCAAGGTAAGAAAGAAGCAAGTGTTTTGACTAGACAATCACTGTTTGACAATCCTGATCCATCAACTTCAGTTTCATTTTCCATACCTAACATTGATAATGAAAAACATCAGGGTCTGTTGTTACTTGTTTTGTCCCACAACCATGCTTCAGGATTTGGCATTAGATGTCTACACTGCTAGTGCTTCTATTCTGGTTCGTTGTTTATGTTTTCTGTTGATGTAGGTACCTACCTACCCATCTTTCTTAACCCCTTGCAAGGGCTTGTGTAGGCATGCGATGCGCATCAGGCTTCAGGCCTTCGGCCTAAAGCCAGATACACAACCACTTAATCTATGATGCTTCATGAGCTTGAGAATCTATAGCCCATTGCAATGTGCTTTTGGCTATATGTTTCAACTAAAAACTTATTAAATACTATTTGGTTGCATTTCATTGAAAGTATCCACGGCCGGCTGACGGCTGGCTGCCCACAGTTTGCCACGGCTGTGGGCGGCTGTGGCTGTGGAGCCACGGCTGCGGGGCGGCTAGGCTGTGGAAAATTGCAGCCGTGCAGAACTCTAGTCCACACTGGAATGCTATAGTGCAGTGTCAAGTGTGGAGTGGGGCGACCGAAGTCTCATGCAGACCGCATAGAGCGTGTGCAACACAAAGTCATCTGGTTGTCGACCCACGTTTCTGGTTCACCACGACCTCCCGACTATAGCCCACGCCTAAATATGATTGCCTACCGTATCATACAGAGAGCAGGTGATTATATGTAATCGCCTACTTTCTCACTTTTCTCTCTGTCCACTGACCCTAAGGTGAACTTGACATGATTTAACGTTCTCGTCACGCATCTTGAAAAATACCAATGGCTCCCAGCCTCCCACTTCTTGCGATCGCACTTCAGCTTAGCCGTCTCGCACCTCATTGCCCGGCTGCGTACTGTTCTTGCATGGTCTCATGCAACAGTAGAAACGTGAAACGGGCATGTTCTGTAAATTTACCAGGGTGATTAACGAGTTCTTGCAGCGATGTGATGAGGTCAACATTATTTAATGATTTTTTATCTAGCATTAGGTCTGTGTAGAAAAGATGCTTAAACAAGTGTGCAGTAAATGGCAGCTCTCCGCGCCGTGATTTTTTATATATCTGCGAAAGGTCGCGGGGAGGAGGGGGGGGGGTCAAACACACCCGGCCCGGCGCTACGTTCAACTGGGTTATGGGTATGCTCCCCCGCGCTCAAGCTCTGGCTGGATCCGCCAGTGGGCAAGCTCTCATCAGATAATTTCTTTTCCTGCCGGTGTGCAGCGTCCGGCAGGCGAACGTCCACGCCGCATAATTACAGAACCATTATCTTATTAGCTGCGGCGCGCCAATTTGGCCAGGCTGATCGGTCACGTGGCCGATTATGTAACCATACCTGCAAGGAACTGGTATCGATCGCTCGTATTTATGGCGTAAATTGTAACTAAGTATAGCAATAAAGGTCGATTTTCCGGAGGTGCTAGTGCGCTGCTGGTAGTGATCGGTAAGACGTCATATCTTGAATTAGATTGAACCGGAACGGCAGGTCTAAAAATGGTTTGCATGCCTATTTCTTTGCCAGTGGCGGCGGAAGGTAATTTTGGATGGGGGTGCAAAGTTTTCTCAAGGGGCCCCTCTGGAAGTTTTGGGCCCCCCTTCAGTTTTTTTTTTGAGTGATTTTTATTGATTTATGAAAAACGAAGATTTTGGAAAACTATCCCCATACACACAAGTTCTGTAAAAGATTTGAAATTGCGGTGTAGGTACCTACCTGTCTCAAATAATGAAAGCATAAGGAAGCAAATGCAGCTAGTTTTTTATCGGCTAATCTTTTAGTCTAGCCACCACCCGCAGCGTCTCAAACAACTTTTCTGGATCCGCAATGGACGATTGAGGGCCCCACGAGACCGTTCCAAGAAGATGTTTTAGAAGCCCCTTGGAAACCGACCACATAGTGACTCCTCCAGAGACCTACATGGAATGAGCCCTCCGATCAGGGTCGGTCCCTTGAAAGTTGCTGACAGGTTTCAGAAGGCAGTATAGGCTCGAAAGTCTTTTGAGGGCTCTCAGAAACCGGCATCGGACCCCAAAAAAGCCTGTATGGAGGCCCTCCAAAGCCGGGATGGCATTGGAGGCCACAGGAGCCGATGTTTAGCCTAAAGAGCCGGTATGGAGGACTGAATAGAGGAAAGGGGTCTCAGTGGGGCCTTCAGGGGCAAGCTTTTGAGCCCCAAAAGTATGTGTTGGGTCTTAGAGGCAGGTAGACCCCTGGGGTATTCACGGTGTCCCAGGAGCTCGCGTGTGAGCCCTAATATTCGGCTAGCGGCTACTAGAACCAGCATGGGGATTCTTAGAAGCCGCTTTAGACCCACATTTCATAGGTCATGAGTCCCAAGAGTCGATGTAGGGGCCATAAAAGCCGGTGTAGGGCCCATGGCCCCATAAGTTCCGACATTGAGACTCTCAGAGGCCGGCGACGGGGCACCAAGAGCAGATAAAGTGCCTCAACAAGCCGACATGGGGCCTGAGAATCAGTGTGGAATTCCAGGAGCCTGCGTGAGCTCTCGGAGACCTTCGTATTTCGTAAGGTCCACAAAGGTCGTTGGATCCTCTGAATCTGAACTCTGCGAGGCCCTCAGAGGCCAGCATATCTCCTGGCACCTGCCTGCGTTGAGTTGAGACCCTCCTAGGTCGTCGTAGGGTTCTTCAGAGGCCAGCGTTGGCCCTTGAAGCCTTCGTTAGGCCCTAGAAGCCGTCAAGAGGGCCCTCAGAGGTAAGCATGGCCCCTGGAGCCTGCCTGCGTCGAGGCCCTCAGAGGCCGTCGTGGGGCCCTCAGACGCCAGTGTGGGCCTTTAGAGCTTGCGTTGGGTCTTAGAGACCATCGTGAGGGCCCAGAGAGGTCGTCGTCAGGGCCCTTAGCCCCTCAGGGACCGTCCTGGGGTCCTCAGAAGTTGTTGTGAGGGTCCTTAGAAGCCTTCGAGAGGATCATCAGAGGTCGTCATGAGGGTCCTTGGCCATATTGAGGGTCTTCATGGGCCCTCAGATATCTTTGCAGGGCTCTCAGAGGCCTTGGTAAGCCCGCTAGAGGCCAACATTGTTAGGGCCCTCAATAGACCGTTGCAGAGCCCTCAGATGCCAGCATAGCCCCTGCAGCCTGGTTGTGTTGGGGCCCTCAGAGGCCGTCGCTGGGCCGTCTGAAGCCAAATGGGCCCTCAGACTTGAATTGGGTCTAGGGCCGTCACGAGGGCCCTCAGAGACCGTCGTAGAGGCCCTCAGAGGCCAGTGGGACCCCTGGAGTCCTGTGGGACCCTCGCGGTCGTCATGAGGGCCCTTAGTGGTCGATATAGGGCCCCAGGGGACAGAGTTCTTCGTGAGAGCCCTCAGAGATCATCGTAAGGGCCCTCAGAGGCCGTCATAGGGGCCCTCAGAGGCCAGCGTGGCCCCTGGAGTCTCCTTGGGGCCCTGGAGTCTCTGTGAGACCCTCAGCGGTCGTCATGAGGGCCCTTAGTGGCCGTTGTAGGGCCCCAGGGGTCAAAGCCCTCAGGTGGGAGCCCTCAGAGATCGTCATAAAAGGGCCCTCTGAGGCCGTCGTGAACTCGTGGGGGCCCTCAGATGCCGCGTGAAGTACCAAACGCGGCTCGGGACACTTCTAGCCGGTGTGGGGGCCTCAAAGACTAGCATGAGGCGCTCCTGACCATAATTAATTGGACATCCCGGATGATTCCACATCAATGTTCGTTTCCCGATCACTGGTTTTCAGGAGAAAATATATTGGATGGTGCGACGGGCCCCTTGTACGAATTTTGGGGGTGCAAAAAGATATGTTTGCACCCCATGTTTTTCGATGGGGGTGCAGCTGCACCCCCTGCACCCCCTATTCCGCCGCCACTGTTCTTTGCATGGCTTTAGTAAGGTTCGAATTGACCAATGACCATGTAGCAATGTGCGCAGCGTAGTGTTAACTCCCCCGACCGTCACCATGATGAACTGGTGTGAAAGCCCGCCCCGTAGTGTCCAATACTTGGCTGGTTTACACAACACCGGTAATCCCTGGATCTCAAACGTTAAACGTACAGCAATAGATGTGTACAGAGGTTAGTTTAAGCATGTTTAAGGTACTGTGCAAATGAGAGAAGAAACACTACTAATGAGACTGATTGATCAATTACTAGAAAAGTTATTGGGTGTGTGTGGGCGGGGGGGGGGGTGTAGGAGAGGGGGAGAAGGTGTTAGAGGCAGAAAAAACACTGCACAACTGTTAACATGTACAAATGTTTCGTGTTTAAGGAAAAGCGTCGATGGCTCTTTTTCTGAAAATAAGCGTAGTTGTTGGTTATAACGAAAATGCGTAAAAAATAAACGTAATACAAACAACGATAAAATCACCATCTCTTTTCTACGCGGGACGAATGACGCCGGGCCAGCTTGTAATAGTTGTATCGACGACCAGTTTCCGGACAATAAGCTGACGTCGTGTCTGCAGTGGGGCCAACTACGTCATTAACATAGCATTCATCTTCGTCCAAAACCTAAATGACGTTCGCAGATAGGTCGTAGGGGCGACACCATTGACCATACACAAGCAAAGGTCAGGGAGGTGACGGCATCGAATGAGAAATGGCAATAAATGACGGCACTCTCGCACCACGCCAGTGCCACTCTTCACCATCACGCTGATATGACGTCATCTCCGCCGTCCAATAATCCCGTGCTAACTTATCGGTCACGTGACGGCGTCTACCATACACAATCAACCGCAGCACAGTACCACGTGACAGGCCGCGGTGACCTACTCACCGATCGGGTGGTTGATGTAGGGCGTCTTGTCGGGATCCTTCCTCCGCTGGTCCTTGTGTTTGATGGCCGCAAAGTTGGCCGCTCGAAGAAGACATCGCACGGGATCGGCGTCCATCTCAAACTCTACAATATCCTCGAACTCCCAAACACGTGGCGTGGCTCGCCGGCAGCGTTTCACAATCAGCCGACTGAGCGCGTGCGGCAGGCGGCGTCGGTAGAGCCAGACATCGATCCACGCTCTCGGCTACCGGGTAGCGTGGAGTATAGTCAGCTGACTGCGGTCCGACTGGCGCCTGCTTCCACGCACTGAGATACGGGGAGCCGGCCGGACCGAATGGGACCGTGGAAGGTTCAGTTTACAGGCAGGGCCGAGACGGGCAAACGATGTTACGCTAGTCAGGAAAAGTAAATTGAAACAAAACGAGGCGCCTACATATGTAAGCATGAAGTAGTGCTTGCCATCGCAGGAAACCTACGGCGAAAATGTGCACGTTTATCGAGTAGCGACCATTAGACAATAGGGATGATTGCAACTCTTGAAAGTTAGAGCAGCCGCCACAGGCTATGGAGTCGGAGTCGGAGTCGAAGTCGGAGTCATTCGGAGTCGACAGTTCTGCCCGGATTCGGAGTCGGAGTCGGAGTCAACAATGCATGGCTCAAAGTCTGCTCAAAGTCCTAGGCCTTCAGTCTACAGGCCTACAGTCTACACCTGTTTGCCTGAAAATTTTACGTTCGGTGATCTCAAAACATTTTGTTGAAGCGACCATACTTCCGTTTCGGACGACCGCTTTCAGCGAAAAAAGCAAAAGACGCCAAAACCTACTTCAACTTTTGCAGGTTTTTCCAGTAGCGGCGGAACACCTTCGATTAAGGGGGGCCAGGGGGGGGGGGGGGCACTGCTGACTTTTGGTCCCATTCTTTCCACGCAACGCCCATTGGGCTAATGTTAAAATGCCAAAATCAAAGGAGGGCACGGTGCCCCGGTGCCCTCCCCGTTCCGCCGCCTCTATAAATGGGTATATGTGCATTGCGCCAGGTACCTATAACAAATATCTGCGACATGAACTTAACTTCCATGGTAAAGCTCATGTCGGAAGAGAAATAAAGAGACCTGTTCGGAGTCCGAACTGAAGTCGGAGTCGGAGTCAATTTCTGAAGCCGGAGAATCCGCGGAGTCGAACTCCGAAGTCGGAATAAAAGTCACCAAAAAATCCATCGGCTCCGCAACCCAGGTAACTAACTCTATGCGGTATGCACTGCTGATTGCTGAGCGCTAAAGGCCAGGTAGGCTGCCCGCAATACACTTGTGCTTTCCGGTACAGTCTACCCATTCAGGCAAGCGTCGATACGGCAGCGCCGGCACTTTGCCGGACTATGCTGGATCCAGTCTTAGTTGGAATTCCAAATTGAAATTACATAGTTCGGCTGCACTTGTAGCCGTTCAGCCTTATTTCCGTTATGACGTTGAATGAAATGACTATCTTTTTACTACGCCTGCTATATAATGTTAATATTATTGCATGCTATATAATACTTGCACTGACAGTGTTCTGCAACAGTGACATGGCGTGCTAGCTGCAAAGTCCAGTAAATAATGACGAAACGACAATGTTGAATGACACAGATCTTGGGAATGAAAATAAAGTGAAAGTGTTTATCAGAAGTCAATACCCTTCAATAAATAATGTATATTTATGTCATAAAGTAAGTAGCAACATTGCCGCCCTCCTTCGTGACCAAATAACGCACGATACGGCTGGAGCGTCAACAGCACCAGGGCCCTGTTTCACCGGTGATAGCAGCACGCCGATTTTACGACTTGTCAAATTGGGTTTCCATGGATACATCAACAGGCCCATTGCTCCAACACTACCACAAGTGTGACGTCAGCTCGCGCAATTTGATAGCAGCGTGGTAGCAGCAGCCCGTGAAACACCGCCCAGGTGGTAGTGATAGGATCCATCGTATCCTCATTACGTCCCCGCAGTCCCCGCCAATACCGGTGGATCGGATCCACGCGCGATCCATCCTCGTTACCACACGCGTCGCGTGCTGTGCGCGCATCCCCGACGCGTGGTATCGTCGGTGCCGGCGACGGCAGCGACGGCTCGTCTCCTGGCGCTGCAGCGCGCCCGAGAGCCAGTCGTCCGCGGGCTGTCGACAGGGGTGTGTGGCAGTGGCGGCGAGAGACTGAGGTGTACTGTGAGGGAGACGAGGTCCGACGGCGCGGGAGAAGAAGTGTGGACAGTTGTGTGTCGAGTCCTCACCCTCCCAGTCAGTCAGCGGGGGGTACAGACCGGCTGTGAGGAACACTCAGAGAGATTGGTGTGGTGAACACCATGGATCGCGGCGACTGTCTGTTCAGCGCCGTGGTGGTGCTGCCGCTCTTCTTCTCTCACGTGGCACTCCGAGCGCGCGGCGACGACCGGCCCGAACACTCCGGCTCTCAGTCGTATAACGGTAAGGGTGGCCACGGCCGGCGAATGGCCCGCCAACGGTCCGGGAAGCCATCAGCGGCTCCCAGCAGAGCAATTGGACCCTCATCGATTTCCACTTTATCTCATCCCTCTTTCCCAGTGTCACACACACAGGCAACCGCAGACAGACACACAAAAGAATGCGCGCATATTCTACCTCACCTCTCTCTCTCTCCCTTCCCCTCTCTCTCACCCTCCCTCTCTTTCTTTCTTTCTTTCTTTCTTTCTTTCTTTCTTTCTTTCTTTCTTTCTTTCTTTCTCTCTCTCTCTCCCTCCCTTCCTCCCTCTCCCTCTTTCTGTCTCTCTTTCTCTCTCTCTCTCTCTCTCTCTCTCTCTCTCTCTCTCTCTCTCTCTCTCTCTCTCTCTCTCTCTCTCTCTCTCTCTCTCTCTCTCTCTCTCTCTCTCTCTCTCTCTCCATCTCTCCATCTCTCTCACTCCTTCAATGACTTTATATTTCAATTTCATACATCAAAAGCTGCTCAAGGAAAACTGTCCCTAACTGATACCAGCTTTGTGGCAGATATAAATGCTTTTTGGTATCCTCTGCGGTCCTCAATTTGAAAATACGAAACATTTTTCTCTGTTTTATATACGTTTAATATCCTCATAACGAAAACCATAGCAAGAGTTTTCCTCTCCAACTTTATTTCGTCGGAATCGATTGTTAATCATGCCTTCTACCGACATCCCCATAGTGTTTATTTATGTCACTCTGAAATGCACTCAGTCTATACGTTTTGTGGAAGATCACCCGCGCATTACGTGCACTGCACGCTAGCCTCACGTGGAAAAACCACGCTGGACTCTCCTGGTCGATACCGTCCCACGACTTGATCAGCCATTATCACCGCCCCTAATGCACGGAACACGAGCTCGTACCTCAAATAAGGCCGACTTCAGGCGGTCTTGCGTGCGTCCGGCGCTAATTTATTACGTGGGAGTGGAGCCGCGGGGCCGGCCCGGTAGCGAGGCAACAGGCGTCACATCAACAATTGATCGAGTGGCGGCGGCGGCGGCGTCTCACCGGCTACCTGTGCTTGCACTGTGTTTTCAAACACCGGCCTCCTGTGTTTATCAGGGTAATGAAGGTGTCTAGACCCAGCCGTGCCTCCCAAAGAGTACATTGTGGCGTCAGCGACGGACCCCTTCGCGTGTGTGTCTTGTGTAGACAGTCAATGAAATTGTGGCTTGGCTATTTTGTTTTCAATGTGTGGAGTTGCAGTCGATAGAGTACACACGAAAATGATGTCCGACGTTGGCAGCGTAGTGAACATGATTGAATGGTTGATCATTTGGACTTGCTCAGCCAACACTCGCAATAAAAAACTGAAGGATTGGAAAGTAGGGTGTGTCATCAGTAACAGAACCAAATGCCGTAAAGAAATTCCTTGGCACTGAGACCTGCAAACACACGGCATAGCAACCGTTTTTGCAAAAAATTAAAATTCGTGCGGCGCCAGCCGTTCAAAGTTTTGGCGCCCGGCGTTGCAGTCTCCAATGCTGAGCGTCACCCAGCACTGCGAGTAACACCAAGTATTGCAGCAGGTAATAATGCAAAATAACTACCGCTGAAAATGATGCTTTTGAGCGCTTCTAAGGCTGATTGTTGCAAAAAGCATGTCATTAGAGTGTCCAATTACTGTTTTTATTGTGCTCAATGAATTAACCCTCGCATGTGTAGGGGGGGGGGGGGTCGGATGGACCCCCCATGGTTTTTCGCGAATAACTCGCGTAAAAAGCGGCCGATCGCGACGAAACTTTCAGTACCCTCGCATTGATCAATTTTACACCTACCCTGAAATTTTCATGACCCTGAACCAAATGACCTTTGACCTGTGACCTCTTTTCCGAGACCATGTTTGGCCGGAATCGCGATTTTGCGTATGTCGGCTCGCACTAGCCGCGTGTTTGCATGCTTTTCGTGGTTTCAAACGTTCAAACATGTGATTTGATGTTACTCCCGTGTGTGTCAAGGTCACCTGAAGGTCAGGTCAGGTCATTGACCTTTGGTGACCTCGGGTGACCTCGGGTCACTTTTTCGAGTTTTACATGTTTCTAGGCTAGTTTTTGGAGCTGAATTCGAATTTAGCAACCATTTGAACATTTACGAAGTAGTTTTGGTGACTTTGTAACATGTTACGAAGCTGTCAGAGGCGGTTGACACGTACTACGAATACCCGTCACGACGCCTACTGGTTGACCTGACCTGACCTGACCCGACCTGGTCTAAATGCTTCAAGACATCATCTGTGATCAAAACTAACACGATATTCGTGATCAGCACCCCGAAAAACCTCTTAGCAGCCACACTTTACGACTTTCTAACAGGTCCCGATTTTCCCGACTTTGGGTCATTGACCTGACCTGGAAGGTCAACCAATGACCTAGGACCTTAAAATTGGGTATCATCGGCTTCCTCTCGTCACGGGCAACACGCTCGTTTTTTCCGCGAAGCTCTAGCTCGATCAGGGGCCAAACGGCAAGGGGGGGTCCAACCGACCCCCCCCCCCCCTACACATTAGAAGCTGGCAAACGCCGCACACATGCGAGGGTTAAACCGAGCATTGCTACTGAAACTAAAGAAAAAAAAACTGCCCGATTTTGAGAAGCGGGCGGGGTGGAACTGGAGGCGGAGACGGGAAGTGACTCAGATTCGTCTTCTGAAAACACCGACTCCGTGGCATCCTCTGGGCGGTGCTTCTTCTTCTTCTTCTTCTTCATCTTCTTCTTCTTCTTCAGCATGTCATCTCGTGTGACCCGGCCCGTCTCCACCAGGAAGTCCCGGATGAGTCCAGCCTCGGTGGAAAGGATCTCCCTCAGCGTCGGCAAAGGGCCCCACGGGCGGGTCCGTGGCCCCTGGTAGGCGGGGTAGTCGACCAACAGGTGTTTGGCCGAGTCCGGTTCGTCGCAACGGACTTTCTCGTCAGACTCGGCCGGACCAAGTCGGAATCGGGTGTCTCCGGTGAGTGGGGAGCAGCTCACGCGGAGCTGTGCCACTGTGATCGACGCTCGGCGGCCCAGTTCTCTCTCCGTGGCCCAGAGCGCCACATCGCCCGCATTCGCAGATGTGTACCTCCAGTTCCCGAGCCGCAGTTATAGCCGGTCATACGAGCCTGCAGGGTTAGCGTCCGATGGCTGCGTTGGTCCTTCAGGAAGACAGCCTCCTGCTGAGTGACTCAGTGGGCGATGAGACTTGTGCACCTGCTCTGAGAGTTGCATTTGCATTTGGCGATATCCAGGAGTTGTTGAATTATGCAGTGGCGGCGCTTTGTTCCTTCCTGTGTCTCTGGTGTTTTGTTCAGAAGTCTGTAGGGCTGTCTGTAGGGCTTATAGCAGTCCCTTTTGATCACTTTCGTTGTGTGTTTTACATAGATCGCGAACAGGGATTCCTTCATTAGTTCAGAGTTGCCTTGTCCTTTTTTTTCGCCACGGCCCTAAATGCACTATTTGTTGGATTTCTTCTTTGAGCACTCAGCCACCTGACATAACTGAAGGCCTCTGCTTTAGTCAGCAGTCGCTGTTGGGACAAAAGTGCCGGCTGTCCTATCACGAAATGTTTTGTACGCGGCCGTGTCACTTTCGGCAGGGCCCTATGCTATCCGGATCATAACTCACGAGGCGAAAAAAACGTAGCTGATTAGGAAATACCCATACGACAGTTATAGCACGACACAGGGAACCAGCAAAGCGCCGCCACTGCATAATTCAACAACTGGATATCGCCAAATGCAAATGCAACTCTCAGAGCAGGTGCACAAGTCTCATCGCCCACAGTCACTCAGCAGGAGGCTGTCTTCCTGAAGGACCAGCGCAGCCATCGGACGCTAACCCTGCAGGCTCGTATGACCGGCTATAACTGCGGCTCGGGAACTGGAGGTACACATCTGCGAATGCGGACGATGTGGCGCTCTGGGCCACGGAGAGAGAACTGGGCCGCCGAGCGTCGATCACAGTGGCACAGCTCCGCGTGAGCTGCTCCCCACTCACCGGAGACACCCGATTCCGACTTGGTCCGGCCGAGTCTGACGAGAAAGTCCGTTGCGACGAACCGGACTCGGCCAAACACCTGTTGGTCGACTACCCCGCCTACCAGGGGCCACGGACCCGCCCGTGGGGCCCTTTGCCGACGCTGAGGGAGATCCTTTCCACCGAGGCTGGACTCATCCGGGACTTCCTGGTGGAGACGGGCCAGGTCACACGAGATGACATGCTGAAGAAGAAGAAGAAGAAGAAGCACCGCCCAGAGGATGCCACGGAGTCGGTGTTTTCAGAAGACGAATCTGAGTCACTTGCCGTCTCCGCCTCCACCCCGCCCGCTTCTCAAAATCGGGCAGCTTCTTCTTTAGTTTCAGAAGCCATGCTCGATTTAATTCATTGAGCACAATAAAAACAGTAATTGGACACTCTAAGGACATGCTTTTTGCAACAATCAGCCTTAGAAGCGCTCAAAAACATCATTTTCAGCGGTAGTTATTTTGCATTATTACCTCCTACAATACTTGGTGTTACTCGCAGTGCTGGGTGACGCTCAGCATTGGAGACTGCAACGCCGGGCGCCAAAATTTTGAACGGCTGGCGCCGCACGAATTTTAATTTTGGTGGACTCGGATATGGATGAAAATTCATTATTGATCAATGTGCCAAGGAAAAACCTTACGGCGTTTGATTCTGCGAGAATCACCCCCTCGATGACACACCCTATTGGAAAGCGTCACATTTGATGGGGTGTTGTATTGATCGCATGCTCATTGCAGTTAAGTAAAATTAGTTTATTAAATTGTGACAGAAAGCGTGAACTTACGAGTATTCGCCCATTTGTAGTGAGAAGTGACTAGTGAGAACGAATGCATTGTTATGAGGCTGTGTGCATCTTCATGTGGTGCTTCAACATGCGTTACGTCAAGCACAAATAATTTGAATATCATCTCGCCATTTCTGTTCATCACTCCACCCAGTCAACCATTCTGCTTCCGCGGCACGTTCACTTCTTGCAGACTGTGAATCCCAGCCAAATCCGGTTAAAGGTCGGCCAAACTTGTCTGTACGGGGATTCGGCCGTGACATGGGTGGGCGTATCGGGACCCGACATGGGCTCTGGAGTCTGCTGTGATCTGTACATTTTAGCTGGAGTTGATAGGCGCGGATCACTAAGCCAGGGTAGTAGTGATCGTTTGAAACAAATTGTTATGCAATAGGGTACTTAACGCCAGTGCAGTTGGCAGGTCATTAGCTCGAATATAATTGTCTGTGGTTTCAAAAAAAAAAAAGAATCATATTTATACTAACAAGCTTTGGGTATTTTGGTGTAAGAAATTCTCTTAGATATAGGTTCTGTTATTTTTTCTATACCTACCTTTTGATTTAAGAATAATGCCTTCAGCTTTGCATTGTCAGAAAATTGAACATCAGTCAAGTGATTTTCTTTTGTCGCGATAGCTTATGTTAATCCAGATAGGCGTATTGCACGCGACTGGGCAATGAGTAGTGATCATGCTCCACAAAAAATTCTTCTAATTCCTAAATCTCTTCGAAATTCGTGCCCATATACGTTGCTCTGCGATTCGATTCAGATTATATGAAAGCAATCTAGCTTACTTTCTATAACCAAAAAAGACAAAAAAAAAACAAAGAAGAAAGCAGTAGTTTCCTATACCGACAAATGCCCCATTGACTTTGCCAGTGTATGTGGAAACCTATGTAAGATTACAATATTTAGTTGTGAGCTGCAATGGCAGCGCGAGCAGCCTTGCATTATAGTTAGGAAGGGTGACGAGCTGGGCTCACTCGCAAAAAAACTGTCCTTAACACGAAATTATTTGCTACATTATGAAAACGACCACTTCGCATGCTCATTGACCATACACTCTGTTAACAATGACTTCGGACAGGTCTTTCAAGACAGCCAATTATGTTGATCTGACTGTATAGCAACGCTTGCTACAGACAGTAACAAGCGACAAAGGCCGTAGTGAGTGCGGGACTTGTGTACAAGCCCCGCTATGAGTATACTTATAAATGAAAGGCTTTGACAGGTTTGTCATTCACCACTCGTGGTCAGCCTTGGCTCATTATATTGACAAGGATTCAGCCACAAAACATAAAAGTCAAGTTAAACGTCAGTGAACTGGTTCATCGAAGACAACCAGCAGATGATCGAAGCAATCGATTATTGGTAAGGCGTTCCCAGTATCAAGCTGCGCGCTGGTCTGGTAGATAATTCCGTAGGTATAGCAGCGCTCTGTCCCTCTCCCTACCATTCCCGACCATGAGCCGCCAGAGCAGCCAGCCATCTCCTGACCAGAGCCCACAGTCCGGTGACTTGACGGGCGGCGCAGTAACTGGTTTAGTAGCGCCAGTGGCATCGGAAATCCATTAGCCCGTCGTTCAGCGAGCCGGACCGGACCAGCAGTTCTGGCGATCTCCAGCGCAGCAGGCTACGCTGCAGCGTCGCCGCCGGCAGAACGACGATCGACGGCCGGCCCGGCAGACTTTTTACCGCGCGACGGACGGCGGCCGACGATCCGCCAACTGATGGAAATTCGCCGCCAATGGCGGGAGAGTTTCCGTGTTTTGATTTGGGCAGAATAAACTGCCGAAAAGACGGTGGATGTTTGTCTGGGTGCCGCTGAACGAGTGATATCACTTGTTGAATCAAACTTAGAATAACAATAGGCTTACAGTATACCAGAAATGTCTTGATTCACGAAGCTGACCGAGGCTGCCTGAGATAAGAAACTAAACTATAGTATCTGAAACAGCACCTTTGCAGTATGGCACTAAAAAAATGTACGAGCCCAGACAAAAGCGTGAAGGCCATGCGGTTCATTCCATCTGCATAACTCAATTCCTAATAGATACTGAACCCAAAAACTATAACCCAACACCGACGTTATTCCCCAGCCGAGAGTCTGAAAACAGCGGCTGGTGACGTCACAGGCGGTGTCGGGAACGGCGGCCGGAATATATGATAAATCCCCGAGACGAGCCGAGCGAACCGCGCCCGGATGGCGGCCAAGTGGGCCATCGGCGCGTCTGATGAGTCTGAAAACGTGCCGACCGGCTGCTCCGCAGACTCGCTGCAGCTAATCCCGCGAAAGCGGTGCGGCGGAAACTCGACCTGCTGACAGCCAATATGCTAAACGAGTGCTCCAGCAGGCGTAAAGGAAGGTCTCCAAGTATCAATTCAAGCAAATTGGGGATTGTCAAAGAGATATAGACGGAGAGACGTGAGGGACATGAATTATGGGTTTGTGTCTGCAAGTAGGCTAAAAAATTCGGTTATTTGGTGTGAAACCGAAAATCGTCATCCGCATCCGAATGCCGTCATTGATTTACCGCGGCGCTGTGGACAGTGCTGCGTCGTGTTGTTTCTGCGCCGTGGCTGGCTGACGCTCCCATCTGCGCTGTTTCATGATGGCGGTTTCAGTCGTAACTGCGTCACCGTCTGACGCGACTTCGCGAGCTGCGTCGTATTCGTTAAAACCATGTCGCGCTTGTGCTTTATTTTGACGAGACTTGTGCTATGCTGCCCCCATACTATACAGCCTAAGCCATGTCGGATCCATATCTTGTTTACTATTCATATTTAATTTTATCCGCCATGTAAATATGCGCCGTATACTGCCTTTGGAGCAGCGAGTTCGTGTCGGATTCGATTTACTTACCACATCCATGCGTTATGTAATGCGTATTTAAGCCGTGCCGTTTGTGTGCCACAGGTTCGCGAAGCTCGACCTACATCGGAGACTACTGCCTGACGGTGTGCAGTGGCATCCTTCAGCATGCCTTCTGCAACACCACCTCACACCGGTGCGAGTGCAGCCGGGAGTACCCGGTGGTCATCGACAGCCTGTTCTGCGAGAAAGGTGAGGTGAGGGTCAGTCTGTTCTGCGGGAAAGGTGAGGTGAGAGACATTCTGTGAGAAAAGGTGAGGTGAGAGACTGGGTGTTCTGCGAGAAAGGTGAGATGAGAGACAGTCTGTGAGAAGGGTGAGGTGAAAGACAGTCAGCGAGAAAGGTGAGATGAGAGAGATTCAGTTCTGCGAGAAAGGTGAGGTGAGAGACATTCTGTTCTGCGAAAGAGGCGAGGTGAGAGACTGGGTGTACTGGCGAGAAAGGTGAGCTCACCGTCCATCGACATTCTATTTTGTGGAAAATGTGAGCTCATCGACAGTCTATTTTATGATAAATGTGAGCTCATCGACAGTCTATTTTATGATAAATGTGAGCTCATCGACAAACTATTTTATGATAAATGTGAGCCCATCGACAGTCTATTTTATGATAAATGTGAGCTCATCGACAGCCTCTTCTGTGAGAAAAGTGAGCGCATAGATAGCGTTAGGCGGCACGGGCGGACATCGATAGCAGCGCTTCTATCGGTCACTAGGGAAAGCTGGGCTGTAGGCGACGATATACCGGCTGAGTTGTCACACGTTGAATAGGTTTATAGCCATCCGTCTTGTGAAAAAGTTGAACTTTTGCCTTTAATATTTCTACAGGCAATTTTAGAAGTGTCTTCACATGGATTACAAAACCGTTTAGATTATTGTATTCACTTCAAGCCTTCCCTATTGTTCTTGATGATGCGGGAACTATTTCTAATTAGTGTTTCTAGCTTAGTAAAAGAACATACTGTGCAAACGATGAAAAAAGCATAAATGGAAGATTTTAAATGCAATTTTCTCTAACAATTAATGGTAAATTCTCTACATATCCAGGAAAAGGTGCATGCTAACTGATAATTTAAAGTTCTTGGGGCCAGTTGTTTTCTTCTTTTCTTACGTCGCCCCAATGGCCGCGAATACACTTGTGATAATGCCTATCGGGTCTATTTTGTGGAAAAGGTGAAAATTCCACAGCTGAGTTGATAGCTCCCCACTGTACGCGTATGTGCCTACAAATACCATAGGCCACAACATTGCCAATTCACGATTTCTTTAAAAAGCATCAAAGTGCATATTTCCCGGTAATAGCAAAACATGAAACTAGCCGTTGATTGGACACCAATTTTCAAACAACTCCACCGTGAGAATGACCCAGCTTTACTGGCTTTCTTGTTTCCACCCGTTGCCTCGCAAACAGACTGCACAGATTTGAGTGTCAAAAGAAGTGATTTGTTAGACACTTGGCCTAAGCGCCGACACCTTATAAGTGTGAAATTATATTTTATGTCGCCATCGATCGGTATAACTCATGGTTCGCGGCACATGCCGACATCAATAAATCTCAAAGGCATTGTGGTGGATGAGATGGAGCCCAATCAAAAGTTATGAAGTCCTAAAATTCTGATTGACTATCAACTGCATCTGATTACAATGTAGAAATGCTTTACAATGTTTGGGGGGTTTTCGAAAATCCGGCGCAGGATTTCATCACTTGTGCTTTGAATTGAGCTCGATTCAAACGGTGCTGCACAAATGATGAATAATGGGTGCATTATTTAATTAAATTAGAGATCAACCAGGACAGAACCAATATTCAGACACTCGTCTGTTTGAATTCCATGTAATCAATATTTGATGTAATCTCGATTCTCGAGACGTCTGCCTGCAGCAATTTGATTCAAAATGCGGTACGCTGTTCATAACACATCTTTACCTACACCGAACGAGGCACAAGAGGTTGCTTTGAACTTTCGATATAAGATATATTTATAACGAAATACCTCCCGACTCGTCCCATTTAATGGCACCATACTCTTAACCCGCGAGTTGCTGGGGGGGGGGGCGTTAAACGCCCCCACTTTTTTCGCCGGGCCATAGCATAAAAACGGCGCGCCGCAGGCGCGCCAAATTTTAGGTACCTGTAGGGAATTGATTGAAGTTTATTGTGACAAAGTTTCAAAAAAATCGGTCGGAAAATTTTTGAGATATCGAGGTTTTAGTGACGTCATGATTTCTGAGTTTTCGACCAAAAACGGCATATGTCCAAAAAATCATATAAAATCACAGAATAGACATATAGACATGCCGTAAACGCCATTAGACTGCCAATACCATGGAGAATCAAATGGCTATCTTCGATTATTGATTATCGTTCCTTCCGCATTTTCCAAAATCTTGAACTGAATCTTGGCGATTTCTCGTGACTACTTCACGATCATGATACATGAATTTCTGAAATTGAACTTTTTTAGCCAAACACGTACACATATGATAAAATGAATGTCACCATCGTGTTCTACGCCCCAAATTACCCATAAAACATGTGTCACAGGCTGCGAATATCAGTTTTTATTTTCGGGGATATGTGCCTGCCCGGTTGACCTGACCTTGACCCTGACCTATGCTTGACTGACCCCTGCATGGAGCTGACACTCTTGTAGGCCTTATATGATGGATTGTGCACCGTTTTGACAGAGTTTATGACGAGAGGCGCCCATTGCGAAGTCCTGAAGTCCATGCTACTGAAAGCCCGATTTCAGGTGTTTGACCTGACCTTGACCTGACCTGTGACCTCAAAATTCAACTTTAAAGTACTCATCTGAAGCATCTCGTCGCGTTCTTTCGTTTGCCGCCTCGTGCGTTTCGCTGCGCCTATTTGTTCTCGAGTTATCGGCTGGGGGCGTTTAACGCCCCCCCCCAGCAAACGGTGGGTGGCGAAATACCCCAGCAACTGCCGGGTTAAGCCGCACAGCGAAAAGCCAGCCGTATTGATGTGTGTGGGTCCACCAATCACTGTCGCCAGCCACTATCTCCGGGTATTTAGCGCCGACAAAGAGCTCCCTCGGCGGTGTTGTTCTTCCATTATCCGCTCCGGTGGTCGGCTTACTAATACACATATCCCGCATTGTTCCACAAAAGCCGCCGCCTCTATGTATGTCTGACGCGAAATGTCGAAGTCGAGACAGCAGATAAGGCTTGTAGATGTAGGTATGAAGGTTAAGTCAACACGGTGCTAATGCGTGCAGGGCATCGTTTCATAAAACTCTGCCGTAACTTACACTTTTCCGTAATTCACACCCTTTCAAACTACGGAGCGCAAATAAATCCGTTTCACAAAGCCACAACTGGAATTGTTTACACCTCCGTAACTAAGCACATTTGCGTAGTTACCGTAATTCATCAAGCGTCCTACAAATTACAATTTCATGCCAACACTTATTTTTTTACAAGAATTTATAAAACAATTATGTTGAATTTAAATCTTAAAAATTATGTATGAAAAAACAAAATTTATATTGATGACCATCCTTTATTAAAACAATATATTAAAAACAGCAGAAAGCCAGCTAAGCAGAAGTGCCTAACTACGAAAGTGGCGCGGCGCGGCGAATAAACAAAATTCCGATAGTGGCCACAAAAAGCGACTGGTACAGAAGATTTGCAGTTTCTTTTTCTCATTTTGGCTGTTCTTTCTTCCTCAGCGGGCTCAACATTATAAAATATATTAAAAATTAGCTTCGAATCTTCACAATAATTCAAAATCACGCAACATTTTTGTGCGTAGTTTACACTACTGATATCAAGAGCTTGATAAAATATTTGGCGTTAATTACGTCGTTTTATGAAACCCAAATGGCATCAATTGGTCCGGAATCGAGCATTTGCCGTAAATGAAGCTCCGTACTTTCGATGGCGTGAATTACTCCGGTCTCCGGCTTTATGAAACCGAATTGGCATCAAATACGCCAAATCTGGCATAATTGACGGAACGCCGTAAGTAATTCCTTTTATGAAACGAGGCCCAAGGAGAAGAAGCATGCTGTTGACATGCTTGATATATTTTTTTTCTTCTGGAAGCGTAGTCTTTCGTGATTTGATTTGACAGAGTGATTTGATCTCTGATGGCAGCATTGCATTCAATTAACTGTTTGACGTTATAAACATGCACCTCCTCTACCCTTGCCACAATCCAACATGATCGTTCACCGATAAGCGCCTGGTGCTGATTTACTGCCTGTGTAACCTTGACCTGACCTGACCTGCCCTGACCTGTCCCCTACAGCGGTGCACCTGTCGGAGCAGTGCCGCTATGACAAAGTGTGCGCCTTCTCCGACCTCAACGCTGAATGCCGCGCTGACCCAGGTGACCCTACACCGGTCTGCCGGTGTCGCGAACACTACAAGGCCACGCCGTTCCAGGCCGACTCCGGTCACCTGTACTGTGTCAAAGGTCAGTTCGCGACGGTGACCCCTGACCCCGTCACCCCTGGCGGGCCGCGCGGGCCCCCGGGCACCGGTACTGATTAATGTGAGTAGTCCTCCGGGGCATTGTCCCGTATGCCCGGCCGGCTGGAGGGGACGGACGGAGTCCCGTGGGGCGGAGGGGGAGGGGGAGAGGGGGGCTGGGCGGTCGATCCCGGGGCATATTGTGGGCAGGAATGGGTATTTAACCAGACCGTATTGACATCTGGGGCGATGGGGTGTTTAAACAATGAGAAAAGGATGAACAAAATGTGGTATTGGCGGGTATGCGGGTGGGAGACTGTCGGAAAAGAGTATAATTGTGCGAGTGGTCGGGAATAAAAGGGGTCATTGGTGCTGGCATAATGCGTCGAGCGTTTTTCTTACCCCTTTCCTCGTTTATAGCAAGGAATACAGGGTTGGGCAGATAAATTGGGACAAATTTCAACTTCCTCCAAAACGACAATTTTTTTAGTGATAAAGATAATTTTTGAACATAAATATAGGCTAATGAATATTTTTCCATGTTATACAGGTTGCGTTGTAATTTTTAGTCGGCTGGTCACAGAACGTGGGCTTAGGCAAGCCACTATCAACTTAGTCCGCGCGCACATGCATGCCAATATTCTAATTATGCTCCATCAAATGGCTGAAAGTAGTGTGTATCGAACAGACGTAAACGTTGGAGGAAGAGATGATATTGACTCATCCTTACATACCTATTGCACTGACACCGGCCGCTACCCCGGTTTTCCAGGGGGCTTAAGGGCAAAATTCAGTTAAATCAGAGGATCCTCGCGAAAACAGTGGCGCGAGCTTACAACGAAGGTAGCCGCGCCATGAGAAAGCGATATACCAGCACCTCAAACATGTACTCTTATGTACTGATGCATATCAACCTGTTAACATAGATGTTGAAGCAGCTGTGACGTTAAAAAGATTGTTTCCTCTTGAAGGGCTTGGAGAAGCGAGCAAGCACGTGCAGGTCATTTCTGACGATGGTATCCCCATAACCGAACATATGAACAACCGCAAACACCATGTAACATCGCAACCAGCCCAGAAGACGTGATCTTAGTTCCAAAAAACATGCAGCAGACATCGGTGATGGCATTCCACTCGGTGACCTCTGACGGTCACGTGGGGCCCCCTTATTTTACGGAATCGGGAGGGGGTTCGCCATTACAGGGTACCTAACCATTATTCCGGCAGTTCGAACCAACAAGATGGAAGAAGGCAACATCCTGCATGGGGTGATGCTCTTCGAGGAGTCAGCTCCCCAGCATACAGTAAATTAAATACAAAATCTCCTGAAACGGAGGATCCCGCAAACTGTACCCAAGGGAAAATGCTCGAAAATCCTCATTAAACCTCAGCCCACACAAGTTCTGGTTGCTGGGGCGTTTTTGCGGGCGAGTCTAACGAACGTCCCCATGTGACTGTGGCGAGCCTCAGCAGTGCCAGTCGGCTACAATTACGAGCCATTTCAGACGGGAGATCTCGCCGCGCGTGCAGTCAGTCCAGGCACCGACAAGGACTGATGCAGGTGGACCACGGTGACCATATTTGGTGATAAATGTGTAAAATTGGTGTGACAATATGTGATCCAAATTTGAAATGCTTATGTTTACAAATTTCTAAGCTACGGCGTTTTAAATGCTAATACGTATTTTGTCCCAATTTATCTGCCCAACCCTGTATATGAGTAGACAGGTATAGGAGTCAAAGTAGGCATGCTTAAATGCCACTCTTTGCTCACAGGTTTCCCTAAAAAATAGTATTAGTTTTGTCTTTAATGTTCCTCAGTGTAGAGTGCAGATAGTTCGATAAGCAACAAATGCACAAATCAAGAAAAGTTTAAAAAGGAAGTTAGGAATCCATCCTATGACCGTGCTAAATACTGGAGGCTCTGAGGGCTCTGCTAATTGTTCATATGGAATAGCTCATTTTATCATTAGGTCATCGGGCCATTAAAGTCGCGAAGTCCTTGGGTCCTTAAATGCTGTAACTCTAGATAACTCTAGAAAGTGTTAGGTCACCAGGCTGAAACGAAACAGCTGGGCGACAGAGTGACATCGAACTTCTCCTGGGAGCCCTTATTCTCCTTGCTATCTCTCAACAGACGACGTGACATTCGCTGAACAGCGCTACTTTCACTGGATCCGTTCTTGGGGGAGCTCGGCAGAAAGTTTGGCATCCATCGCTAAGAAGAATAGTTGGCAGTCAAAGCAAAGTAGAGCACTGTGTCGCATACTGTCTAGGTGTTAGCTGTTCCCGTAGCGATCCCGCTGTGTTCACGGGGACGGCTAAAAATAAGTCTGCATGGAAAGCCGAGTGGCAGTTTGAACTCCGCGAACTGTCTTATCTGGACTCGGCATGATTCCCTGCTTCGGCAATGCGAAGAACGTGCAGTCATGTCTTCCCACCGGAAGACTGAAGATTAATAGTGCGCCACTCTGATCGTTTTGTTGCGTATATCTAACGCGAACGGTGTGCAGTGTAGCGTATTTTTCTGCTCTGTTGAAGCCATGATAATCACTGACTGAATATGAGTATGAAAATGAACATTTAATGCTCGGAAAATGAAATTTATGATATCCATTTCTGACAGTTATGCTATACTCAAACTATATTTAGTCTAAAAAGGGCAACAGAGAATATTCATATGCTTCGAAGCGCATTGCTCTCCGTGTTTCCGTATAATATAAAAATGTATTAAAAGTCGATAAGCGCATCTGATAGCAGTCGAGAGAAATAATTGGTAAAGCAACACATGTATATTCTTACATACATAGTTGCTTAGATTCCATTGGATACGATCTATAAGTCAGATGAATGGAAATTGAGCTCCTGCGCAGATGCAATTTTGTTCAGAGGTAATTACTTCGACGCGACCGCTTTTCCAATGACGAAAACTATTAGCTCACCTGCGGACATACTGATGTGAGCCCCTGGAACCCGACAATTCCGCTATTTCCGCTATGCGCTAGCAGAACCGCAGTGCTGATTCTGATGAGAGACTGGCACCTGTTCTAGCTGATGAGCTTAACTGGGTTGGTGTCCTATATCGGTGGCTGATGATTCTGATGAGTATGATGGGTCTGATGGGTCTGATGTGGGACTGATGGCACTAGTGGGACTGATAGGCGAGGTATAGACAGGACGGTCTACGGGTCTGATGGGTCTGGTAGGTCTGGTGGGTCTGGTCTGATGGGTCTGATGGAGGGGTCTGATGGGTCTGAGGATCTGGTGTGCTTCATGGGCGTTACTGGTGGATCTGGTGGGTGTTCGATGGGTCCTGACGGGTCTGATGAGATCTCTCATGGGTCTGTTGGATCTTGTGGGTGGGTGTCTGATGGGTGTCTGACGGGTATTGTTGATTCTGAAGGATGTCTGATGTGTGGCTGACGGGTCTGGTGGGTCTGGTGGGTTTTATGTGCACTGAGAAAACAGTGTCCCGATTTTCGGGCTCAGAGACCAGTTTTCGGGCTAATGTACCATATTCAAAACAGACAGCACATTTCGAGAATACTTTCTGAGCTAGCGCCACATGGGCTCATACGATCCCTTAAATCGGTATCATTGATCGCAGAAACAGAGCTCAGTCAGTACCCATTATCGGTGTCAAGCTCTAAAACTAGTCTCACTATGATACCAGTTTTCAGCCTGATCCCCATTTTCGAGCTCACCTGATTCCAGTTTGAGGGCTCAAATTGTGTGGTGAAGCCAATATTAGGGCTCACGTCATCGCTTTTCGGGGCTTTGGTAAAAGCTGGATTGCGTCAGCTGGCTGGCCAGCTGGCGACGCACGAAAGGTATTTAATTTTAGATATACCTAAGCGCGGTAGTAGGATGGACATAAATATTTCAAATGGCTTTAAATGAAAAATTGATTGGTAAATATTTATTCTTTTATATCTAGCATTGATATGTAAGAAGCTCTGCTAGCGCCACCATACGGCGCCAGCTGGCAAAAAAAAATCCAGTTAATACCAGAGCCCGCTTTTCGTCCGATGCAGCCCCTCCTCCCCCCTCCCCCGTGTCCAGCAGCTGCGAATAAGACGAAGCCGCGGACAAACTTTTTTTTTGCTCGGCCAGCCTAGCGCCAGTCTCGAGCGGTGGGACAGTTAACCCGGCAATTTTGGCCGGGATGCAAAAGTTACACGTTAAACCGGTTTATGTTAACCCGGGAGCAAATAACAACGTGGGAGCCTATCTTAGGTGTGGCAAAGCTAACGGATTACTTACTTGTTGCCGAGGTGCCCAAAGAAGGTACTGGAACCGAAAACACAACATTGGTTCATGTATTTATTAACATTCATACACACAGTCATACTTGTGCAAGGTGTCAGTGTTCGGTTGTGGGGTGTAATAGCCAGGGAAAAAGTTCTATGAACTGAAAAACCCGGCGCCTATTACTTCGCAACATGGTTGTGTATTCAACATGAACTGCAAGGAGTGCAGACGACATTGCCTGTGCTAACTTAACGTCTCACGGGCAGCGCCGCGCTCTGACACCTTGGTCCCAGAAGCGGCGGCGTTTCTGACCGCAAATCGCCGGAGAGCCGGTCGACGCCGTTGAGGGGACTGAGCAGGCCGCTGCCAGCTCCACCTTCACGTCCGCGCGGCGCAGCTCGGTGTGCGGCGGCGGCTCATCGCGCGGGCCGCACCCGTCCGTCCGCTGCACGAGCCGCTTTTCGATCCGACAGCGCAACACCAGCACGCCATTGTGCTGGCTGAGCGGCGGCAGCGGCACGTAGGCAACAAAACAGTAGAAATCGATGGGCCTGGATCGGCGTTGCCAGCAACGCCGGCAGCGGCGCGGCGGGAGGCGCCAGTGCCGCCGTCGGGGACGTGTGCCCTTCGCTGCGCTCATTCGAGTTGGCCGGCCGGCCGCGCGGCGTAGTCCTTTTGACACGGTGCGAGAAGAGCTGGATGAAGGTGGACTTTTTATTGGCGTTGCTGGTGCTCACGCCGCCGGCGTCCAGTTTGGGCGGCAAGTCCGAGTACCAGGAGTCGGACAAGTCCCGCGCGAACGCCGCCAGCCGGTCGTCGTCACTGCTGGCGGCGGCCCGCCGACGGCGCTGCCTCAGAATCGGACGAGTCGGTGGTACTGAGCACCTCGCGGGACGGGTAGCTGGGAGTGGGCCGGCCGCGGCCCCTGCCAGGCCGCGCCACCTTCACCGGCGCAGCCGCCTTCAAACTGCCCTTGCTGGGCGGCGGGTTGGTCGGCGGAGGCGGCAGCGGTGCCTCGACGTCAGTCCGAGTCGCTGTCACTGGGCGGCCGCCGCGGAGACGGCTTCTGTTTGACCCGCAGCCGGCCTGGGCCGGCTCGGCGCCCTCGGCCGGCGGCGCGCGCCGTTTCGAGCGTTTCACCTTTTCACTGTTACTCTCGCCTGGTCCTCAGCGTCGAGCGGCTCGGCGCTGTTCGGTTTCATGTGGCCCATGCTGCTGGGAAACTCGGGTGGGGACAGCTTTCTGACTGGAGTGCCGTCGAAGATGGAGGAGACGGGGGTGCTCGCAGAGTCCTTGCCCAATGCCCATGATAGAGCCGAGGCTCCACTGGACGCCCAGCTTAATCGGGCTATCGCCGCCCTCCTTCTATGGTGGATTCTTCGGCCCCCTACAGCCACTAGGGCCATCATATACTCCCAGATGGCGGCACCTAGGGGATGAGGGGGGGGGGGGTGTCTGGGCCACTTGTCCACCTCGTGGCGTCGCCAGCGACGCCTGCGAGTCGGAGCAAATGATTATGGGGTCTTCCTCGAAGGACGGGTGCTTCAGGAGATGTTGCTTTGCCGTCTTGAGCGCCACCATCTCAGATCGGTAAATGGAGCAAATCCTCCCCGCCGCCTCCCGCAGTACCAATGTTGTACTGTCTGGGTGCTCGGTGAGGACCCCAGCGCCGCCTTCCTATTACTCCCCCGGTCGCAGACCCGTCGACCCAGGCCCACGTCGCACGCTGGGGGAGCGCTCCCAGGCACGCCTCCGCAGCACTCCTCCTCGCTGTCGCGGACGCCCCGATCGGCAGCAGGTCCAGGTGGACCGTGACGCCGTCTGTTAGCGTCTACGGGGGCAGTCTCGTGGATAAGCGCGCCTCGGCGGGCAGCGCCACTCCAGTGGTCCCACACCGCTCCCCCGCGCTCTCTCCAGCCGGTCACTGACTTCAGTCACGGTTGGGGGGGGGGGGGGGCTTCCGCCACGACGCGGCGGGTCCTCCGACGGGAGGGAGAGCGCCTTCGCCAGTAGGCGCGATGCCAGCGCATCCCTCCTCATCTCTCCATCGGCACGACGCCCGCCTCGGCCCTCACGGCGAGTCTTGGAGCATGGAAATCGGGCAGCCAGTGATGACTCATGCCACCATCAGCATCTCCGCCTCCAGGACGCCAAGATGTGTGGCCGCAGCCGCAGGCAGCCACGCCGACCCCGCTGCCCGCATGCCCAAGTAGTCTCGAATCGCTGACACCTCTCCTGAAACAAGAGTGGTGTCGTAAACTTAAACCCCTTGCTGGCGCCCGCCAGCCGCGACAACACCGCCACACCAATTTTTGTGACCCCGGAACTTCCGTCCCGAGCCTTATTTAACGGCACGATGCTACAGTGCGCTACACGTATTGTGGTATTCAGCTTCCATGGAAACATCAACTAATTTGGACGCTCAAACATGGGAGTCAGGAGTGGTTAAGGCCCAGAGCGTTCTGTCTGGTTTATAAAACCTTGGCCAGCAGATGTAAACGTGCTATTTGTATAAGTGGCTTAATTTTGACGCAAAAGGGCACTAACCTTCGGCGCAAATAATGCAGAAATTTCAGCGCAAATTGCAAAATAGCTTGCGCCGAACTTCGGCGCATGACGGCTTCACGGGCGTCCGGCGTACCATATGGATGTTTTCCAGTTTGGGCTGCAGGTTTTAGCTCTAGGTTTTAGACTGTAGGTTTTGGATTGGGTTGGGCTGGGCTGGGCTGGGCTGGGCTGGGCTGGGTTGGGCTGGGCTGGGCTGGTTGGGGTGGTTGGGTTGGGTTGGATTAGGTTAGGTAAGTTTAGGTTAGTTTAGTTTAGGATAGATATGAATACCTATTTTTTGTAAGTTGAATTACTTTTTTCATTTTGTAGCATCATATGCCTTCCATCTTTGAACTGCCATATTCAAGCACCAGAATCAGTATGGACTTGAACCTTTTCCAGTCTGGATGCCTGTATGGAAGTTGTGCAAAATCATGCAGTTGAAGCCGTATTGTAACCACAAATAAGAGCTCATGACTCAAGTCTCAACTTGTCCATAATTGGTTATCTTGATGTATACTTGTAGACCCTTCCTCTTACTTGGCACACAGGCATGGTGTCACAGTGTTCTAAAATTGGATTTCAATTGGGTGTCCCAATAAAAAAAAAATCTGAAGACAAAATGAGATAGATTTAGTCTTTCCGCAAAACTGCATAATGCCATTTTTTACCTCAGATTTTGTCAGAACCTTCAAAGGATCTGAAATGAAATGATGTAGAGTAGATGCATCAACTGTCAAGTCATGCGTAACCTGGCAGCTGGCTGTTGAATCAAACTTTTGACATATTTTTTTAGCAAAGATGAAATAAAGCCACTTGTCATAATTTTAGGATGAAAATATTTTCCCCATCATGTGTGGTTATTCACCTAAAATTCTGAAACATGGAACACTGTCATACCAGCATTCCATCATGTCAACCAGCATTCCACAGCATGTTAGAAGAAGCAGCAGCATGTTATAAGTATATGAAAGATCCAAATAGGTTGTAGGTTGGTAGGTATTGGTACTAAGTTTAACTTAATAGGTTAGTAGGCAAGGTTAGGATTAATTTTAGTTGATCATCAAGATAACCATTACGAACAAGTAACAAAATCCTTACCTACCCTTGAAAGTATTGCTTCAATCACATCATCACGAAGAACCAGACAAAAATTTTGCACATTCTTACACTATTTGACATCCTGAATCCAGATATGATGCTTTCATGTGGCGCAAATACAAGAAAAACGAATAATCAAACCCGTGCGTATTCGTATCAACGGCGCCACAATTGTAGATCAGACCTTTTCTGAACAAATGCCACCACAATTTTAATTGATAAGGGATTAAAATGGCATGAGCATCAACATCTTGATTTTTTCTAAAAGATAGCGATAACTGATAACTAATAACTTACCATTCATTTTGAAATCACGGCGGTAGGTACACCAACACATGGCACTGAAAACAGCAAAAGACGGAAGCCCTAAAACGCAGCTCGAATTGAGCCCGAAAAGGAAGACGAACTGATGCCGCTTTCGGGGCTAATGTACTTTGAGCCCGAAAAGGGCGCCTAACTGATCCCGATTTTAAAATCATACAGATTTGAGCCCTGTTTTGGCACTCATATGAGCCCTTATTCAAAAATGTTCTCAAAGTGTTTTCTGAGTGTGGCTCTGACGGGTGACCGGTGGCCGTCAGACCCGCTGTCGGAGCTGCTGGAGCCAGACACACCCACTGTGCTCGGTCTGCTCATGGGCCTGACTGTGATGAGCTGCCTCATCTGTCTCGTGCTGCGGCTCTTCTACCGGGCTCGCCACGCCCGAGCCAGGGGCTACGGCGACGCCAGCCTGCCGCCGCCACTCTCACTCTCAGGTGAGCTTATAGATATCACTCTCACTCTAGGTGAGCTGGCTGACCATGGAGTACTGAACTCACTGACGGGTGAGCTGATGGAAGTGGATATCGCTCTCACTCTAGGTGAGCTGGTTGACCGTAGACACTGAGCTCACCGTCAGGTAAGCGCACTGCTGCAGCCGCTGTCACTCTCCTGTTTGTTTTGTTTTTTGTTTTGTTGGGTTAGGCTCTTTCGGTCCAATGAGACCATTTCAGAGCCGGGAGGATGATAGGATATAGGGGGAGACATTGGTCTGGACAGGCACCCTAGTGAGTCGCCGGGGCTGAGCCCGTCCGGAGGACAGGCCACCCAGCCCCAGGGCACTCACTGCACCCGGCTACGGGGTGCGCTCCCTCGGGAGCAGCGGTGCCACTCCAAGGGAGCAGCCCGCATGAGATAAAGTTGCCTGTCCAGCCCGGAGGGGGGTTGCGGCGTGGAGGAGAAGGATTTCAGTATCCTTAGGATAGAAGCACGGAACGGTCACTCTCCTGTGAGCACACAGCCCTATATATAGCACTGCTATGTAACAACGTCAGGTGAGCCTTTTGCTGTAGGTAGTTAATTTCAGGTGAGCTTACTGTTATTGCTCTCACTTGTCAGGTGAGTTCACTGATGTAGTCTGTTTGTGGAAAACATCCGTGTCACTGCCACCCGGTGAAGGAAAGGTGCCCCAGGGGCGTCGCTTCGAGTAGGTGTAGGTGACCAAAGAAGAGAGGAATGCTATCATACACAAGAAGTTTAGGCATTACCATAGATAACATGCCATAGATTCATGTTTTCTATGGCATTACTTATTTCATACACGCACAGCGCCCTGCAACATCGTTGCATATACGTTATTGTCCAGAATGGTCTTTTTAAAATTCATATTTACAGAAACCTCTACGCATTAATGCAAAATGCAATTTACATTTGAATTATTATTATTGTTGTCAGAAAGTTGAAGAGATTTTTGGTCTTAGCTTCAATATAACTACCTATACACGTACTTTTTGTCGTGTCCAATTATGGATTGCACCAACGCAGCTAACCAGCTTAATGCTGTTTCTCGTTTGCAAGTGGGCTAGTTCTTTGTAACGGCAAATGCTACAAGCTAAGCGCCATTCGGCTGGCAGCCTATGGTCTTTGGGGCGCTGATCCCAGCCTTTGTCATGATGCCGCCATGAACCATTTCTCTAGCTTACCTCGTCGCGACAGCGTCTCCAGTGTGGCTACGAACTGCCTTTGTGTGAGACAACGAATGTCAGCTCACCACTAATAGATGTCTATGGGAAACATTGAGTTGGGATAGGGAAAGGCTGGAGAGTAGAGCGATAGGTCGGTGCTTGTGCGCAGTTTTGGCTGAGAAGCCAATTGTTTGACAGAATGACGGTGCCACGTGACACCAGCCTAAAGAATGAGGCCGGGCTGACTTAGAGCACTAATTCTCCCTAGGTATAGCCGCTATAAAGCTCCATGAGCCGTCCATGGCTAGCCCATCTAAGCTCGTTCCATCGCTCTGAACCTTACACCTGGACCAGTTCCCTTTAGATCGTCCGGTGGTGCCTTTATATATCTGGACCAGTCCCTGCCTTTTCTGGTTCGTCCAGCGGTGCCTTATATCCCGACCAGTTCCTTCCTTTTCGGTTCGCCCAGCGGTGCCTCATATCTGGACCAGTCCCTTCCTATTCTGGTTCGCTCGCCGGCGTCCCGGCACCGTCCGGACCATTCACAGCCTGTCACCGCCCTTGGTCGCGCGGCGGGGCGGGGCGGTCGATCCGCGGCCACCATCTGCGGGTGGCGCTGATGATGGCCAGCATGGCACCGACTCCGGCCCCGTCACAAAGCCAGCCAGGCAGCTGCTCACCAGATGGTCCAGAGCCGACCAGCCACTCTTCAGATAGTCCTGAGCAAACCAGCCGGTCATCAGACGGTCACAAAGCCAGCGAGCCACTCATCAGATGGTCCTGAGCTGGCCAGCCGCTCACCAGACGGTCCACAGCTCACCGGTAGCTCACCAGATAGTCCTGAGCTAACCAGCCGCTCACCAGCTGGTCTCGAGCTAACCAGTAGGGCTCACCAGCTGGTCCTGAGCTAATCAGCCGCTTACCAGCTGGTCCAGAGCTAACCATTAGCTCACCAGATTTTTCCGAGATGGTGTTTTACCAGACGGTTCTAAGCCGATCAATCGCTTACCAGACGTTTCTGGACCCGGGAACCCCACTAGCGCAGGATCGCGCGCATCCTGCTTAGAGCAGCACCATCAATCCAAGCTAAATTCTGAAACCGGCATGAGACCGCCATTTTCCCCAGGCGAGTTCAGAGGCGCAATTAATCCCTCCTCAGGCTGACTTTAAGGCCAACAAATAGCCAATGCCCAAGCAATTTAATGCACTCGTTTATCACTTGGAAATGACAGCATTAACGAGACGGCTGTCGCTGTTAAAAATAGCACTCTGCTGCTCCTTTTGTCGTTTTAATTTAAAACGTTGACAATTTATAGACAATCCACGTATTTCTAATAGTGGCTAGCAATCAACATTCTTTGTATGTTGCGCTCCAAACTCTGAACCTCTGGTTTGGTAACCTACGTTCAAGTCCTGGCGTTCCAGGGTGAAGTCGTTACGCTTCCACCCAGATTGGCCACCTGTGACCGCCGACCAGAGGGCTCCTCAGACCTCACCTCAGTATCACCTGCTCTGCCTGCTCTACATACTAGGTCCACTTGGTCTAGTGGAATCTGATCTCTCACAGGCGCTGCTCTCATCACTCTTTTCTCTCTCCATATAGCTCTTAGCTGGGCATGGTATTTTCTCCTCATGATTGGTCAGTGTCTCCGTTTTTCATCTCTTCATGACCGTTTGTCATGACCCGTTTTAATTAAGCCACATAATTATCTTAATAAGAAGTCTGTGATTAAGCTTTATATTGCATTGGTCGTCACGATAGAAACTTAAATATATATTAAAAAATTAAAATAGGGAAATATCTGAAAAAAACGTTGACTCTTTTCATATCATACAATCAAGCTTACCTGGTTGCATATGGCTTCTTTGTTCCTTGCTCTTCCGCCACCCATTTTTGCTTGTCACCATCTCCAGCCTTGTGTCTCTCACCTCTCACACTGTCTGTCCCATCTCCACTTCCTGCACAGTGCACATCCCAGCTCCATCCATGCCCTTCTCCCATCCATCCTCCATCGTCCCACCTCCATTCCTTGCTTCCATCCCATCCATCCATCCATCTGTACCATGTCCGGCAGGCTGCCGTTCAGGCTCTATGTCTCGATTAGTTGGACCGGAGAGCAGTGCTCGCCGGTCGAGCCGACCCTGAGAGCGGCCGTGCACCCGCGGAGAAAGTGACAGAAACTCGGGGATACGCAGTGGACAGTGGGGACTACCAGAGCACGGGAGGGGCAAAGAAGCTTCATTTGCTGCGATAATTCAGAGTACGAAATATGGTGACAACGCGGGGGATCTCATGTTGGTGTATTTATGGCACGGGCGTCAGCTATGTTATATTTCGACTGTAAGTTTGTATCAATTTTTCCGCTCGGCTGGGAGAGCAGCATCGATCGGTGTCGGTCGGTCCGGAGGCGGCCGGGCCGCTCCGCCGTCGGTCGGCTAGCCCCGCCACGCCGGCGGCCGTGCGCACGGCCGGGGTCGGGGACGTGCCGCGGCGTACCGGCGGCAGCACGGCCGTGACACGCGCTAACAACGCCGGCGTGGCGACGCGGCCGGCTGCCGGCGGCGGCCGCTCCCCCGAGAGCGACCGTGCGCGGCGGATCGATGCCGTTGCGGCCAGAGGACGCTCCGTCGCCGGCGTCGGTCGCGGCGTCGTGTCGATGGCGGCAGCGACGCGACGGTTAGCGTTGATCAGATCCTGTCTGGCCGCCGACCGATCTGATTGGGCCAATACCGTCGCCGCAGAGTGCAAACGGGATCGACTCGGCTCGGCGGTCGCTGTGGACTGGCGTTGCCACGCAACCGTCTGATCCCTGAGAGTCGACCGGCCTGCGAGAGACCGTCGCTCGCTGCCGGCCTGGGACGGCACCGCGCCGCGCGGGGGCCAAGGAGCCAGGGGAGCCGGGGAGCCAGGGAGTCGGGGGATACCACCTGACGTATGCAGATGACGCTGTCGCTGATGATGATGCAGATGATACTGATGGTGATGAACGAGACTGGAATGCGATGGCCTGCGCAGTGGAGCGTCCGTGCCTGACCCAGTTTCCCGCTACCACCGGTAAAAACGAGCCAGTCGGCTGGCTCGTTTCTGCCACGTCATTTTTTAGCTGGAGGGAGCCAGAGGTGAGAACGAGTCTGGGAATATTTCCGACCGACTGAATGGCTGTGCCGTCTGCTGGAGGGACTGCCTTAATGAGCTCCAAACGGCACAAAATGGCCATTGATAGAAATGGATGAAATGGTGAGGTGCTTTGAGTCTTTGACCAGCGTAGTAATGGCCCCTTTTGATTGGCTTCTGAAGTGGCATGGTATAGTATGGAAGCAGTGTCTTTGCAGCGCCAGTAACAGTTCACCGCAATTTTGAGGCACAACGTTAATTAAATGGTCTACCAGTAAAGTTCCCCCTGGTTATTTTATGTATCATGGCTGCTGCCCTAGCAAGTAAACTGCTGCGGCCTAATTTAATTAATATAACTAATGGCGTCAGTTACTTGCACCAATGTTTCCTGGTGTTATGCCGCTATCAAACGGATCGTTTCCACAGTGCATAACAGTGCAGAAACTTTCAAGTCACTGGCTGGACGCTGCTGGACGTGCGTGATCCTGAGTAATCAATCACCTGGCTCGAACTGTTTTGTTTTTAGGTTTGATAAAAGACACGCATCACGATCTCCTCTACGTTTTCGGGTCCCGTAAAATACCGTATAGTTGGATGTCGGCTTTTTGGTATTTGGTAATGTGGTACCATTGGTCGAAGTGCTGTGACTAATCGCACCACTGCGATTAGGTTACTGCAACGATGCTTCCTAAAACAT